CACAACACGGAGACAAGCTAGTCTAAATTTGGGATATATCCGGAATATCAATATTTCCGTACCAGTTATATACGTCAAATTAAAAGAGGGTACCCGCAGAGCCCCCAAAACATACTAGCCGGTCTTGGCGCTGTGGCTGGAGAAACAATCAAAGAGTGTAAGTGGTTGCACCAGTTTCGGGACGCACTGTAATGTCCGGGGCTAGTCCATAGAATTGCGTGTTTTCGACGGACGGAGAAAAAAGTGCTTATGTCCAAAGGAGAACCTGTTTTCAACTATCGCTGTAGAAGAGCAACAATGTCTCATTGTAGTGTCTCAATTTCCCAAGGACTAGTGCCACAGTATGACACTCTGATCGCTGTTCGACAGTATCGCACCAAAGGGTTTGACAGCTGACATAAACAGTTTTTGATTATTATTCTGAACGTTTACACTGGGCCAGGTGAAGGAAGCGACGGTGGGAATCGTGGCCAAGGTGGTGATTAATTGTTGACCTTGTCCCGCCTTTCACCAAGACACATGAAGATGCTGGCGTTATAATTGTTTAACTTTGCTAGAGTTGCTTTGTTTTCGCAAGAGCCCTCAAAAATGAAATGGGCCGAATCGCAAAACTCAAAAAAAACACCAGGGATATAATGACAATTTCATTCTTAGCAGCTGAGGGCCGTGTGTTCTACTGTAGTAGTATAGTAACTTGCAACATTGATATGTTCCAAGGTTCCAAGGTTCAAATGTGGCCATGTACTGCACTCATGAAATACCCAATAGAATTATCCATGGATCCTCAAATAAAGTACTTCGATCATAAACGCTCGTTCACCCATGCGTGGTCTATAGAACCATGGCCCTATGCTCCTGTAATCACAAGGACCCATGAATTACATAAAGAGTAAAAACCAAAATAAAGTCATAGTCACTAACATGTCTTCCCCAAACTAGCCAACTGAAAGCCAACTCCTAACGCGTGTCGAGTCTCAAGGAAAGTGACGCGAGCTAAATTCTAAACGACGGATCTGAAGCCAGTCACTTCCTTTCCCCCTCATGTTTACTAATACTCTCCGCAATGAACCTCTAAGAAGCGATATAAGTCCAGACCCATGGATAGGACAGGATCTAATCTAGATGAAGTCGATCAGAGCCTATTCCTTATTCCACGTCACTGCGCCAAAGCCATATATCTATCCAATCAATACCAATATCAATATCAATATCAATATCAATATCTAGATTTGGATTTGGATTCGTAAGTTCATGTGAAATGGCTTAGCTTTACGGCACGGCTCCAATTGATCCCGCAAGGTGACGTAGACCCCGGAGCTCGCGGGTATGCATGGAAGATGCTCAACGGGGAAACGAACCCGATAAAACAACACCCCCCCAGATGAACCAATTGCAAAAAAGAAAGAAAATTATAGCGATCGACCATTGACAAGCGGATTCCTTGATTTTGAGCTAGAAATCTTCACGTACGGAGACCCAATTGCTGTCTAAAGGAGGGGACTGGGGTGGTGGTTGGGCAGCTGCTTAGGACAAAAACGAGATGTGAAACCCACCACGCCACGTCTCATGTTCTGGGACAGCTATGTATCTGCACTTGTCCGATTCCGAGAGCTCGAATATTACATTACAGGATACAGGATACAGGATACAGGAATACAATATACAGGAATACAATATACGTCCAGATCACATTCAAGCTCTGATTCATTGGCATTATCGCTTAGGTACCGGAGGACACATACATACAACATACAAGTCATATTTCAAATTTTCAACCCTCGCCAAAAAAAAAAAAATCAAGCCGTCATTTGAAAGGAAATCGTAAGACAAAGGAAATAATAAATCACACTATTCTTAAAGACCCGAACCAAGGGGGAATCCACGTCACTAAAACATTTACAGACGGGAGCCGTGGATGACCTTGAAGTCGACGACGAGCTCACGACCACCGTCGTTGATGACGAGGGCGCGGACGGAGCCACGGCCATCAGCGAAGGCTTCACGGATACGCTTGAAGAGGTTGCCCTGGGTAATGACGGGGAGACCCTGCTTGACATCGCCGGTCTCGGTCATGGCGACGAGCTTGCCGTCATCACGGAGGTCGAGGATGCGGTAGGTCTTGTAGACGGGGCCGAGCATGGTCTGGACAACCACGGAGGGAGAGGGGTTGGAGATGAAGCTGGACTCCTCCTGCAGGCCGCGAGAGAACAGATCAACACCGAGGTAACGGTGCTGGCCGGTCTGGGGGGAGACGGAGATCCGGATGACCTGGCAGGGACGGCCCTGAAGGATCAGGATGTCACCGACGCGGACGTAGTGGCAGGGGATGGGGATGGTCTCGGCGCTGGCACCGCCACGGGGCTCGACGATGCGAACGTTCTCGCGGGGACCCTCGGAGCCGTGGGACTCCTCATGCTCACCGTGGTGGAAGGGGTGCATGATGCGGTCGGCGGCGCGCTCAACGCCACGGCGGAAGGAGTGGTACTGGCCTTCGTCGTCGTAGTAGCCCATTTTGCGAGGTGCTTCACGGACAGTAGTCTTGACTTCGGTGGGGGCGGAGTAGTAGCGAGGAGCGGAAGACTGAACGGCTTCGGCTTCGCGACGGGGATAGCTTTCGCCTTGGTAGTCGCCTTGGTAGACGGACTGGGATTGGGGCTTGTAGGAACGGTTGTACGAGACGTCGACGGACTGGTCCGGGGAGTACTCGAAGCTTACGGGTTCCTGGAAACGACGTTCGTAAGAGACGTCGAACTGGGGGTTGGGAGAGGTCCGGCGACGGTAATCTCTCTCAGTGAGGTCGAGCTGGGTCTCGACGGTCTGATCGTAGACAGGGGGACGTTCCTCGAAACGAACCGAAGACTGTTGATAGTTGGGGTAGCTAAGGATGAAAGCGTTAGTGAAATGAAGAGAAAGTGTAAACATATAAACAAAAACAACACGCCGAACCCCGGTCACCGCTCATTGGGGCGAGTGGATCCTTCCCAGACGATTGGCGTGACACGTAATTCAGGTAATTCAGTCCGGGGCCGAATTCGCGACGCCTCCAAACCAGGATGCGGGCCATGCGCCGAATGGGCAGGTCCATAGTGTCTCCACAGTGGAGAGCCGCGCATCTCACTAGACCAGCCACGGGGTTTCGGGAAAGAAATTGGGAAATCAAAACAAAAACAGAGATCAACCCAAAAATACATACCGTTCACGAGTGAGGTCAACCTCGGCTGCGTAGTTGCGCTGCTGGTAGGGAGCACGAGCAGGAGCGGAGTGATCGTCCTTGATCTGGAACCGATCTTCTTTGATGTGAAAATCGATTTCTTCTTTTCCGTAGACGCGAGGGTCGGGGATGGGTCCCTTCGTATCTTCCCGTTCGGCGCGCGAAGTACGATCGAGTTGGACTTCTCCCTCTACTCTCGTCTGAGTAGTTTCAGAGACAGCGTCACTCCGGTACGACGACGGGAAGACACTGAAGGGGATAGGGACGCGGGCGTCAAAGTCCAGATTGACGGATGTCCGACGTCCTTTCTCGAATGCCTTTCGAACTGTTCAAGACAACTCGAAAGACTAGACAAGAAAAGACTTGACTGGGGGAAGTCTTTCTCGGAGAGAAGGAAAGAAGTAAGAATTGATCGGAATGGGATCAAATCTAATCTTTCGCGTGGATGACAGGGTAGTCAGGAATGTGTGTAGAGCAGAGGAATGGAAAGGGAAGAGGGAGGGGAGGACGGGGAGAGCTGGAGGTCATCGTTTATTTATCTCATGCGGTGTTTGTTTACTGCGCCTTGCCTGATTGGGGCGTGCGCGGATCACCGAGGTTGATTTCTGGTTCACTCATGATTATTCAAACCCTACTTTTTACTGGGTTTCACGTCCGTTACGGTGTACCAAGATTAAAGATCAAATTGATGGCTGGAATGCGGAGTCGCATTCCAGCCATCTATATCTGTTAGGTCTCTTCCCCTACGGAGTACTCCGTACGCATATAGTACAGTACGATTAGTACCCAAAGTACACCGCTCAAAATCTTTCACATGAGGCTGGCCAGCCCCGTAAACCCCGTAACCCCGTATTGAGCGAACGGTGGTTCTATCGCCATGGCAACCCCGGGCCAAATCGGACGCGCCCGCCGATCGCTCCACTCCTCTCTTGATCTCACAGTAAGGAAAACAGGGGGGGGACAAATCGAGGGTAGAATCCCCCTCTATATAACCATAGCCACCTCCTCGAGACCTCCTGGAGACCTCCTAGAGACCTGCTTGTATTCCACATTACGACCCATCTCACAGTGGAGACAGTGAAACCGACAACGCACAGCTCTCCACTTGGAATTGATGTGTCCAGAGCCCGAGCTGCCAGGTACTTCGACGGTGGTTGGGCGAGCCTGCAGGTGTCTAGACCGTATATTACCGAGGCTGGGCAGTGCAAAACGGGGGTTGCACAGGCGAGCTGAAAGTGGTGAAAAGTGGCTGGTTATCGGGACTCCACTTACTGCAACTGTGGACCTATGTAGGGGTGCTCTTTTTACCCACGGTGGGTTATTCGTCATCGTCCATTCGTCATTTTTGACTGAGCTGGGTATCTACCAAGTACAGTACAGTACTTTTTTGCTTGAAGGTCTCCACGTCGATCAATTGTGGTCCCAGGTCTAATTCCCAGGGTCAAGAAAATGCATCTATTAAGACATTGTGTAAACAGACCAAAAACACATAAACGAAGGAATTATACACGAATTGAAGAAACGAGGGTATCAACTGTATATAGTACGGGAACATGCTTCCAGGGACACTTGCACAATGCCCCAGCCAGAAAAAAAAAAAAAAAAAAAAAAGAGTGTAGTCGAAACAAGGTACAAGACTCGAAGGTATAATCAGGTATTAGAGATTAGATCCTCGCGGAATATTGCAATCCGTTTGATCGGGGTCAGAGACCAGACAATTGGATGTCTCAACACGGAAAGAAAATGGACATTAAACATGTAGAGGTTCGATCGCACGAAGTGAAGAGGTTCATGATCGTAGACCAAAGGCTTTGCGAAGCATGGGGAATCGTTTCTTTCGCCCGGATCCTGCGATCACCACATCGCGCGCGGCTGGGCCGGGGTCGGTGAGGTTCGTAATTTCAGAGCTGGCGTCGTGGAACTCAGGCTCGGGTTGGGAGGGTCCGGTTTCTGTGGCTGGAGAGTCGCCATTGACGAGAGTGCCATTGGCTGGAGCCGGCTTCTCCTTTCGCAGGGGCGATGATGGTGCACTCTGGACCTGCTCTGAAGCGGGTGTGGGGGCCGGCTGCTCTTCTTGGGGACGAAGCGGCCAGGCATCACCACCGAGGGTGTGTCGCTTGTTCTTCTTGAGCAGTTTGCCCGATGGCGAGGACGGCGGTTCCGCCTCGATAGTAGCCGTGTAGGTGTTTTCCATGGCGTAGGGTTCTCGCAATTGCTCGCGCTCCAGGCGTGATCGCTCAAGCGGCGTATCTCTCCGAGAGGGACTCTCGACATCGGCCTTGTAAACGCGACTATCGTTCTTGGCCTTCTTGAGACCGATACGAGTGAGGAAGCCTTGCTTTTTAGGTTGCATGAGGAACGCCTCGAGCTCCTTCTGACTCATGCCGCGCTGTCGAGCCACGGCTGCCATACCAGACATGTTCGGTGCATTGTGATCGCGAGAGCGTTGTAGCCGTGCGTCCCCACGCGGCGGGATCACCAATCCACCCGGAGTCTGAGCCTGACCGTGTTGCTGGCGATTGTCTTCAGAGCTATCCTCCAGGTCGGTCGAATCGCCGTCATGAGCGCCCTGGCGGCGGGGGATTCCACGAACGGGGCGCATGGCATTATTGCTACCTTCACCTTCGTCGCTGGAGTCGGCAAATCGACTGCGGAAGACTTGAGGGCGGGATTCATCCTCGTCGTCCGAATTGGCAAACCGAGTTGCACCCTTCGACTTGGGAGGCGGCTTGGTGAATTTTGCACGAGGAGGCGCTTTCTTGTTTGTGGAGAAGAAAGAGGTTCGCTCGCCTCCACCAGGTGGGCTTCGTAGGGTCTTGCGCATCGTTCCAGCGCCAGATCCAGACGACATTGGTCGATACTCCTCAGGGGAGCCTGCCCGGAGAGTTGGAGGCTGGGCTTGACCAGTAGGGACGGCGCCGGCTCTCATCGTCCGACGCATACCATGGAAGCCCTCACTGCGAGGTGAAGGAGTAGCGCGCTTGAAACTGCTCGATGAATCACTACCATTTGACGCTGTTCGACGAAGGGAATTCGGGAAGGCGGCCACGGGGCTCTTCATTTGGAACGCCGGGCCAAGAGACACAGGTCGGTTCTGAGTCTTGCCATATGCCGCACCATTGACAGGCTGTGACCGGCGATCCTGCAGGCCAGAGCTTCCGTAAGCATCGACAGAACCAGTCCGTTTCTGTTTGTTTTCTGATTGCATGGCCCCGTTCTGGGATGCTCCAGCTTGAGACTTGGATGGCGGAGGCGGAGAGGGGGATTCTGGGAAAGCCATGGCAGTAGATGACTCTTCCATCTTGCGATTAACAGATTCTTGCGTTGGCGTTATAGAGCGAGGTTCCTCCGCAGCCTCTGTGACATCTTGCGATTGACTGTCGACAGCCACAGTCCGAGTAGTCGGCCTGGGAGTAATGTCACGACTTTCGCTGGTCGTGTCTAGAGGAACTGATGATCTAGGGATTGCTCGACTATCGACAATGGCATTGATCGACCCGAAGCCATCTCCGTCGAAGTCTTCCTCCGCATCACTGTAGATGCTGTCACCCGAATCGCCCTCGGTATCAACGTCGTCCAAGTTGGGAAGAGGGCTTGCCATAGGCTGCCTAATTCCTTCAGCTGCAGACTTAGGCTTGCGATCCGAGTTCGGCGGCGGAAATCCACCTGGAACCTGGTATTGATCAAGGCTTGACCGGTTTGACCGCGATTGATCAAAGCTGGGCCGGTCGTTCTCGAGCATGGGAGTAGCTGGCTGGACAGCAATGGACGGTAGAGCAGTCTCGGATTCTGCCTCAGTAAATGGTGGGTTTTCGGCGATCCCACCCAGGGCGGTGCCATCCAATTTTTTGTCCGAAGATGGCTCCTTCAAAGAAGAAGGCTCGCCTTTGACAGAGAATTGCTCCACAGACTTGACATCATGGACCTGCGACGACTCCGCGGGATAGACCTTGGGAAGCATGCTTCCAAGGGCATGATCATTAGAAAATGAAACGCCCCGATCTGGAGCCTCATCCCCAGATGTGCCGGTAGATTCGTTGTCGCTAAATTGAGGGATGGGAGGGACCGGAGTACCATCTCGGTTCTTTCGAACGCTACCAAATGATGGCAGGACCGGTCGGGGCTTCAAAACTTCGTCAAAGTCGTCATCGCCTGTGACATGGTCTGACGGTTGCTTCTTCCTGCCAACGCCGAACCAATTCTTGCGAGTCTTGGACTTACCCGGAGGTGAGTCCGGCGCGTAGTCTTCGGGGGATGTTGGAGGACTAGCTGCGACTCCAACAATCTCGGCCGCGTCATCAAAGCTGACCCTAACAGACTTCTTCTTCGGCACAGGTCGAGAACCATCATCTGAGGCTACCGAAGTTCCATCGGACAACTCACTCGTGGGCACAATTCGACCAGTATGAGCAGCCCGCCTGTCCGGAGACAGAGAGTCTCCGCGTTGGCTTTTCAGCGCTGATTTCACGGGTGATACTGACCTCGGCGGAGGCTGATGAACTTGATCGCCAGCTGCGGAAACGGAAAGCCACTTGGAGAAGTGGGCAGATCGATTGGGGCTGCTTGGCTGGCGTGCATGTTCAGGTTGCTGCGGCGTAGATTCCTTGTCCGCCGTCGGAGACGGCTGAGGGGTCGACACCGTCTCAGCATGGTCAACGGTAGGTGATGCTGTCGCAGATCGGTTTCGGGTCTCCTCAACACGAGAGGCATTGATTTTACCTGCCGGCTCCTGCTCCTCAATGACTGTCGATGGCCATCGTTCAATAGCTCGGGAAGGTTGCTCCTCAATATCTGGGTTAGTGACTGCAATTGGCCCATCGTCACCAGAGCGTTGATCCCGTGTGCGGGTATCAAGGGGCTCTGGATCTATCCGTTCGCGCCTTGCATGAGCCGTCTCCACCCGTGGGCTGTCTTTGTGCATACTAACGGCCTTAGCTGCGGCTGCGGCGGTGCCAGCCGGAGCGCCAACAGATTTGATGACGTTTTTCTCCTCTGCATTCTCTGCACCATGACGTCTGGACTTGGGATTCAACGCCTTCTCTGCTACTTGGGAGGGCGATTGTTGAGCACTGGCCGCAGCTGCAGGTACCACACGACCCGAAGGTCCCTCCCGACTCACAGGGCGATTCTCATGCACAGCCGGTATCACCGGTGGAGAAATTGGCCGTGAGAAATTGACCGAGCTCCTACTATTCGGTCGATCCGTCTCAGGCACCGTTCCCAGGCTACTAAGCCGGTTGTGCGCCGAGTGTACCGCCGAACCCCCTTCTCGCCCTCCTCGATCCGCACTGACGCCTCGTGCGCTTGCCCGTGGTGGAGAAGCGGGAGGTGTTCGCATCTGTGGTTGCATGCTCACAGCGCGGCGGTTTCGGGGGTTTCCGCTCGCATATTGCGGAGGAACGGACGGCAGCGGAGGTGCATTGCTCGGTGTGTGGTTTATGGGCCCTGAGCTCGTGGATGGGCGATGAGGGGACGGTTCGCGAAAGCTTCTTGCCGTCATCGAGCCGGAGCTGCTCGATCGACGCAGAGTGCCACTGACACTCGCTGACCGGCGACCGGACACGGGGTTGGCCTGCGACTGGCTCGAGGACCGCCGCTGAACCATCCGCTTGGTCTCGACATTTCCGACGGAGGTTGGAGTCGGTGTGCGATTGCGTAGAGCGGCGGCTGCGGCTGCGGACGAGAGACTATTCGTGGATGGTTGGGACTTTAGGAAGGCATGGCTGGCGGCGGTCTGCGCTGATTGAGCGGAGGCGGTAGGTAGCGGCTACATTAAGCAGACAAGGTTAGCGCACTCGTATTCATCGTGAATTACCTCGAGTCGAGGTTCCCAAGGATCGTGGGAATCCTCGAGTAGAGGTTAGGCAGCTCGGTACGTACCACCTGGTGATAGGAGGAGCTTCTCTTGCGACGGCCGAACATGGCTACTCGTGCTCCAGAGCTTCACGGGGAACGAATCGGATAGCCGGCCGGACACTGCGCTCAGCAGCGCCGGGGTTGATCCGAGATTGAGACGGAAGACTCGGATGTGTGATGGTTGTGGCCCGACGAAAGACCTGTAGAGGCGCGTAGAGTATGGGAAAGGAGGGTCGCGAAGATGGAAGAGAGAGAACGCGACGAGGCCAGGAACGAGTGAGCCAGGGTAAGGGGTTGGAAAAAACCTAGAGACCAAGGGTTTTTTTTCACAACAGGTTACATTCAGTGGAAAGCGATGAAGGTTTTCGGGAGGTGAGCACTTGCGTCATGACTGCCTCCTGGGTCAGGCACGGCTCCTCCCTAAAAAACAGGCTGATGGTTCCCCCGAATCACAGCTTTATAAAACACATCTCAGGATCCATTCCGGGTCTATTGATTCTAAATTTACTACAGGTTATTACGAACAAGGTCTAGGCTCATCAATTATGTCCCTGGATGCCTCACCCTCGCTTTTGCCCCTCCCCGAGGGCGTCTCAAGCCGCCTCGTTCCAACTCCCGATCTCACCTTTCACGTTCTGGAAGCTGGAGCCACTCCCGATCGTGATCGTCCCTTGGTGATCTTATTACACGGTTTCCCCGAAATTGCCTATTCATGGCGTCGAGTTCTGCCCCAGCTCGCCGCCGCCGGCTTCTACGCCGTAGCCCCTGACCAGCGTGGCTTTGGCCGCACCGTCGGCTGGGACGATCGAGCGTATGAGCATGTCGATCTGCACAGTTTCTCAATGACCACTTTCGTGCGCGATGTGGTGGTTTTGGTGCATGCTCTGGGCTATCGATCGGTTCGATGTGTAGTGGGTCACGATTGTGGCGCTATGACGGCGGCCACTTGTGCCTTGATCCGACCGGATTTCTTCGAGAGTATTGTTCTGATGAGCCATCCATTCAATGGCAGTCCTAACCTGCCTTTCAATACTGCGAATGAGGGCAGCGATGAGGAACAGGCTGCAGCTGCAGCACGGGGTGGTGGTGGTGGTACTGAAGGCTCTGCTGCTGCTTCGGGGATCCACGATGCTTTGGCCAAACTTGGTCGCAAGCACTATAAATGGTACTATTCGACCCCCCAGGCTGGTCCTGATATGTCGTCTCTCTCTTTAGAGGATCTGCGCCGCTTCCTGCGAGGGTACTTCCATTTAAAGAGTGGTTCCTGGCCCGGTAACAAGCCGCGCCAATTGTCTGGCTGGACTGCTGAAGAGGTTGTTCAAATGCCTGGATATTACATCATGCCTCTAGACGCAACAATGCCCGAGACTGTAGAAGGGGATATGGCCGATGAGCCGACAAAGGGCATGTCCTCACATTCATGGCTGCCCGAGAATGAACTTGCAGTCTACGCGGCTGAGTATGCTCGCACCGGTTTCCAAGGTGGGTTAAATTGGTATCGTGTGCGTACTGCTCCGGGAGGTCGTTTTACCAAGGACTATGATACCTTTGCGGGGAAGAAGATCGAACCTCCATGTGCGTTTGTATCTGGAAAGCTGGATTGGGGCATCTATCAAGAACCCGGTGCACTAGAGAAGATGACCAGTGGTGCAGTCTGTTCTGATTTCCGGATACTGCGGCTTCTCGATGGAGTGGGTCATTGGGTTCCTCAGGAGGCTCCAGATGAGGTTGCGCAGACCATCATTGAATTGACCAACAGTCTTGCGTAGATTATGGATAAAGCATGTTATTTTTTACTTTCTATAAGTACATATCTAGGTGGTTTTCAATGCTTACTTATGCATAATGTTACACAGCCTCTATTCTGAATGCTGATCTCTCTACAACAATTGATCAAGGCCTTCCATGGTCACTATCTTGAGGCAGGTTTAGAAGATAGCAAGGCTATGATAGAGAAAAATATATCTTTGAATCTTTGAATCCGCAATGACCCAACACTGATGACAAGTCCATTAAAGGCGAATTAAGACCACTAGAGACCATATACATACAAGCAATGCTCACATATAAGAGAGGCGGTATAATAAATTCAACATTTTGGACGTATATCCTCATTAAGCAAATCAACCATAAGAGAAAGGGTATGTTTCAAATCAACGCGTCGCACACAAATGCAAGTCAAAAACCAGATCAGACATTTACAAAAACGAGCCAAAGAACACAGCAACCATAATCGGCACCAGAGCAAGCAACGTACTCTGAGGCTTCACCATCGCCACACCACTCGTCCCAATAGCAGAAGTAGTATACATATACTGGAAGCTGAGATCGCTAGAATTGAAGCAGTTGTCCCGGGTAACTTCTTGGATTTCAGGGTCATGGTCATCGGCGAAGATGATATCGGCACACTACATCAAATCAGCAAGTGCCCAAAGATGGATATAGAATGTGGTGAAGTGGGACATACGTTAAACAGAGCGGCGCCATGCTTAGCCACTTCCACGACCTGGATAGTCGCGTAATCACCAGCCTTGACGCTAATATTGGCCGGCAGCGGCACCTGAGGCAGACAGAAGGTACCAGGGTAGGGGTTGTTGGTCGGGCCGGTGATCTGGAACGGGGAGACGACGGGATGGCTCATATTCTCTGGAGTCTCGCCGAAGCCGAGGTTGACGTAGATGAGTGCGGTCTCGTGGCCCGGGAACCAGCCCGGTTGAACAGCAAGGGCACCGCCGTTTATGGGCCATTTTGTGCGGTTAGTGGAGGTGGGCATTCCGCCGCCTGGAAGGAATTAGTGAGGGGTTCGATGGGACGGACGGAAGGCTGCTTACATGGGTAGATCCATTCCATGCCGTAGGGGTAGTAGAGGGAGCCATTTTTAGTATTGTAGGCTACCCCGAGGCCATTTGCTTCGGCGATTGTGCCGTTGGTGTTCAGGTTGTTTCCTCGGTAGCCGGGGTATGTGATGACGGTGTGGGCATGGGTGAGGCTTGCACAGAGTAGGACCACGAGGGTGGCCCAGGAGGATATCGACGTTTGGATAGTCATGGTGAATGTGGATGTGGACGTAGACTAGATGTGAAAGCGACGAGCTCAAATCGCAGGTCCAGAGGAGAACCGGTCCCTTATTATCGCCGAATGACGGTCAACGTCAATCTCCAAATGGCACGGTGCAAGCAGGCTGGGTGTTCAGGAAAGAAAAGGATCATGAATCCGGAGCACTCAACCAGACCAAGCCACGGAAGGTTTTCGAGGGCTGGTCGGCCTCTTTTTGAGGGGGTACCGAATGCAATGCAGGCATCGCAAATGCGGACGAGTCAGGATGTGGGATCCAAGTGTGACTGAGAGTGCAGGTTCAACCGCCGGTGACTGGCCGAGGGCCACTCAGTGGACCAGGGATGTCGGGGATCATCACGGCTTACTGCAAGTGCAGTCACTTTACCCCCGTTTTGGGCACAGTGATTGGTGGGGCGCCTGCAGTTCGAAGCGCCGAGGGGCGACGCTAATCCTGGGCTTGAGGGGTTGCTCTGTCTTGCCCGGCGCCTAGAGTGCTGGGAGGTGTGATGGATGCAAGCGTTCACGGCTAAGCAACGGTGTTCCTGTGGGAAGAGCCGTAGTGTCACCGATCATGTTGTCGGTTGGAACGCCGTTAGGAGCTGTTTGGCTATATAGATGTGACGGGTGCGGGATGGCTCCACCTAGGTCTTGAGGTGGAAGCTTCTCCATCCGAACCTGTACTGTACTTGACTTCATTCCGGAAGAAACATGGATCAATTTTATATCCCACTGCTACCTCCTAGCTCCGTCAACGACCCCGGGAAAGCTACCATAGATCTTATCAGAGCTTCCAAGGACTCGGTGAATATCTACAATTTACAATTTACAATTTACACAGCAAGACAGCAATACTGCACAGAGAAACGTCTATCAAAAGAACCCTTCAATCCGAACGATGGCACCAATTCACTATCACATCACTAGACCACTTTCACAGAGTATAACCATCTAGACTCCGATCGAACCTCCCTAGATAAGAATCATAGACACAGGACCCGCCATAAAACCGCTGACTAATCCAGATCCCCCAGTTCCACCGCGGGGCCCCAAAAAAAAAAAGATGAAGATCAAGCTCACGAACCCTGCCATCTTATATAAAATACCTCCTCAAACGGCAATTCAGAATGCCACACACATCCCGACAAAAGCGCACTTCTAACCCGGCGCAAAAACGCCTCCAAGTAACCTCATCCGACGGCTGGACCCATGTCACAAGCAGCAACAATGTGCGCCGGGTAATGCGCACATCCCGAGTCCCAAGCGCAGCCCAAGCAAAAGAAGAAGAAGAATCCATACTCGGACCGGCCGAAGCACCAGCGCGCCTCACCTTCGACGATCTACAGACGCAGTACGCGGCGCATCGAGATCGCTGGGTTGAATCCGAGACATGGAAGACGCTCTCGAAGCTTCTTGCCGAGCAAATGCGTGAGAGAGAACGTATCGTATTAAACGATGACACGGCGTGGGGGCCCGTGGATGCGATTGTTTGTATCGGACTCGGCAGTCCGAGTGGGTTCCTGCGTGATGGGTGGGTTGATCGGCGAACGGTATCGATGTATCAGCTTGCAGCGCTGGATAGTATGGCGACGCAATTATCCCGTTCGTTTAATTCTTTTCCTTTCTCTTCTCGTTCCTTTCAATTCTGCAAAACTAACTCGAGCTGAAAAAAAAGAAGGTCCGGATGATAGCATCCCGTTCTCGTTCCCTATCTACGCACAAGACCCCGTCTTCAACGGCCTCGATTGTTTACTTCTCGAATCGCTGGGTATAACGATCGTCAATGACCCGGTTGCATTCGAACGTATTACGCAAAATACACTACTTTTCTGTCCTGGCGCGGAGAAGAAGCATCTCGAGCTGGTTTTGCCGTCGAATCCGTGTCTTGTTTTCGGCGGGCCGTTGGAGATGGCCGATTCGGAGGTTATACAGAGTTATACATCGAGGGTGGAATCAAGGGGCTTGGTTCCGTTCACGATCAATGAGCATGCGTTTTGGAAGATGAGGTTGTATTTCCGCAAGGAGGAGGCGCAGGAGGAGGAGTGATCTTGGTGCTATTTAGAGGGTCATATTGCATTTTGCATGGTGAGGAGTTTTGGGATTTGCTACTTTTTGAATGATAGTTTCATTCTCGCCATGGGATGGATGTAAATATAACGAGTGCTGCGGATGTTCGTCTAGGAACTCGAAGTGCAGTACATGAACATGCTCTACACATGTGGGTGCCATACCTATTTCTATGTTAAAATGATGGTGGCTTGGTAGGCTCGTACGTAGTCCATACCAAGCTTTCTACTGTCTTGAATGACCCCCCGTTCATCTGAAACATCGAGACATCATTCAGCCCTAGAGTGCTAGTACTTGCGATAATCTCCTATTGAAGCAAACTGCGAAACATGTGCAGCAGACATAAATCAGAATTAATTGCGGAACGACTATTTACACCATTTGCTAAACCGAGACGCGCGAAAAAAAAGCCAAATCGATATCCTATGCAGAGAATTCCATCCCGAAATGTCTCAAGTGCTCGCAACTGGTCCGCAGACTAACGCCTTGCGCAAAGTAGTGAAGAGAAAAAAAAGAAAGCAAAAACAATGTCGGATTGCCACTTGAGGCAACAAGATCAGAGGGATAGGATGGGATGGAGATGTAGGAGTCGAAGGATAGAAAAGGAGGAATGTCTTTTAAGGTAGGGACGGGATAAGATGAGGACGTATATGCATGCGGGTTGTTTTCATGATCATGATCCCAGAGGGAAATTAAGAGGCGGTTTTACCGTCGCAGGAAGGGATCTTGAGACCGGGTTTGATCTCGCGTGCTTGATCCATCAGGCCCCATTTGTCTTCCCAATCTTTGCCGGGCGTGTTGAATTGGATCTTCCACGGTTCGTCGAAGGCTTCGAACCTGTTTTGCATTAGTTATGTTCATCATCTCAAGAGAAGGAAGCGTACCAGAAGTAGTCGGTGCCATTTTCTAGAGCCTGGCAGACCCAGTCGGACATGAATGTGTTCATGTTGGCGATACTAGCCACTGAGCCAGGCGTATCGGAGTCGCAAGTGGGACTTTCTCCGCAGTCTTTTCCACCACCGCTGGGCCAGCCCACTTCGGAGATGATCTGTTTCTTGTCGGTGCCTGCGGTCAGGTCGACGTCGTGGGTTTGCCAGAAATCCCAGGTCCATGCTGCTGCTACGTCGACATTGACGCCAGCGAAGAAGGGATGCACATTGGACATGACAACGTCAACTGCTTTGACGAGCTGGGCATTCCAGTTGTCTCCGAGGTCGGAGGTTGCGACGAGCAGGTCGAGACTGCGCTTTTTAAGTGCAGAGCGGACGTCGTCGAGGTAGCTAATGAGGTTCGTTTCGGCAGTTGCGATGTCGGGACCAGCTCGGTACAGGGCCTCGTTACCCACGATAATGCCCTTGAAGATGGAAGTGTTTGTTTTGTCGAGAATGTCATAGAGCTGGTCGATCTGGCGGTTGGTTGTGGTCGTGTTGGAATCAATCCACACACCTAGCCAAACCTTCATATCGGTCAATCCCAACTTGTCAATCGCGTGCAGGGTCATCTCGGTCTGGTTGCAATCCGTGCCGTAGAGTCGAACAGTGTTAGTCAACTGCGAAAGCACGGCCAAATCCCGAGTAACATTGTTCTGCGAAGGCGGATACTTCAGACAAAGCGGATACTGCACACCCCACGGCGTGTAATCCATGCCTGGGAACACTTTGTGCAAATCTTTGTTGTTCATGAGCGCTTTGATCTCATCCGAGTCCTTGTCAAGATCGCCATTTTGTTTTGTATCATCATCAGCCGAGTTGTCATTCGACGAGCCGCCATTGTTGCCCTTATTTCCAATTGTTCCTCCAACGGCACCACCGATAATAGCACCAAGGATGACAAGACCAAGAATAAGCCCAACAAGCAACCCTCGCTTCTTCCGCGACATCCCGGTTCCCGGACCCTTCTTCTCTCCATCTCCATCTCCGCTTTCCAACCCACCACCAGGGACAGGCCCGTAAGACGGACTGGCATTCCGACCATTACCGAACAAACCACCTAGAACCCCACCAGCAGCCGCACCACCCGCCGCGCCAGTCGCGACAGGAGCATTTGATCTCGGCACGAACCCGTCATCCCCATCGTCAGCGATATCATCTGGATTGATAACCGCCTGAGGACTGTACTGAGAATGTCGCTGATACGGGCCATCGGTAACAATTCCACCCCCATAAGGAGCGTGATACTCCAATATACTGCGCCGATTCGACCCATCACTAAGATGTGTTGAAGATTGACCCGGAGATCGAATGCCCGGTGCAGCAGCCGAAGCACCTAAAGCCATATTTGAGCCATACGACTGCTCAGCTTGTAGAGACTCAGAGCTTCCATAGCCAGCAGGTGGGACGTAGGGATTATCCGAGCCGCTGGTGTGAAAGGCGCGCTCGGAGGGACCGGCAAAGCCATCATGATCCATGGTGTGAACAGCGTCGATGCCGCTAAGGCGATCGTGGGAGTTTGCGACTCCGAGTGCGATGCCACTAATACCGCCGCCGACGGAGGAAGGACCTAGATTATCGACACCAGGAGTGGTGGTGGAATTGTGTCGCGTGTAAGCGTACCGATGGGGTGGTGGGACTGGGTATTCTGAATTGTCGCTCATTTGTGAAAGTGTGCTGGATTGTCCAGCTGTGGAGCAGATCCGGACCTGGTATGTAGGGACCGTTGCTGCCTACGAGAGAGGACAGAAAGTCGAGTTCTCGAGAATGAGGGGAGTGAGAAATTGTAGAGAGGTAAATGTGAGGGAGAAAAAGAAACTATTGCAAAACAGGTGAGATCCGGTTCCCGACGAAACGAGCGGAGGCGTAGTTGTGTCAGGTTAAGTTTAGGATGAGACCGGCTAGAGAGTTCAGGCGTGACAGAGTGGAATGAGGAATGGATGGCACCCGTGGACGGTACCTGTGGACGGGTTCAGGTCTAAGGGCGGGAAGGTTTCCAGGCCGCGATCGTCAACACAAGGGTGGCCCGGACAACGGATGACGGACTTGGGTAGCTCGTATTGCTTTCGCTTTCTTTGAATAATTAGGGCAGTGCATATGAAGTGTCTATTTGCTTTTGCTCCATAATGGGTATTCCTCCATGAATACCCTTTTCGAATATGGCCCTGTGTATGTGTATCTAAACTAACCATGACCGAATGCAGGGCCCAAGGGTCCTGTCAATGTGGGCTGTGTGGGTCAGGGTCAACTCCCGATGTCTATTTTTGGCCGGATGCGACCCAGGGTTCGTATAACTGAGCGATGCTAATCGTGTACTTTCTACCCGCGAACATGTATATTCTCAATGGTTATCATCAGCCGTTATTCATAATCCGTAAATCCATACATCCCCTATCCCTATCCCTGCGCCATGAAGATCATTCCAGTCGTTCCCTTGTTTTTGGTGTTGGTTCCACATAGATCCCTTCAAACCATAGACAGTCCAAAAAAAAAAAAAAAAAAAAAAGAACAGAACAGAATAGACGACAACAGAACAGAACACAATAATGAAAAACAACGCAAATCAAAACAAGCAGAAGCAAAAAAAAAAAAAAAAAAGCGTTATCCCTCCACCTCCTCCGCACTCCGTTGAGCAGCAGATTGCGCCCCAGACTCCAACCGACGACCTCCGCGCTCCAGGAACCTGCGCTTCCCACGCCGAGTATCGAAATGCTCCGGAATATCCGATGGGTCCTGACCCGCAGCGAGCATGCTACTGCGCATCTTATTCCGGTAGGCGTCCACTACGTTCTCGTCAGCATATTTCATCCAAAGTTTCCAGTGAGACACGTCTCAGCCGCGGCACGTGCGAGGCCCACTCCAACCAAAAAATAAACACAACTACCGAGAGTGTGCATCACGGTCCAGGAAAAGAAAGGCGCGAAAGGGCGGGGAACCTTACACGATCGCTGCAAAAATAGCATACGGCCCGCAAACACCCGGCTCTGACTCCAGCTTAGTCGGTATCCGAGGTCATTCATGAGAACCTCGTTGCGGTGGCGGCGCCGAGAAAGCTTGGGTACGACAACGTCTCGTTCACCGTCTAGAGAAGGTGCAGGGACCGTCGTGCGGCCGACAGTGGCGTCAGTCGGATCGTCGACTTGCTCGGTGTCGTCGCGGAAGAAACGTCGTCCTGTGAGCACTCGGCCTGGGGCGTCTTTCATCTGCACGGGGAAATAGGTGCGCGGGTACATGGCGTTGGACTTGCGGTATGAGTCGGGGATTTCCTCCATCTTGACTTTATCCAACATGACCTTGACTCGAACACGGGATCCGCGGTGCGGGTCTTCGACCAGGATGAACGTGCGTTTCTTGCCGTCGGGCAATTTACCGAAGAGGTCTTCGTTGTCTGGGCTTTGCTCGTCGTCGCCGTCGACGCCGGTGTCCATGCGGCTGGATGTCGCAATTGTTGGGTGCCGGCCTAGCGCGCTGAGTCCACTGTCGCGCATCAGCGGTGGCATGGCTGGGCCGGTTTGTCTGGTAGGCCCGACGGTGTCATGGAAGACCTGTGCGGGCCGGATGTCCGGGATCAGAGGGGTGGGTAGACGTGTGTCAAGAGACTGCTGAGTTCCGGGGTAGTCGGAGCCTATAGAAGGAATCACGGTAGAGAGAAATTAGCCTACGCTGTACGTGCAACTGTCGGGAGAGGGCTTCAGGATCCCAATGAAGAAAGGCACGAAGATGCGCGCGGCGGCATCGAATGATAAGGCAACAACTCGCACAGGGTATGAAATCTCAAGCATAAAAAAAAAAAAACAAAGAAGAAGAAGAAGAAGAAGAAGAAGAAGAAAGAAAAAAGAAGCAGACCGAATCTGGACCATAGTACACCAGTAAATGTCTCGCAGCTCCAAACGCACTCGTGACAAACTTCCAAGTGTACACATACACATCCGAAAACAAGACGCACAAGACGTGAGACGATTTCCAGTCCAGCAGACAAAGACATTGACACAAACACAAACACGAGCATAGACATGAACATCCATGGGGGAAAAAAAAAAGTACAGGAGTCATTGGGTCATTCCCGCCGCGCATGTCACAAAAGAAACATCGACGGAACGCATCATATCTGGTGATCAAACATACCGCTAACCCCCACTTCCATCTTTGGACTGCCATCCGACTGAGCGTGTTGGGCATGATGATGATGCAGCTGAGGCGGGCCCATAGACAAGGGCCCAATATTTTGACGAGAACCCGGGGCGTGCATCGCCGTGCTAGGCAGACCCGGTCCAACGGGCGCGGCGGCGGCCATATGGGGAGTAACAGTGGGAACAGACTGGCGGCGACTCAACTTAGCCTGGCGCCGGACTCTGCGGCTGCGGAGTCGGGGGTCCTGGTTGCTGTTTCGCCAGCTATCGACTGCGCGTTGGATGAGACCTCGCTTGCCACGGAGAGCAGGATTTAATTCAGCGAGCGCCCATCCGACGGCGTTGCATTCGGTCTCATAGACGAGGCGGTTTCCTCGGTACTGGTCTTTGCCGCAGCAGGCGCGGGGATATACGCAATTCTCGGTTTTGAATTCTGGATTGAGAGTGTCCACGTTCACGGATTCCACATCGCAGCGGATCGTGTACTCCATCTTGACTCGATCCCGGGAGTACTCAAAGGCAATCCATTGAACTCCGTTGCCATCTTGTCGTACAACAAGTGGGGTTGTGGCTGGGATGGGTCCTGGTGCTGCGCTGGAGCTCGCTCCCAAAGGTGAATTCTGGTGCATACCAGCACCTGGCATCCCGGTGTTGCTGGGACTTGGGAGAGGAGGGTTGAGCATTGGCCGTTGCGCTCCTTGAGGGTTTGGATCCATTTTCATAACGGGGCTGCTGGACAAAGCCGTGCTGGTTGTGTGTGATGGTTGATGTGGCGACATTTGCGCAGTTGTAGTCTGAGGGGGCATCATCATGGATTGTGATGTGAGAGTATGCGACTGGGGTGAAGGGTGTGCATATGGCGGTTGAATAGGGTTCATGGGCGAATATGGCGCGTAGCCGTACATCTGGGGCGGCATCTGTGGAGACTGCGTGTAGATATTGCGCGCATGCTGATCATGAGGCTGCGAGGCTACGGACGCTGGAGAGTTGGATTGAGGAGTGTGGTAGATCGGGGGGTAAGGCCGCTGCATTTGGGTGGTGGCTGCCATGTGGTCTGATCCTGTTTCTTTATCAGTGTCCTGTTGCAACTGTTTATTTAATTACCCCGTGGGCGTAACGTTGCAATCATATGTGAAGCACGGTGCACGTATAACCATAAAATGAGAGCGTTCGACTCACCGCTGGAAGAATACTGCGCGGATGCAGTTGCTGGAGGATATGAAGAGGATTGGTTTGAATAGTATGGCGCTTCCTGAGACGATGGTCCGTAGGCGCTATGAGAATGGAGGATATTATTTCCTGACGAATACGTAGATCCAGGAACGGAGGAGGGTTGGATTGGTGAAGCGCGGCCCTGCTTCAGAGCATGACCTTGCAAATGGTGATATTGAGAATGAGGACTTGGACGCCCCGAACTGTGTCGAAGCTGTGGCAGAAGCACTCGTTAGTTTGACTGAAGAGATAGGACAAGACCGCAGAGGTGTTCGAGCCCAAATGGTGGTACAACAACCTAAGAACGTGGGAGGGGAGGGCGGCAAATGTGAAAGAGGAGCTTGAAAACACAGCCAGATCCGAGTCACGACATAAGTGAATTCTCCAAAAGCCAGAGCGGCTCATCATGAGGGGGGAGAGAGTCGCCACGGATGCTTCGAACAAGGATGGGCTCCGGTGCGTCACAGATGGGCCAGGGTATCAACCAGGATTTGCCGTCCAGGGCCAAAGAAAACCACGGATCTGTGTAGCGCTGGGGCTGTCACAGCTCTGCGAGTGGTTCTTTTCTTCCGAAGGACAAGGTACGCCTCGTGTTTGCCTATTCCATCGAAGTCGCTACACGGACTCGTGCTCTCACAGCGCTTTCTCTTGGGAATCGGCAAATCCGAGGATCAGATGTTCCGACCCAGAGGGGGAGAAGTAGCCCGAATATGCACTCATAGCTTGTGCGCCAAGTGTGTTCGGTCGTTCTCAACGGCTTGATCACAGCGATTCTTGAGGATCTCAATCCGGAATTGAAGCTGGCGCAGATCTATGTCGAGAGCGTATTCTCACATAGAACGCGCATAGAGGATTTGCGCTCTCCATCAATGGCCGGCGACTTCTCCATAACAGCTTCTTTCCAAATTTGACAGAAAGAGAAACACTCGGAATAAGATATTGAGGAAAGCCACCCGGGATCTAAGAAAAACGAGTACTCACGGAATCGTCAACGGGCTCTTCCTTGTATTTTGCCGAAGGAGGACCGAAGTCAGTGTGAACCATGCCGGTGTTCTCACGGTCTGGGACAGAATCTTTCCTGGAGGGACAGGGAAGAACTAGGATGTTTGGCGCGCTCAGGAAGAAGCGCGTGGAGTCAAGGGCGATCCCGACGGCCTGAGGCTCCTGCGCGACACACGGCTAGACTGGGGTTCAGGGCACAATGGGAATGGGGAGGTGGAGGGTCTAGGGTCGTTTATTTAGCTGCACCGAGACCCATGGTGTCCGGGTGTCCTTTCTAAATTAACAAGGCGGGAAAAAAAAAAATAAAGAAAAAAAAGGAAGAAAAAAAAAAGGAAATTCAAATTAAATGAAAAAGGGAAAATTCCAGATGGGGGATAGACGAAAAGCAGACACAGATTCGTCTTTTTTCCCAGCAGAAGTGAGAGTATCAGGATGGGCTCACTAGTGGGGAGGTGGTGTAATATCGACCAGGATGGATGCAGGAGGGGAGATTACTACACGACTCGAATCCGATATAGACCCGAGCCTCAGGTGGAGGTTTTAAAATTAATGAGTGTCATCATCACTTGAGCACAGCCTAGCCGAGAGGCAGATTTAAACGCCTTGGGAGGGGAGGGGGAGGGGGCGAGGGTGAATGATGTGCAGCATGCAGAGCCGGTGCGTGGAAGAGAGAGAGCAAGCCCAATGTCACTGCACGACTCCGAGTGGAGACCGGGGACGAAAGCACGATGGATACGGCACTCGATCGTCTTTGTTTCTGGGTAGCTGATCTATACTAGCTTGGTGGCTTCAACGGCCTGGGCGGGTCCCATTTCTTGGTTTTGGATTTTATTTTTCTATTCCGCGTAGGGCCGAGAAGACTAAGAACGGTTCGGACTGAGTGGAGTGACGATGATACGTCCATCTACAGAGCGGGAAAAAGACGCAGCCTTACGCCAGCCATGATTGGTGATTTGTTGATCCCGACACAGACAAGAAGTGACCCTAGAATCCTTCTCGAGGTTTGTTGGACTCTGGTGGACAGTCCATACTCCATAGAGTCAAGCGCCGATGGAGAAAAAGAAAATAAACCTTAGACAATTGTGAGGGCAAACTTCCAAACTTCCGTCAGCACCCGATACCTGGGTAGAATCGTTCATGTTTGCGCCCACGTTAGGAATCGAGCATCATACGGGAGACAGCCGGGACCATCCGCGGCATCCCACGGTCTAGAAGGCTAAAAGGCTAGACAGGGAGAGAGGGAGACGGAAAGAAAGAAAGAGAGTGAGAGAGTGAGAGTGAGAGTGTGTGTGTTTGTGTGCGTGATAGCGAGTGGACCTCGGGTTATACGACTCGAATGGGCACAATGGATCGTGCAGAGGACAGTTTCAGGTACGGAGTACGGGTTAGGCTGAGCGATTTCCACGGAGTATATCTTGGGATCGGCGGGGGGGGAAAGAGAATGCTCGTGTGGATCAGGTAGCAAGCAACAGCACAGCTGGTTACACAGCGGATCTGACTGGCCGAGAAGTCAGCGGTGGCTCCAAAAGTAATCTTCGGTGGCCCCCGGCCTAACTTCCCCCGTTCTCCACTGGCCCCAATGAGATCTGGATTCACGACTCCATCCCTCGGCGGCCCCGTCTAAATAAACTCGAAACAACCTAACGGTGCCCGTCACATTCTCATGAGACCAGCGTTCATGTCAGGAAGCCGTGTAACTCTGATCTTCGGTTCCCCAGCCATACCTCCGGTTGAACACCAGTCCAGGCTTGTACGGCCCTGTTGCCTCCCGAACGTCTAGAGGAGAGAGCAGGACGAGGTTTCTGGCCTCCTCAGCTCCTCCATTCGCATCCTACATGACGGACCAATAGGGATATCTCAGTTCGCTCCATCATCTCCCCCGATGCGGGACTCCACCCGGGTTCACCCCTAGGCCTAAGCAGCGCTAGCCCTGCGTCTCGGTCGGGCTTGGCACCTCTCATCGAAAAGGCTATTCGAGAAAGACCGCGCCCGATGTCTGCCCCGTAGACCTCGATTCCTTTGGGTCCAGACACTAGACATGTGAATTGGCCGATGCTTCTCTTCGCATGCCGAGAGTAACTCCGAAGGTGGAGGCCACTACCAGCTACCCAAGTATATAATGTACCCGGGACATGTTGGAACATACCCTCACAGGCACCTGGCACCTGGGGCCCACGTTGGGCATCTCTCGATCGCCACCCCCGGGTCTCTAACTGTCCATCCACTCAGGAACGGCTAATCGGCTCATGTGAGGCTCAATCCGACCTTGGAAACCCAGAAAAAGAAAGAATGCCGATGATCTCACCACGATCAAGAGCAGCACACGGAGCCACGCTCCCGTCAAGAGGGGGTGGGTACATATCTTAGTTTGCTTTCGAGCGCTTCCAGAAGCAGGCTAGCTTCGGGTCGTCGTAATCGCAACAGCCATTCACGGCCGAAGGGAGAGCCAGTAATGCGTGCGCGCGGACTCGACGCTTGACGCTTGGTTCAGGAACTCAGCTGAAGGTTCGGGCTAAGCCAGTGGATGCATGGGCAAACCCACTGGCCCCCTCCTTTTTTTCAATTTTCAATTTTCCTTTTTAATTATAATAATCATAATAATAATAATTATTATTATTATTATTATTATTATTATTATTATTATTTCTCTTTTTTTGCACGGCGTGACTGCAGCCCATGGGCCCAGAAGGAAAACGGTGTCCCGTTTTTCTAGCATGGAGCTCATTGGCACCTATGATCGATGCAGGGTGCTAGAGTACGTCGCGTAAAGCCGTACCCGTACCGGGCCCCGGCTTTCTCCACCTCTGTTCTCATTCTATTTATCCCAATCACCCCCAAAGACCCGATCTAGACTTCGTACAGACCTGAAATTATTGTCTAGCGATCGTCCAGACCGGAGAGAAATAGTGATAGCGGGACCCACCGCAACTCGCACTTAATTTCTAGGATTATGCGGGATTACTGGATGTAGTATAAGGTAAAAAGTACCCGAGCTGCAACGAACCAGTCACCCTTATTTCCACCGGCATGCAAGGAAGCGCAGCTGTCCTTTGCCGCTGACAGCACATGTGCACGGGAGCGTGGTACCATTCCAGAAAGGTTTCACCGTTGGATTTCCAATCGAAGGCTGAACTCTCGGCCGGGGTGGTCTTGGGCGAACCATGGTCGAGAGAGGGGGAGGGGGATGGGAGTTATCTTCCCGGAATCTCGGGGATACACCCCTGGGCGGATCAACGGCTCGAGATCCTGTCTTCGATTTGCTTTGCCGAGAGTGCCACTACCGCCCCGGATCGGCTAGGTCCAAGACAGCACGCGAGAGTCCGGAGCTGAAGCTTGGCTTGCGTTTGCATTTGAGAGCTTTAGGCGTCCCCCTTGCCACAAATGGAATAAAAGTTTAGAAGAACTAAAACAAGATAAAATATTAAAAAAAAAAAAAAGCAGAACAAAAAAAAGCAAAAAGCAAAAAGCAAAAAGCAAAGCGCCAAATACTGAAACTCACGGAAGTCGTTCTCGGTTAAGGACAAAGACAGACAAAAATGACTCGTTGCCGGTACTAGACTCAAGCCCGCCCTGGCCCCGTCTCGATCGACGGAATACGTCAAGCGCAATGGAAAATGGCCTGTGCGGCACCGTTGGGACTCTCTCGAACATGTCCCCCGTGCTGCTTCCAGCTCCAAGAAAATAAGGCAGTTCTTTTCGACGTCATTTTAGGCGTATCTAAAAATAAAAGCTGTTTGGAAGTCTTTTCGTAAGGTATTCTCTGAAATGACTTTGAATACTTCGTAAGGGGATAAGCCCCCGCCGCTTATTTAGAACCATTTGTATTATATCTCTGGTCCAACGGTAGGGTGACACTTCTAGCCCGCTGACATGCAGGACTCACATCCAACGCACGAGCGCCCGAGATTCGATCTTAGAACGGACCAGCGACGCCACCCTGTCGATGATCATCCAGATGGGGTTCCGTCGGAGGAAGTTAGCTCGCAGTCGGTTACTGAGAGGAGCCGTGGCTCCGTGTTTGATCCTGTTCTTTGACCTAGGTTCAGTGATAGGATTCCCATTCTTTTCCTTTTAATATATTTTTTTTCTTTGGGTTGGTTTTTCATGCCTTTGATGCACGGATACCTCGGCCAGTTCCCTTCGTGGCAACATGGGGCCACGTTGGAGCTGGGGGACGGGGGCCGGGGGCCGCCCTTGCTGCGTGCAGATCGCAGCAATCAAGAGGTCATCTTGACCTCACCATGCGGCTCGTGGATCTTTGAGTTCGCCCGCTGATATTTTTAATTGTCTTTGTATGTTTGATCCGAGGATGCTTGTCGAGATGCAGGACTAGCCTGCGACTAAGAACGTGGGGACGGACCGTGGATAGATGAATGGTCCGTGGGCGGCGGTCGGCAAGCACCGAGTTACGAATCTCTTTCTGCTTTTAATATCAATGGCCGGACCCGCCGATATCTGCTTGCCATTCAAATGGTGCATCGCTTGGCACGCCATATATCTCGCGTGAGGGGGGTGAAGAGCCACGTCGTAAGCAGCCCTGAAAGGGTGCGTCATAGGTTTAGTATACGGTCTGGAATTGAAGGAGCTTGGTACCGTCCTGGATATATGTCCTAGCGAATTCCAGAATGTAAATAGTCTCCGGCCATGCAGCATTGTTGGGGTCTCGTGCTGATATCTTTGATCCTCCAGAGCTCGGGGTTTACCCACATCGCTTAGGCTAAGCCACATCCACAACTCGAGACCAGACCTTCACCCTTCGGCCCTGGCATGCCTTCGAAATAAAGTTGTCGTACCCTGGCTCATAACGCACGGAATCATCATCCACCCCGGGAGGATCTGCTCCGGGGGGGGGGGTCCGCCAACGGTTGTGAGCTTTTAGGTTTGGTAGAGATGTCTTGGAGTTGAATGGGCTAAGAGGGGGAATCCCTGTTCGACCCCATCGGAGGCAGACTGGCGTTCTCCGCACTCCGGATCGTTCTAGGACGAATGGAGTGGTCCGGGAGTCCCTAATCGAGAGATACTCCGGGTAATATGGTTGGTGACTCGACTCCTTCTACAATCGGTCGGATCTGCCCGCAAGCACGCAACTAGTCGAGAATTCGGCCCCCCCCCCCCCCCCCCTCTAACCAAGTTTTCCCAGTTCTCACATTTTCAAGTTTTCATAGCAATCTCAAATCAAGACAAACAAAGAACCGAGTCGTAGCCTAGTTCGGCCCCACCATCCGGCTCCGTGTGTACACGATGTGGCCCTGATGGTCCTTAAGGTAGCGTGTCCACTACGCGGGTCTAGGGCCCCCGTCAAGTCTATAGGAACAGAACCGCCGAACGTGTCTGAGTTCTGAGTCGGAAAAATTACTGACCGCATTCAAGTCGCACACCGATACTTCCTGCAGAGACTTAAGAAGAATAAATTGTGATCTATCGGTCAATTCTGCAGCACCGCAGTCGCGTGGTCCGGCCATGTTTCAGAGTCTTGACCGCAGACCGTTCAGCCTTAGCCGGGAATAGGAAAGTCGAGGCTGATCGCTGCACGATACTTATGGATACCTATAGAGATTAGGCCCTATACTGACCCGTCTTGACTTGAACATTCTCACCGAACATGTCCGCTCTCGTTTATCTGCACCTCTCTGCGCCGTACTCTTGTGGCGTTGGCACGCACACAGGTCAGCGGTAACTCGGCTCTGTAAAGTCAAAATAGATTATTCTTGCTGTCCCTCGCTGGAATGATAACGCCAAGCGACGGCACTCAAGATGTCAAAAAAGGCGGACGCAGGGGGGTGGCGAACCAACCCATGTGCGTCGATCATCGATGGACTTGGTCCCAAGAACCGGATTGCGGAAGTACAGGGCTATCGCGGTTCCCGGCTTTCTACTGTATACTACTGTATATCGTGAGTTAAGAACTACCGTTCAGGCCTCGCCTGCGGAGAGGCCGTCGCGTGCTATGGCTCTAGAGACGGATCAAATCCCCCACGAATGAAGTAGAGAATGCAGAGGCTTTTCCAAATGAATCCAACCTCACGACCGGCGCCTCTGAGATCAACGGCGTTTCAAACTGAGTATATGAAGAGACCACTTACTTACACAACCCCCGAATCTTAACGCCACACCTCCAATACACGCTGCTGAGACTTTCCTCGAATTAACATGTTATCAAAACACCGGTGGGGCCTCAGGTACGAGACGAGGCATCGCTCCGGTTGACATGACTCGTATAGCGTGCCTTTGACCTTTAGTCTATCCAGCTATCAATGAAAAAACCAATCATCACCTCCATACACAATCAACCGCAGGCCTGTCGGAAATTTCCCCTAAACCCGACCCGCGTAGGACAATCAAAATCCCGCACGCGATGACGGAAAATCTATACCTAAGAACGCCACGACCAAACCAGCGAAAAACGAAAAAATCTCAGCATTCAACTCTGGCCCTGCTTCCCTCCTTCTTGAATCGATTAAGATCGCCACGCCCATTGATCATCCCGCGATCGATCCCGCTTCCTCGCTACAATCCATTGGACATCGCCATGCATCGACACATCTCATACGAATCACGTTCTTTAATCGGCCGGCAAGCAAACCGTTGACCCAATCGTCCTCCTGTCCCTTTGGAAACCTTGGACCAAGTAGGTAGCGGGGATATAAATTATGCTTTGATATCCCTTTAATGTAAACACTATATCGAAGAAAGTGTGGCATAACACTCATGTCAATAGGTATCAGTCAGTCTATCTACGCCCACCAAGGCATGTATAACGTGGCGTTGCATACGGCTGGCTTCCCGGCGCCACGTCCATCCTATTTCAATCATTCTATCCGTCCATAGAAACAAAGCATTTGACTATATATGAAAAAAAAAAATAGAAAATCTCAAAGCGAAACATATCATTGGGCGGGCACAACACCCGTGTACAGTAATTCTCCGTCGATCATCATCTTACTACTTGGACACAACCTGGAGTCATAGGATATCCACCATATCAACCCATTCGCATCCAATCCTCCACTTTACAAATCGCCACCCTCGAAATCGGATCAGATCTATCTGAACCACACAGCTCCAGCTATGACGACAAAGGGTCACATTTATGCTCGACCTTAGATAGCTACCCTCCCCTTCACTCCACTCCACTCAAGCTTCACCCCCAATAAGAAACGGAGGACGGGAAATGGTGAACGACGCAATCTCCCCAATTTGATTCTCGAGACTGGAGAAATGTTGGCTCAACACGTCTGTGGCGCACCTGGATTTATGCGGCCTGGCTTGACACTTACCACCGACCCCTCCCCCTGCACCCTGTTTTTCGGGTTTGGGCTTGGGTCTGGTTTTGCATGGTGTTACCCTTCGCCCCCTTTCTTGTGCATTGGGCTGTCTTGGTTGGAGCGCTATACTGGGGCTGGCTTGCGGGTGATAATCTCCGAGGTATGCGTGTCTGTCTTCGGTGCGGGACCTGGGTTTTTTGATTTTGATTGCGGATTGGGATTGAAGGTCTCGGTTTTCGGGGAGTTCCTGGTAGAGTACTGCGTAGAGTACTGCGTAAAGGTTTGAGGTATGGCTACGGCTGAGTTGTGCTGATGGTCGTACAAGGGCTGAACCTGAGCTGGCGTGGGACTTTGTACTTCCGTGCGGCTGGACGGTGTAGACGGTGCTGCCTAATGCTATGCGAATGGCTACGGTGAGATGGGTGAATTGGTAATGGTAATAATGATGACAATGCATTGGCTCTGGATTCTTCCTGGCCTTCGGGTAGTACGCTGAATGATATGAATGCTAAGCTGAGTGTTCATAGAGATGACATGTAAGCGTAAAACTCGATATTGAGGTAGATGCAAGGGTGATGCCGACTTTCATCAGGGCGTGATGGGCTTGCGACAGGAAACGGCTTTCGGCCGGGGCCTCTGGAATTCGATGCCAATTGTTTTGAATTCTTCAATTCCAATTCGATCCTGATTCTGGACGAGGTTTGTGTTGAGTGTTGAAGGTGTGAACTACCTACGCGTGCGCCGGCGCAGCTGTAGGTGCCACCTTTGCACGGTCGGATTCTGGTGAGTTGGTGGACTCTCGAGGGCGGGTTGGAAGACGTGGTGCTTCAAGTTCTGCAATGGGCGGTGCCTCGAGTTTCAATTGCTCGGGGCCTTCGTCTTCGTCGTCGCTTGAGGTTTCTTCACCGCGGCGGCCGTGACGTTGGTTCTCTTCCATGCGGCGGCGCTTGTCGTCAATGTACTCCTTGTGGCGAGCGTCTTGAGGCAATTGTCAGTGTCTGTGATGGAGATGTTCTTGGACTTTGGTGAAGCTTACCTCGGATCTCCTGTGTCTTTACAGCATAGGCCTGAATCTCCTCCTTGGACAGAACCCTCAACACAATGACATAGTCCGACCGCTCCTCAAATCGCTCGTTTCCTGCCTCCAATGCCTCTGGGTTGACTAGTCTGCGGTCGATCTTAGTCCAACGTGCTCCCGTTGGAATACCCTGCTTATGGGCATCCTTGAGAGGAGCAACTCCTTCTCGTACTGGATTGGGTTCTTCAGGGAATCTCGGGCGAGGAGGCTTGAGGATACCCTTGGGCGCGGCCTCGGGTTCTTTTGTGGGCGGCTCAACAGTGATGACCTTCCTGACATCCTCCTTGCTGTCAATTGAAGGGGAGTGACGCGAGCCATTCGTCTGGCCATCCTCTAGTCTTCTTTGTGAACGTGACGACCGATGACGCGAGTGGTCGCGGTGATGTCTAGAGGAGCGGTCCTCGGCGCTGCTGGTGTCTGTGCTACTATGTCTGCTGCGATGATCCGTCGCAGAGGGCTCACGCCGGTACTTACGAAGGTCCTCGTCATCTGTGTAGGTATCCGAGCCGCTGTCTCGTCCCCGGGAGCGTGCCCGTGACCGACGATGAGGACGGGTGGCACTGCCCGGTTCCAAGTAGAGTTGCTTCTTTTCGGCACCAGGGGAGGTGTCATGAAGATCTCGAGGCGCAGGCTGGGCTGAATCGTACTCGCGGTCAAGATCATAGTGGTGGCCGTGACGATGTTTCGAAGCACGATGGTCGTAGTCTGACATTTCAGAGTAACCAGCACCCAAGGCAGCTGTTCCAAGTCCTGCTGCTAGGGTCTGTTCGCCAGGGCTATTGTGTGGCCGCGGAGATCGATCATCACCGTGTTTGTCACTCTCGTGTCGGTGTCTGCGGTGACGTCGACGGCGACCATCGTTGTATGATTCGTAGCCATCCTCGGACTCATGAGGTAGGGCGACTAGGGCACGGTCGTGGCCGCCTCTTGCTCTGGACGTATCCCTCGTCCTGGATGTGTCCCTGGTTCTCGAGGTATCTCGGTGGCTTTCGAGGTTCCTGGATGAACGCCGGCCCTCATGATCAATCTTGTCCAGGCCCCAAGATGTTGGAGGGGGTCCGTGAGGTCGTTCAGCTCGTTCTTTTCGCAGCGACTGGGGATGCTCATCCATCACGTTCATGCTGAGAGGACGACCTACGGAGGATCTGGATGTAGGGTGACGCGGCTTGACAGGATAGTCTCTGTCGAACTGCTCCCGCGCATTGGTGTACGAGTAGGCATCGTAGGAGTCAATATCATCGCCCTTCTTCAGTCCATCATAGGCTGGGTGTCGACGACGCCCACTCGAAGTATGAGGACGATATGTATGCTGAGGAGAGTGACGCTTGGTACTATCACGCGGGTCCAAATGACCAGTGTCGCTCGCATAGTCCGTGCTATACACTCGACGATGGCCATGGTGAGAATTATGAGAAGAATGTGGAACCAGATACTGGCCGGAACTGGAGGGAAGAGGACTCGGTGAGCGACCTCGACCCGAGCTGGTCGCCGGACGAAGATGGCTTGAAGATGAAGATGGTACAGATAATCGCACAGGAGTATCGTAAAAATCAGCTGTAGACGCCGTGTGGCTTCTGTGTCTGGACTGGGGCTGAGGCTGGAGTGCATACTCCGTACGCTTCTTGGTCGGCTGACTAGGATCACGGAACTTTTGAGAAGAGACCGGTTGAGCCTCGATCCTCGATGTCGACCGATGGTGTGGCTGGTGTCTATGAGAGGTTGAATGTCCGACATCAGAGGGATAGTAATAATCGTCATAGTCATAGCGGCTCCGTGAGACGTCATAGGGATCGTGGGAAGAGCCGAGCTGCACCATGCCGGTAGACGCACGGGGGCCAGCCACGTGGTGACGTCCTCCGCTTGGCGACAGGTTGCGATAGTAGGTGGAGGAGCTCATCTTGGGTTTGGGATATGGAAGATACCAACTGAAGCCGTGGCTTCGCAGGGCCGCCAGATGGTTCAGCGGGGTGGGCGGGGGAACTGCACGATCAACGTTAGGATGCCGCATATTGACTGGATGAGCTGATGATTTCGATTTACCTGCGATGGTCTTTCAATTTAAGTACAATAGCTCCTCGTGCCTCCCAAACAGGAGGTAGGATCCGAAGGGGCCGAGGAGATGAGGTCCGGAATGGGTCGAGTGTCGGCGAGTAAATTGGATAGGCGGATATTCGATCAATTCGATACCAAGGATCAGTAGCGGGGGAGGGCAATAACCCGATGAATGAAGCCGATGAGATGAAACAAAAAAAGGAGAGAGAAAAGTCCTGACACGGTGAGATTGGGGAATGACGCAAAAAAGTGGGCGCCGCCGATGACAAAGACCCCACTTGGGCTTCTGCCACTGTTGGAACTAGACTTATTTTTGCTTCTCACTAGTTTACTAGTGAATGCAGGGAACAGAGAAGGTTGGAACTTTGGAACTTTGGAAGTGTAGACTCGGTTTGGAAGCTCTAGTTCCGTGGGGTTAGGAATGTTTGGATCGGAGGGGCATGAAACCATGGATCCCTCCTTTGCCGTACTTTTGTCATCCCCATGTCTTCCACGTGAGGCTCTGCACTGCACTGCCGATTTGCCCGGGTGCTAGACGGGCAATGTCGCCTGGGCGCATATAGGCATTGGCATGTCGGGCTGATCGGATCATTGAGGTCCGGATTAATAATCTCAACCTTCCAATCTAAGAAGCCATGGAGCCATGGAGCCATGGAGCCATGGAGTCATGGAGCTAAGCGTCAATCGGAAATCGTATGATCCTAACCGATTGAATTCAGCGTCAAACACCTAGAAATAAGATGATTGGAGTGCGAAATATAACTACTCGGCAACTCGGTTTCAGCAGCAAGATCCATAGACTACATCCCACTAGATATTCCCCTTCTTTTCTTCGCCTCGGGCGATCAATCTCCCAATTAACCACCATTGGTGCTTATCCTCTTTCTGAAACATTGACGAACATTCCGAGATTCTTTCCATCTCCACCGTCACCGTTTTCACCATTCACACAACGCCCGTCCCACCAACACACCCCACCCGCTTCGGCGACGACACTTCCGCGGCCCTCAACTTTCGAATCCATCAGGGAATCCGGGAGACCATCCGGGAGGCAAGTCACACCCGTACCAAGCGAAGCGAGCCACTAAGAAGCCCAGTGCCTTCAAACGGCGTCGAAACCAAGTCCCACCACCCAAGGCCCTCCCCCCTGGCCCAATTCCCGCAGTGCTCGATGCAATGCATGCAAGATGTCTTAGCTTGACCCAACGCTCGGAAAATGGGTATCGATCATCATTGGCCCCGTGCTGGGTGACCGCGTAGCAAGGCGGGATTTGACTTGACGAGTTCTTCCTCGACATCACCTGCCCAGGTTTCCGATCCGATGTGTTGTCCCAGCCTGGGTGCGGGCGCCGGGAGGATCATCTTCAATAATGGCTAATCCGGCTTCTCTGGGTGGCCCGTTCCCGTTGTCGAGTCTCCGCTTCACTCTTGGCTATTTGCTTAAGGGCATTCGCCTTTCCTACGCCCGCGCCCTGATGGAGACAGGCTTGTTTGTCCTGCCTCGTTTATCTCCCCCGGTAAGGCACGTGTGGCGCGTAGATATTGGTTGATTGAATGTACGCCCAGGAGGTGAGGGTGCAGGTTCAATTGACGTATACACAGGTGAATAGTATAAAGAAAGTGACTTTTATCAGGAAGGTCTCTACTTTCCTCGGCATCGCCAATTGAGTTCACAAAGAGACCAAAGCTTCAACTATCAGTCACTTGGCGTTTCGTATCTTCTATCATCATATCCTATAACCACCCTATCCTCAACGTATAACGTCTTATAAAATGCCTCTTGCTCACGGATCCCCAGCTGGCATGTTCTTCTCGGCCGCTGATGTTTCAGCTCAGAGCTTCGACCACCCCTGCCACCTTGACTTCACCGAAATCGCGAATGATCCGCCTGTGCACCAATTCCGCGCCGGAAACACGGACCTTGTTGGGTCCGGTGCGCCTGTTCTGTGTGTTTTGTGGTGGGTGTGCCATATGTGCGAGAGCATGTGCAACCCTGCTCTATCTCCGGATCGATGCCCAATCTGCAGTCACGACAAGTGCAGCTTGTGTGACTCGATAAATGTGTGAGCCATCACTCTCGCTTTCATGAGAAAGCAGATGAGAGACAATCTACATCGACAATCTGTTTTCTAGAGCTATCACTTGCCTCACGGCTTTTCGTTTTCAGTATGGTGTCTTGGGGGGGGGGCTTGGTATACATCGGTGCATGGGTTATAGATCGGAGTGGGCGCTTCAGATATCCGGGTTTCATATTTTATCTAGTCTTTCGTTGGTCCTCCCAAGTTTTTGTCCGCTTCCAGTTACTGTCTCTGCGTTCTTTGTCTCTTTGTTTGGCTAAACAATATTTTCCAGGGCTCGGGGGTCGATGAAGTTGATCTTATTTCTTGCGATGCTGTTTTTGATTGCTTTTTCCCTCCTTTGCTTTCTTACTACATTGTCCAGCTTGGTGGATCAGCAAGGGATATTGTTCAGGAGTTTGATTTTACATGGCAATACATAAGGATCCTATTGCCGTCTCGGGGCCAGTTGAACTGAAGTATTTTTAGATCTTACATTTCCATTTTCTTGCTGAAAGTCTGGTTTCAAGTGATACGTGGGGTCTAAGGCGACCTTCGAGTCCCTAATCATTTCTCGGACCTGCGGAAGGCCGAATATTCCCCATGTAGAAGGTAGAGTCAAGCTTGTACTCTACGCGGATGACCGCTCTCCGGTGATATCACGCAGGACCCCCTAAGAAATGCTATTTTTGCATGGCCCTAAACAATCTCACTCCATAAGAGACTTGGTTCCGATGTGGGTATTAAGTACCTAATTTTGAGTGAAAATTCAAACTGCACCAAAGCCCGCCATCGGGGTATACCCTCGAGCTTCTGTGGCCCTATTCCCATCCCATCCCACCCCATCCCATCCTTTCCCAGCCCAAGACCTAGACATAGACATAGACATGGAAATATTCACATTCCCACCTCATCCCCATCCCTCCCAACACTACACCCAGCACCCTGATAAACCCCCTTATACCCATCAACCATCTCCCCCAACTCCTCAAAGACAATCTGCGCAAGCTTCGCATCCTTATACAACACCACACCCAACGGATTCCTAACATCCATCAACGCCCCCATAGCCCCCTGATAGCCCGCATCAACCACGCCCGCACTAATACCCACGCCAGATCTCCAAAGAGATGATCGAGGGAAGACGCTTGCCATGCAATTCCGTGGGACTTTGACCGTTTCGTTAAAGTCAATTAGATAAGATCCTGGCTTCAAGGTGATTTTGTCCTCGAATTGTAGGATTGATGTTTTAGCGGCTTTGCGGTTGGCGTTGGAGAAGTCTATTGTTGCGGGGGTGGACCAGAGGGAGATTTGGCGAAGGGTTAAGTCGATGCCGCAGGGTTGGAGTTGGAGGGAAGTGTTGAGGAGTCCTTGGACGAGGCTGCGCGATAGGATCTGGGTGCCGCTTAGGATCATGGTGTCGGAGTCTGGAATACTTTGATGGGAGAGTTTGGTGGTGATGGTGTAGTGAAATGCGGATTGTAGACCTCGCAGGGTATGCAGGAGTGGCTATCATCCCTATCTGCACCTCCTGTCTTACCGCCGTCATCTTGTAGCGTGGTTTGGATCACTCTAGCAAGGAGTTCAGCCCTATGCGTGGGGCCGCGCCAAGGGATTATGCGTGTCTACGAATTTGGAAACCGTGGTTTACACGAGGATTAGGGCGGAAATCATGAGTCATTAACGTGATATATGCATTGGTTCTACACTTCATTGGAATGTGTATTTCTGAATCAGTCGAATCGGTTTCTATGCTTACTGCGATGGCGATATTGATGTTGGAGGCGGGACCAATCCAGCTTCCTGCTTTAATCGCGTGACCACAGGGCCTAGAGCGAATGCGCTCTCGGGGCTGCTGTGGTCTGCACATGGGCTGTGCTTCAATGGGAGGAGCCAGTCTGTAACGCTGTAGCCCATGACCTGTTGGAGGTTCTTGAATTTGCTGCCGAGGTCGAAAGGGTTCTCGCCTGGCTGTGTGTGGAGGATGGCGAAGACGTGGCGCTCCGCTGATGGGCTGCTTGGGGGTTCGATTGGGGTGGGTGGTTCGAGTGGATAGGAGATCATGCGGAATGTTGGGGCCCAGGGAGAGTCGGCTGTCCATAGGCGTTCGAGAAGATGCTCTGGGACTCGAATGGCGAGAGTCCAGACGACAGAGTGGCGGCTGATGTTTTCAATTGTGGTGATGTTGAGCATGGCAAGTTGAATGGAGCTGAGAGTCATGCCCGCGGAGAATAGTCCGAATAGTCCGCTCAATCCAATGCAAACACACCAATAGGGGTTCGCACTTCCTGTCTGGCGTTTGAGTTCTGCGACAAAATATGCATTGACAATAAGGGCGAATGCACAGAATATAGCCGTGTAGACAACGAATTGAATAAAAAACTTGAGAGATGTTTCCGATACCACGCCGCCGACCCTACATCAGTTAGCTGCAAGTCACATTTGAAGCAAGACTGGTCAACATACCAAGGACAGAAATGGTCCATCTTGCGTACGCAGCGATCAACCTCACGACAGTGGTGTGCTCTGTCCGTCTTGAATTGGCAGCACGTCGAGCAATACGGCGGCCGGCCGTCCTCTTGACAGACAAACACATCTTTCGTGTAGAAGCTCTCCAGACCAGCTGGATCTAATGGGAATGCCTTCCCTCCAGCATTATCGTTCAAAGCACTCTCCAAGTCCATCTCGGTCGACTCTTGCTTCTCGGCATCTTGCACCTTCCTCGAATCGCTCTTGCGACGCCGGCGTTGCCCGTGTGAATGTTCGCGCTGCAAGGCTGAGTCTGCCTGGACGCGCTCCACGCCAAAGGGAAGATATCCCGGACTCCACAAGACATTATATATTAGGCGAATGTATGTCGCGACCATGGGTATGAGAAGGAGATAGTAGATGGCTAGGATGGCGGCGCCGGCGCCGACTCGGGAAGCTCGGTTATAGGATGGAAGAGGATGGATAAGGTAATCGACTGGAGACAGGTTAAGTTCCGCTCTTTGGTTGTCTTGGTCCAGGTGACTCACTGCATAGTGGTTTTGTAACTGCGTAGCTCGCATAGACAACGGCGCCGAGTAAGACGGGCGGGATGACTCTCGAGACCGCGAGGTTGACGCGTTTCTGCGCCTGTGTGGCCATCGAAAGAATACGTCTACCTCGCCCCGATCACGGTAATAGATGCATGAAAGAATAATATGGGAGTCAGCAGGCTTGGCTCTCAGGGGAAAGGATGTGTTGGAACAGGCGGGAGATGAAGTTGCGGGCGCAAACGGCGCAAACAGGGTCCCGACTGCTCTGACGTAACCGACGGTCAAACGCTTCCGATACAAATGGTAGTTGAGTACAACGCGTGAAATGCAGTCGAGTCATGCAGTCGAGTCATAAAGTCTCCTTGAATCTGGGGTATTTCATCGTAACGTTCTAATTTGAGTCATATCTGTCACCGACGCTATTTGCGACCGTGAGAAATGAATGAGCATGGATGATCGATGTTCATATTCAGGTCGGGATCGCGCTGATGGATTACGAACCATGGTTCGTGACTATACATTAAGCCCTAAGTTGATATCGTGGTTGGTGAACGGCTGACCGTAGGTTAGAAATATGAAACTGATTAGAAATCCTGGGTTAGGGAATTGCTCATCCTCGTAGATTCCTAGGAACTTCAAAATACGAACGTTTGCAATAGCTTCGGATTGTTCACCACCTTAGGCAGCAGGCGGGCTTAGCGCGACACACCTGACCGATGACTCCATTATCGAGTCACCAAACCGATATCTGCCTATGCGAGTGGAACCGCATCACAAGGCTCCAGGCAAGGCATCAACGCTGTAGAGTTGACCGATCAATTGTAGTCCGGAAAGTCTGTCGTGACCGTCAATTCGGCGTGCCCGACGCGGTTCATGCCCTGAAACGCCTGCATTTCACCCCGGGCGAGACGGTGAGATGAGCGGCCTTGGCCCGGTGGAGCTTCGCCCACTGACTCAACAGCGCGTCTGTGAATCATTGGTAACTCTAGACCAAAACGGGGCTAATCCTACCTGGGTAAAGCGGGTTAATCACCCGTCTAATCACCCAGGCACACAAGGCTCCAAAGCCACGGTGGATCGGGACCCCAGATGGTCTCGACGAGAGCGGACTCCTTCATGGCCCCAAGCACTAAACCCGGGTTGAAATCATACATTCCCAATACGGTGCCCTAGGCCCCTAGGCTGCCTGGTACGGCTGATAGCCTTTTCTTAGCCACAATGGGCTTTCTCTGCCTGTTCTTACGATGTACTATGTCCGCTATGTCCCTTGGTGCCTATATAGTCTGGCACCTGTCTCGTGCTCGTTCTTCACACACTCAATTCATCCTGATCAGATCCTTTAATCCTGAGGATCATCTGTATACTTCATCTTGTATACCAACTCAACTGTATACCAACGTCTGTATACTTCGTCTGCCCCCGGCATCCATCTTTGCATCCAACCCTGGATCCAACTATTAGACAACATCAGCATACCTCTTTTATCACCATGGCTTCTCTCTGGTATTGCTGTGACTGCAGCTTCGGTCCTCACAACGCCGCTCTCTACGATTCTTGTGTCAACTGTCAACGCCGCCGTTGTGTCGAATGTGTCGAAGAGAAAGCCGCAGACGGCCTGAACACCCACAACCATGCCCACTGCCACGAGAGCTCACCATACCCTTCCGTGGCCTCATTCAATCCAGTTCGCCCAATGTCCCACAAGACAATGCCGGCCATCCCGACACCAGACCTCCCCGGTGTCCGCCCATTATATCGCGCGGCCCCAGCTCTGCTTGCCACATCCCTCGGTGCCACGACCAATTACTATACGGAGACCTACATGTACATCTGCTGCAACTGCAATGATGGCCCGAAGGTCTTCAATGTCCAGCCAGTCTGTGTTGTCTGCAACCACGTAGCCTGTGACTCGTGCACCAACGTCAAGTGAGATTGACGTATTCCTCTTGCTGGACAAGAATATGAAGAAATGGTAAGACCATCATCCATCCAGCTCACACAGCCTACTTGGATAAAACGTGCTGACTTTCAGCCCCAGTGTTACCGAATTAGTGATTCCACTTGGGTTTTTATGTTTTTATTTCCTTTTCGATTGACCTTTCCATTTCCCTTCTATTACACGCAAAGCGGGCCATGGATATATCAGCATAGCGGGGTTATATTTTGCGGGATTTCCTTTATGTCCTTTTATCACTCTCATGTTGTGATCATCTTCTTGCGATTAGATCTGTCTTAGATGTTGTTATACTTCTGTTTTGCTTGATCTAGTTAGCGCACGATGAGGTAAGCAGGGCAGGATCCCTGTCAGCCTCGCGTCCCAATCGAATCCATTCGATACATAACACTATACCTTTCCACCTGTAAGAAATAAGACATAAGGATAATAAAAAACAGGGCAATAATCCAAGAACCACTATCGAATTCCAGTGTTATTCCCGTGCATGACCGCGCCCTGCAGAGTGTAGTCATCCCTCTAGCAGTCCACAGGTTCAAACGTGACCTCGAAACCAGGGTATTCTGCCAGCAGCTAAACACCCCACGAACCCTCCATACGGAGCCCATTCCTGCCAGCCGAGCCGCACCCGGGCAAGAACCATCCATGCGTGACTTGAATGCTCTGTGCCCGCGACCAATAATCATTTCCGTAAAGATACAGCAGCGCTTCGCTTGCTGTCAAGTCCAATTACTTATCGACTAGTCACTTAGCCTGGGGCGCTGTGCGCCCCAAACCCGGATCTCAGAATCCAGAATCTAGGAAGACCGCCTTTTGCACCTGCATTACGCCCATCAGCCCTACGCCCCCTGGGTAAAGAAGCGGTCGCTTGGCTCACGGCCCCATTCTTGGCCTTGACCTTGATCTTGACCTTGACCTTAGGCAGTACCCGCTCGTTCAGCCCGCTCGACTAGCTCGTATCCGTGAGGCTGTGCTCCGGAAATTATTCCGCGTCCCGTAGCTGTCACTTTTACTTTGCACGTTACTTGTCACTTGTCAGCGAGAAAGCTATGTCCGTGAACTGCCCTGGTTCCACCGCCCCGTCTGTAGTGACGTTGTTTCGACCCGGGTGGTTTGGACCGGGCGCGGGCGTAAACATGGGGTGAACTGTTACTTTGGGTCGGGCGATGTTAGTCCCCCCGGGCTTGGGACTCCGGATGTGGAGAATCATCGATAATCGATGATCGATAATCCCCGTAGCGATCATGATCACGAGGATCGGCATCTTTGATCCGAGTGAATGGTATTCTGCCTTGCGGGATTTTGACTCACAGGCCAAGGATGCGTCTCCACCTGACCGGATGGTGTTCTGGTCCTTTATTGGTTTGGGATGATGTATAGACCGGGCCTAAGCTGCAGAGGGCAGGTACCGATGAATGACTGTGTAGCTTGGAGCTGACTTGACTCGACAGGTGAGACAGGAAGAGTATTCAACAAAGGCCAGAAATAATCTCTTTCTATTCTGGTGCTGAAACTTGTGACACGATCTGTTCGGCCCCCATTTTGCCGGTCTATACTTAGCACGCGATTGTCAGCCCTCGTTACTATCTTCGGGAACTCCGGTTATTAGTGCTGAGGAGATATCTTGGTCCTTTTCAGCTTTTGGTTGATTGTTTCAGTAGTCGGGTTCAGGTATTGATTACGACATTCTTGACATTCTGGGCCCCGCGTTTCGCACGGGCCTTGTCTGAGGTGCACGATAGGCTTGCTGTTTCAGGTGCTCGACGCTGTGGATTGAAGAATCGATATCGGATTACATTGGTGACTGACTTGAGCTAGTTTTGGAGCGCCTGTCTCGGTCGTAACCGGGATCCTACATTTCTGAATGTCTGAGAAATGACCTCCACGCCGTGTGGTCCACGATATATACCCCCGGTCACATCCTAAAATGTTCCAAGTTCAATAATATGTAGTAGGCCATACACACACATCCAAATGGATTTACCCTCTTGTGCAAGTTCCAAGGGCCCCTGGAAAAAGAAAAACACACAATATCCAAGGTCAGAATCTAAGCACTTCGAACTACAGTACCTTCAAATGCTAGAAGTATTTACGGCCAATGATTTATTCAGATACGGAAATATTGAACGAATATATGATATTCACGGTTACTAAGAATATGTGCTGCATACCAGCCGGCGCATCATAATCATACAGCCTCCCCAGATCCTTATAAAAATTTCCTGTGCAAGAACCCCAGCAGTCGACGGGTTCCGGAATGAAGCACAACGGCGAATTTACGACAGCTTCATGCAGACGCGCCAATGCCATTTCACCATGGCCTTCAGCCCGCGGGAAGATCGAATGATCAAAGTCCGACTCTCAAGGGACTCTCAAGGCCAATGCTTGCACCCGGGTATCGGGATGTACTTCAAATGCGGATTGCAGATTGCAGATTGCAGATTGCAGATGCAGGGAAACGCCGCGCTGGCTAATGATGCACAAACAAAGAAAATGGAAAGGGTAATACCTCGGCGTGGAAGGTGATGGGGTATCGCAAAGAAAGATGTGGATGGGTGGATTTGGCGCGGGGCCATCAGGCGAACTTTTGATGCCAGCTCACCTTGAGACTCATAGAGTCGGGTGTTGGGTAGGGTTACAGGGGCAAGACTCGCGACGGGTCTTGGAGAAAGCGCCTACGGTATGCGGCTATTTCGGCAGCCACGGTGCTGAATTCTTTCACCTTGTCTCGTCGCATCTCGTTGATGATCTCTTTTAAACCGGCGATGTAGGTCTCTTTTTCTTCTTCGGTTTGCCCTTCTCGGACTGCTCCCATCTCGATGAGGATTTTGTCATCTGTCGAGGTTAATAGCACTGTGGTCAGCATGCGGACAGGGTAGAAGAAAGCATAAAAGCATCGATGGGGTGATGAATAAAGGAGGGAGGCGGAGATCATGAGAGCAGGTGATATGAAAATAGCCCACACGATTGTCCGAGGGGAAGACGGAATGCAGATAGGAAAGGAAACCATATACAAGGTTGCACGGCTTTTAACTTGTCGACGCACCGCTTAGATTGATGTCCCGGAAGTGCTGGAAGTCGCAGGACCGATCGTTGCAGACACCACCTGCCACTTCATAGGGACAGAAGTATTTCATTGTGTCAATGTCATGGCTGTATGTTAGCGAACGGTAGCCGTCCGAAACGTCTTCAGCGTAGTTGGGGTGGTAGCGATAAGCCTTGAAGGACCGCAAGGGGCTGACGTAGGGAGTAAACTTGGAAGATTTTGGTTGATCCTAATCAGAGGGTTAGTGCTTGGCAAGTGTATTGACGGAAAGGTGTTGCGCATACACTAAAGATTCCAATCTGGAAATCCCGCCTTGGTTCCGATAGATAAGGGCCCGGACGTGCCCACGTTAGCGCTTCATGTTGAGGTTGATCTCGTGAACGAGGCGACGCTGCTGAGTCTTCTACAGGATCCTGGTCTCGCGAATGAGGCAATTCCACGAACTCCTCTATAGGAGCTGGACTGAATGGAGGAGGGCTGTAGGATTCGTCGGCCTCAGTAGCATCCTCTTCAACAATAGCATCGGGCTCATCGGCACCAGTCCCAGGCTCCGGAGGCTCGTAAACATCCGACTCGGGAGAATATTCTCTCTGGATCTTAGCATTCTCGTCTTCTGGGTCATAATCTTCGAAGACGTTCAAGGGTTTATCTTCTTCCTCGGAACCAGTCACTGGCAGTTCCCGATGCAGAGAATGGTCGATGTGACCAGTGTTCATCTGCTCTTCCATACCCGACACCGAATGAGTGTCTTGGAGACCGTAAAGATCGGTCTCTTCAAAAGAAGTATTGTGGTCAGGATCAACAGATTCGTCCATGGCAGAGCCAGGCGAGTTAGACCGGGTAGAAGGTGGTAAGTCAACACCATTGGCCCCTTGATTCGCCGTGGAACCATTGATTGGTGAGCCAGGCGTGTATTCGCGCGACTCCGAAAAATCCACAGCGGCTTCTTGACCCGAAATGGGAGCGTCCAGAGGCTGCTCCACATACTCTGCAGGGGGTGGCACAGTCGATGGTGCTGACAGAAGTATGTTAGCAATTATGGAATTCTTGATGGATTGTGACGAAAGGATGACAGTACCTTCTTCCACAGCTAGATGATGTTCGTTGAGCTCAAGTCCCGCCCGTTGAGGAAGCTCGTCTTTGTGCGACAGCGGCGAAGTACTTGTTTCGTCGGTGAAGGAACCAATGGGATTTGGTTGATCGGCGACGCTACTAATGCTCATGCTAGTAGCCGTGCCCGCTTCCAATATTAGGCCAGATGATGGGGCTGTGGAAGTCTCAGCGACCTCAGCCTCAGCCTCAGCCTCAGGCACACTTGATTGTGCACCCGATGAGGATGCACCAGAATCATCCAGGAATGGAGATTGAGTGCGACTAGCGGCAAGCTTTGCCTTTCGCTTCTGTTCAAGCTCTGCAATCTTGCGGTGCATGGCCTCAATCTCCGATTCCCGCTTCCGGATGTGCTCTTGGTCTCCAGGCCGATATGATCCTTGCGGAGTCGACGTAGAAGCTCTAGTAGAGGGGTATTTATGGAGAAGTGGCCTAGCGGTTTCAATAGTGACCAGATGCGACGCTCCTTGGTCCGGATTAGAGTCAACGTCCATGTTGTCCTCTTCATCATCCCCATACAGATATTCGTCCTCACTGATATCAATGATCAGTTTCTCCGCAGGCCCATGATGAGCCACTGCTTGGCTCGAGTGTCGCTTCGGGATAGCAGCAGGCTCATCGAAGTCGGCGGCGCGAGGGCGTTTGCGTTGAGTTGCTCGGCTCACTGGCGTCGAATCTACAACAATAGTCGGAGTAGCTTCAACGGGAGTCTGCATGCCAGAATCCTGTTGCGAACCAGTCATGAGGAGACCCGGAATAGATGCGGGCTCAGCGGACTGGGGCTCAGCGGACTGTGGGACAGGTGGGCGAACAGGTAGTGGATGTTGAACAGCGGGCGCAACAGGCTCTGACAGGTCCGCAAATTGAGCATCTTGAACAGACTTGCCAGGCAGAGTCAATTGTTGGGCTTGCTGCTGAGCCTGTTGCTCAGCTTGCTGCTGCCTCTTTAGCAATGCTTGCTTTTTCAATTGTTCTATCCGTTGTCTTGCCAGCTCTGTCTGAGCCTTGTTCCGCTCTCGCACCGGAACTGCAATTTCCTTGCCAGAAGTTCCGTTGGAAGAGGTACTTGCCACACTCGCGGACGTTTGAGTTGGTGTCTGTTCTATCTTGGCCTCTGATACCTTGGCAGCTTTAGCAGCAAGCATCCTTGCAATAAGCTCCTTCCTCTCTAGAGGTTTGCCCTCATCGGATTGGGAGGCGGGAGATGCAATGCTTTGGACAGTACTGGGGGTCTGCTTTTGGTTCTTTTCCGAAGTCGGCACTTCTATTGTTCTTGGGCTAGCAATGGACGCCTTAAGAGAATTGCCGGATGCAGTGGTAGTTGGGGTTGGCTCCTCACGTTGAGGCGTCGTAATTTTGATACCGACCTCTTCGTAGAGTCGTTTCAAGATGGCTGGGTTGATGCCCTCCGCAATCAGTTCGTGGTAACGGATATTGTGAGGCGCCAGGCTGAGTAATGCGCCCTGCGCTTGAATCCGAAGCTGAGCTGCAGATTTTGGAGGAGCTGCGTCATCCGAGGCTGCTGCCGTTGCATCCCGCTTTTGTACCTCTATTGCGCGATGAACCACAGCTGGATCTGCCGAAACAGATAGAGGCGGGTTGTAGGGTGAACTGCTCCGACTGGACGAGCGTGACCCCGATGATACTGTTTCACCTTCTTCCAAATCAGAATACCGAGAAGCAGGTACGTTCAAACCAGCCTGTTTGACAGTCTCTGAGAGCTTCTTCGTTCGAAATGAACGTCCACCTTCACTGACCTCACCTTCCTCTCGATTTGAATCCGCGGTATTCGACGCCTGTCGGGCCTGCGGTCGAGATACAGAGGTTTGGGCGAGGCCGTTTGTAAGTTCGTTGAATGAACCTGGGGCATGATTGGAGGACCCTGGGGGTGCGAATGGCATGGGTGGATACCCGAAGTTAGGCATAGGCATGGGCGGGAAGGCGCTTGGCGGAAGGTGAGATGGGTCAAACTGGCCCATTAAAGGGAAATGGGGAGGAAAGAAGAACCCTGGAGGAGGGCCAGGGAGTTGCGAATTGCCATTGAGGGCTGTGATGTTGAAGTCATAGCTCTGTCCAGGATTTGCGGGAGACGGCTGGGCAGCCGAGGCATATTCGGAAGTTGGAGGGTAGCTTGGAGGGATCAAAGAAGGAAATGTGGGAGGCCACTGCGCTGCATAGTTGGGGTGGCCACCAAATGCTGGGGGTGGTTGGTTCGACATGGCGAAGGGAGAAAGCCGATCACGAGGCGACACTAGGGAGGCGATGATGCCAACCGTAGATGGTGATATCTAGGAAAGCGAAGGCGATGTCAGATCCCCCATGTCATGATGTGAAAAGGTGAGAATCGCGAGAGGCTTCGAGCCTTGAGACAATAAAGCACGCGCGTTTAACTTGGAGAGTTCAGTGGAAGCCGACGCGAGATGGATATCGGAGGATAGTGAACAGAAGGGTGGAAGGGAAAAGTGAGATGTAGTCGAAGACAATGAAAGTCGAGGACTGTGACGCGGAAGTGGACCAACCTGAATTAAGCGCCCGCGAAAAAAGAGTACCATCACGTGACATGCACGGGCCACGATCGGCGGGAGTCCGAGGAACGCAGTGTAAACAAACAGCGTCAGCTCTCTCCACTTGACGACATCACCGTCTCCGTTGCAATCGGGGCACTTCACGTCTTGTTTTCACTTATACTTTACTTTCCTACTGGCACCATTTATCATTCGTGTTGGTTCATCTCTTATTGCCTCTCCACCTCTCCAATTTGCGTGATTTGACTATGCGATACGGCTTTGACACCGAATAATGACCTATTAAACGACCTTCCGACATGCTTCCCTCTCAAATGAACGGCGCCAACGGCTCGCCAAAGCGAGCAAGCCTGTTTGGTCGCTCCTCACCATCACCAGTACCCTCCCAGACACGACCAAAATCAGCCATTATTACGCCATCTCAAGGGTTCGACCTGAGCAAAGGGCATCTGCGCAATTCCTCCGTGTCACAAATATCCTCTACATTATCTCCGGGAAGCACAAACCGTGAGAGGTCCAACTCTGGTCGCAACAACCCCGCGTCTGGAACCTTTGCGCCGAGCTTTATCAAGTCTGAAGAGCTAAGGCGGGGGGCTGATCAGATTCGCGGACTAGAAGGCGAGAACGATTTCTCTGGCAACAAATATGTGTGGCTACGGGATTCCGAGAAGGCGTTTGTCCGTGGTTTGGTCCTGGAAGAATTAGAAGGAGGCCGGCTCCTTGTGCAGAGCGAAGATGGCGATGTAGGATTCTACCTCACAGAAGCTATGACTATAGCGCTGACAATTTCAATAGCAACGCGAAGTCGATGCCGACCAGGTCGACAAGGTTAATCCGGCCAAATTCGACAAGGCCGACGACATGGCCGAATTGACTCACCTGAACGAGGCTTCGGTCGTTCACAACCTTCACACCAGATACCAGTCAGATTTGATCTATGTTGGTGGCCTTATGAAATAATACCGGAGAACTGTACTGACATTGGTGTATCACAGACGTACTCCGGCCTCTTCTTGGTGACTATCAATCCGTACTGTCCGCTACCTATCTACACGAATGAATACGTGAAGATGTATAAAGGCCGTGGGCGAGAGGAGACTCGACCTCATATCTTTGCGATGGCAGATGAGGCTTTCCGGAACCTCGTGGAAGAGGGCGAGAACCAGAGCATTCTTGTGACGTGAGTTTAAATGCTGGGATTCTGGGGCTCAACACTAATTTGACTGCTCCCTTAATAGTGGTGAATCCGGTGCTGGTAAGACTGAAAATACCAAGAAGGTTATCCAGTACCTAGCAGCTGTCGCCACATCCGATACGCCTTACGGTCGATCAGGCACAAAAAATCTCTTCAATCTCTCCCAGCAAATTCTCCGTGCCAACCCCATCCTTGAGGCCTTTGGTAACGCCCAAACGGTGCGAAACAACAACTCTTCTCGATTTGGAAAGTTCATTCGCATAGAGTTCTCGCGATCTGGCCAGATCTGCGGAGCATGGGTCGACTGGTATCTCTTGGAGAAATCGCGTGTCGTCAAGCCGAACGCTACTGAGCGAAACTACCATGTCTTCTACCAGCTCTTGCGAGGCGCGGACAAGAAGATCCGTGAAAAGCTCTTGCTCAACAACATGCAAATCGAGGATTTCGCGTACACACGGGATGGAAATGATTCCATCGTGGGTGTTTCCGACCAGGATGAGTGGAACTCTCTGATTGAGGCTTTCCATGTCATGAATTTCTCCGAGGAAGATCAAATGTGCATCTTGCGCACCATTGCCGCTGTCTTGCATCTCGGCAATGTGACAATCGCGAAGGAGAGTATTCGTGCAGATCAGGCCGCTCTCGGCCGTGATGGGTACGCTAGTGTTGAGAAGGCCTGTCAACTCCTAGGCATTGCCCCTGAGCCTTTCGTCGAGGGATTGCTGCACCCACGGGTGAAGGCTGGCCGCGAGTGGGTCAAGAAGGTGCAGACGCCGGAGCAAGTACGCCTGGCGCTTGATGCCTTATCGAAAGGTATTTACGAGCGCGGCTTCGGCGATCTGGTGACACGCATCAACAACCAGCTTGGTCGCTCGATGGCTGATGACAACTATTTCATTGGTGTGCTGGATATCGCTGGTTTTGAGATATTCGACAACAACAGCTTCGAGCAGCTCTGTATCAACTATACCAACGAGAAGCTCCAGCAGTTCTTCAACCATCACATGTTTGTCCTTGAACAGGAGGAGTATGCCAGAGAGCAGATCGAGTGGCAATTCATCGATTTCGGCAAGGATTTGCAACCGACAATCGATCTGATTGAGTTGACCAACCCAATTGGTATTTTCTCCTGTCTTGACGAAGACTGTGTAATGCCCAAGGCGACGGACAAGACTTTCACGGAAAAGTTGCACTCACTTTGGGACCGCAAGACTCCCAAGTATCGCGCTGCTCGTCTCAACCAGGGCTTTGTTCTGACCCATTATGCGGCCGAAGTTGAATACACCACCCACGACTGGTTGGAGAAGAACAAGGACCCTATGAACGACAACATCACGCGCCTCCTGGCTGATTCTAATCAGAAACATGTGGCTAGCTTATTCTCGGATTGCGCCGAATCTAGTGAAGGCAGCGAGAATCCCAGAAGTCGAGTGAAAAAGGGCTTGTTCCGAACCGTCGCACAGAGACACAAGGAGCAGCTCTCAAGCTTGATGGCCCAGCTCCACTCGACCCATCCTCATTTCGTCCGCTGTATCTTGCCGAATCACAAGAAGCGCCCGAAGATGTTGCATGCTCCTTTGGTCCTGGATCAACTGAGATGTAATGGTGTCCTTGAAGGAATTCGAATTGCTCGAACTGGATTTCCCAATCGTCTGACTTTCACCGAGTTCCGACAGCGATATGAAGTCCTCTGCAAGCACATGCCCAAGGGGTATCTCGAAGGGCAGAGTGCGGCTCAAATCATGCTGGAGAAGCTTGACATGGACAAAGCTTGGTACCGTGTTGGTCGTACAAAGGTTTTCTTCAGAGCCGGTGTTCTAGCAGACTTGGAAGAGAAGCGAGATCAGCTTATTCGCACTATAATGAGTCGCTTCCAGTCCGTCGCCCGAGGCTTTGTCCAGCGTCGCATCTCGAACAAGCGCCTTTATCGTGCCGAGGCCACGAGAATTATCCAACAAAACTTTCACTCCTACCTTGAACTCAAAGGCAGTCCTTGGTGGCGAATGTTCTCAAGGATGAAGCCTCTACTCGGAGACACACGCACTGCCAAGGAGGTCAAAAAGAGAGACGACCAAATCAAGGAGATGGAAGCAAAGATGAAACAGGGTCTATTTGACAAGCAAAAACTGGATGAGGAAAGGCGTCGCGTGGAGCTCGAGATCCAGAAGGTCCAACAAACTCTGGAGAGTGAGCGTGCTCTCGCACTTGACAAAGAAGAAATCTTTAAACGTCTGCAAGACCGCGAAGGGGAGCTCACCGAGAAGCTATCCGAGGCGATTGCAGATCAGGAGAAGTTAGAAGAGCAGTTGGATGATTTGATTGATGCCAAGAAGACTACCGATGAGCAGCTGCAACTACGCATCACGCAACTTGAACAGGCTGGTCAAATCATCCAAACTCTCGAGTCTGAGAAGAATGCCCTGCAATCTTCGCTGCAGGACATTGAGAACAGACTTGCCGAAGCGGAGGGGCAGTTCACCGGCAAGAACGGTGAGATCCAGGAGCTCAACCAAGAAGTCAAGATGCTTCAAAGTCACCTGAGCCTGAAGGACCGTAAGCTCCAAGATCTAGAGGCCAAGTTGTTGAAGACCGACCAAGACCTCGATGTGAAGCTCGCCACCACCTCGAAGGAGCTTGAGAAGTCCAAGAAGCAGGTTCGCGAGCTTTCCGACGAGAACCAGTCAATTCGTCAACAAATTAATGAGCTTTCATCCACTTCAACCGGCTATGAGGACTTGCTCCGTCGCAAGGAGAGTGAAATGGCCGTTCTAAGAAATGACCTGAAGAAGCATGACGAGGACAAGAGGTCACTGGTGGCCGAGAAGACATCTCTCTCGAGTCGTCATGACAACATGCAACAGCGTCTTCGCGAGGTCCAAGCCGAACGAGATGCCATGCGGTCAGAAAAGACTCAACTGGAGCGAGAGGCGGCAGATGTCAAGAAATTGCTCGACGAGAAACGATCTGAAGACGCCGAAGCTGGGGAAAGCCGCCGAATGCTAGAGCAGCAGGTCCACGACCTCAAGGACCAACTGTTCAAGACGGAAGCGGACCTTAGCCGTGAACGCCAGTCAAGAGACGATGTTCAAATGCTTTCGGAGCACAATCTTGCGCAGCTGAATGAGAAATACACCGTCCTCAATGATTCCAAGATTGAAATCGAGAAAGCCATGTACATTCAACAAGACAGCCTGCGCCGAGCCACGGAGGCCCGTGTTGCAGCGGAGCAGTCCCGGAAAGAGCTGCAAACTGAGTTGATCAAGCTTCGCGAGAGGTTTGCAGATGTTGAGAATGCCCGCTTGAACGCCGAAGCAGACATAGAACGCAAGATTAAGCAACAGGCTGATGAGCACATTACAAGCCTGCGGAGCGATCTTGATGAGAAGGCGCAGTTGCTGGAAGACATCGAAACCGAGCGCTATCAGCTTTCGGTCCGGGTTCAAGAACTTGAGCACGCGATCTCAGAGTCTGACAATTTCCGGCTTCGCCATGATCAGCACAAGGAACGACTCGAAAGAGAGCTTGTTACCTTGCGAGGCCGACTGACTGCTTCGGAGAACGACAACCGATCCCTCCTGACCAAGATTCAGCAAAAGAACCTGGATATTGCCCGCTCGACCTCGAAAGCCAGTGACAACAATCGCGTCCGATTGACGAACCTCCAGAAAGAGAAGGCCAAGCTCGACGAAGAGAACAAGAAGCTTGAGCGTCAATTGGGCGAATCTCAACTTGCAATCACGGCTCTTGAGAAGCAGAAAGAGAAGCTGTCCTTGAGCCTGGAGGATCTTAATCATGAGGTCCAGCGTGAGCACAAAACCAGCCGAAATGCTGAGAAGGCCGCGTCCACTGCCAACATCCAGCTCTCGGAGGCGAACCGCAATCTCGAAAACGAGCGACAATTGCGGACTCAAGCCCAGGCGAATACTCGGCAAACCCAGAACAGTCTTGATGGCGCTCACAAAGAGGTCGCTGATCTCCACCGCCAATTGATTCTATTACACAGAGTATTCGAACCCGAAGCCTCTGAGCCCACTCAGTCCTGGGAAGCTGTTCAGCCACACTTGTCGAAGCAGGTCGACTTGGCGCAAGTCTTGGACACCGTACAGCACAAGCTCCAGGTGACGGAAGAGAAATACGCGCGTGCCGAAGGTCAGCTTTCGGAGATGCGCCGACGTCATACGGATGAGATGAAGGAGCTTGATTCAAGATACTCGACCTCCAAACGCGCTCTTCTCGAGGAGATTGACCAGAATGAAGTGGCCAACAACCGCGCGCCTGCACACTTCAGGAAAAACTCTGAAAATGCGGCGAAGAGGTACTCAAACCCGACAACACCCAATAAGCGGTACAGCAACCTGCAAGATGGAGCGCCCGATTCAACACGATCAGACAGAACGGTTGATACTGTGGGCTACCAGAAGCGAATGGATACGGCTGCTGAGATCGAAGAGCTTCAAAACAAGCTTCAGATGACTGAGATGCAGAACAAGCATCTTCAGAATCAGCTTCAATCCACTCCCAACCGTGATATCTGGCAGGATGATAGCCCTTCAATGCGTCGTATGCAGCTTCTCGAGCGTGAAAATGGACGTCTTCACGACCAGCTGGATGACTCGGCTAAAAAGGTTTCGTCTCTGGAGCGAAGCATCCGCTCAGGGCAATTGTCGCTGCGTGATATCCAGGCTAAGTCACACGAGGAGTTGTATGACCTGATCAACTCGCAAGAACAGTCTCGCCGTTCTCTACTCAAGGTCCACAATGATACCATCGCTGAATATGGCGAGGCCAAGTCGCAGTACGAGAAATTGAAGCGCAGTAAGGCCTCTCTGGAGGTTGATCTTCGCGACGCTTGCTCCGAAGCTCAAGAGCTGCAAGCTGGCAGAGAGCATGATGCCGCCAGCCGCAACCAGCTTCTCCAGGAATTCTCTGACTTGCAGATTCGCCTTGATGCTGAGACATCCAGGACTGCCGATCTTGAATCCAGCCTCAGCTTGTACAAGAGCCGCTCCGATGAATACTTCAGCAAGCTTGAACAGGCTGAGATTACTGTTTTGAAGGCTACTCGTGCTGAGCAATTTGCAAAGTCCCAAAGCCAGGAAGCCACAGAAACCTGTGCCCAGATCATGTCCGAGCGGAAGGAGATGGATGGTCTTGTTGAAGACTTGCAACGACAGACCCAGTCTCTCGAAGCTCGCATGGAAGACCAAGCTGCAGAGCTCCAAGGCGCCCTGCAGGCCAAGCAACGCCTACAGAACGAGCTTGAGGATTACCGTAACCAGCGTGCCATTGATCTAGAGGACAAGGAGACCTCAATGGAGCAGACAAGACAGAAATACCAGAGAGAGTTCTCCACCATCAACAGTGAACTGGAGATGGAGCGTGAGCGCTTGCTCAATGTCCGCGGAGAGAACTCTCGTCTACGTGAGGATCTGGAGAACCTCCGAAGCAAGTGGGACAACGAAGTCATCAACAGCTCCACCTGGGCGAAGGAGAAGGGACGCATGGACATGGTCATGCAAGACCTTACCAACTCCCGGGACGAAGCTGCTAAGGCTCACAATGAGGCTCAGAGCAAGGTTGTCTCGCTCCTCTCGCAGGTGCGCACTCTCCGCACAGGTGTGGATGATGTGACAGCCGAGCGCGACTTGCTTCTCAAGGACAAGAAGATGCTTGAGGGCCGGCTGGCCGAGGCTGGCGAGCGCCTTGAAGATCTTGCCAAGGGAGAGAGTCCTTCCATGCGCAATGCTGCCAGCATGGACCGTGAGCTTCTCGAGCTCAAGTCCAAGCTTGCTCAGCAAGAGGACCTATCTACTGCCGCTGTTGGTAAAATGCGTCGCGCTGATGCTCTGGCTACCGAGATTCAGAAGGAGCTTACCACCGAGCGGGAGACCAATGCTCAGCTCTTCAAGGATAAGGCTGGACTGGAGAAGCAGCTTAAGGAGGTGCAGCTCCGCTGCGTTGATCTGGAGACAAAGAGCTACTCTTCTGGTAGCCAAGATGTGCGATTCTTGCACAAACGGATCAAGGAGGTACGAAAACACGTTGAATCCATTGATTCATATAAATCTGCTAACACGTTTCCCGTCATAGCTCGAGACCCATCTTGAAGAACAAGAGAACAAGAATAGCGCTGAGCAGCGCTCTCTGCGCAACGTCGATCGCACCGTCAAGGATCTCCAATCCCAGATCGATCGACGCGACAAGGTGAACGCCCAGCTCAATGACGACATCAACAAGGCTAGGGACAAGATCGAACGACTCCTCCAAAACATCGACGAGCTTCAACAAGGCGACACCCAAGCCCAGCTCCAAGCTCGCCGTGCTGAGCGAGAGCTTCGCGAGGAACGCGAGAAGGCCCTGCACATGGAACGCGAGCTTGAAGGATTGAAAGCAAAGCGATTTGAGCGAAGCAGCACCCTCAACCGGGCCCCCATGGCCGCACTGAGCGATGTGGGCAGCCGACGAGGAAGTGCAGCGTACGGATCTAATGATATTCCTCAGCGACAACCCAGCAACACCAAAGGGTTCTTGTAAATAGGGCTGAAGGGATGTGGACAATGTTGGTTTGGGAGTTTTAGCTATGATTTTTGTGTTTTCTGCTTTTATTACGGTTGGCGTATATGTGCATTCGAGATGGACATCTTGGTTGTTCTTGTTGACCATGAGGTCTTGTCTATATGACTTGAACGACTATGTGTCTTACTCGCTTTTTGGTGTTGTATGTATTGGATGGCTGTCTGTTTTTGCTTTTTGGTTTTGGGAGTAAATACGCTCAGTGGGGATGAATTAGGATAGGGTTAGTTATCTACAACGCGAGAATTCAAGATCAGACAATATTTTTGAGTGTAATTTTAAAGATCCAGATTTCTCTCTTTACTCGTGTATGCCATGTGGTTTTTATTCCCCTACAAGTAGCTTCAGTCTCAATAATCAGTGCACATAGCGGAAAGAAACTACTCCATCAGCTCGGTAGCCGGCCTTTGAGCCGGCAATGGCTGAGCTGGCAAGTACACCTCCTTCCAATTCCACCCGTTCTATGTCTGCATTCTGGCTCTTTAAATGCCACTTGATAAAGAGTGCCATTAAAGCACACACAAGGCAAGCACCACTCATAACTGCGCCTCCGGCGTAGTATCGAGGCTTCTGTGAATCCGGAAACATGTATGAAGTGTAAAGGTGCGCAACTCCGGCCCCCATCAAGTTGACTACGGCAAGAGCACTCGCACACTGGCTTGACTTAAGTGATGATCAGGTTTGATGGGGGTTGAGTGAGGATGTCTGAAAGGTATCTGGTTAAACTTACAATTAATGGCATAGAAGAGATTGTAGAAAAGCTTACATCCAACGTAGAAAATCATAAGGCATGTGTTGTACTGGTCATTTAATATGCCAAGCGTATCGGGCAGGCCGGCGATTTTCGCATTGGCGATATTGTTCCTGGAAAGATCAGCTATGACCCCATCAAAATTGAGATGAGCTAAAAGCTAACCTGTCAAGGATATCATCAAGAATAAGATGGCCACGGCAGGTAGCAAGCAGCTGTCCAGCCTGCGCGCGAGTCCTCTTTCAGGGGTTTCGATATCATGACTTTCCCAAGATGACAGCACATAGGGTAGAGGAAGCTGTTGTAGTGCTACTGATTTCACATTTTCAATTGTTTCTGTCAAGTGTTTTGCCTGTGCAATGTTGTCCATGTTCTTTGCTCTGTGTGGTAGCTTGACAACAGGATTTAGTCCCTAGTCATGCGAGATCAGCGCGGAGGCATCTATTCTGGACTTAGTCAAAACTCCGAAAATGACAAAAGCTCCTAGGCTCAGGCTTTTCAATTCTCTATGCCGTTAGAGGTCCAATCGAGAAAAGCCTGCCCAATAAAGTTGGCGATGAGTGAATTTTGTATATTCATTTTTGTGTTTTTCTCATCTCTTTGGGTAAGTCGAAAAGCCCGAGGAAGTATGAGGTGGGGCCGGACGTTGATAAAGAAGGGGGTGATATTTAAGGCCGAGAGTTGATGATAATGAAAGGAGAAAAAAAAATACACGGGCCTCCTATTCCAGTAGATGGGATCAGATTCGTCAAAAGCAACGAAAGAAAATGTGCAGTAGTTTCCAGCGTGGATCAGTCCATGCTAATGGCTGCGGCTGAGAGCACGTGATACCCGCGCGGCACGCGGCAGTTTGCCGCCCAACCTCATCCGCAGCTGTCAAGCTTCAGATTCCCTCTCCGGATTCCTCCCACGACCCTCATTACTACATCTGGGTCGCAGGCCGTGCCAAACTCCAACCATGGTAAGTCATTCCTCCTCATCCACGCGACCTCATGGACCCGGTTTGCAAATCTTCCGTGAACAAATTTGCTAACGGGCCCCTCCACGATGAACAGGCTCGCAACAGCGAAAAGGCGCAGTCCATGCTGTTCCGCTTCCGGGCGCAACAAGCAGCGGACATGGGCATCATTGACCTCGGACGCACACGACGACCCAAGGCCATCACAAGCGTCGACTCCGTCCCGACATGCGAGCGCTGGCGCGGCCAGGTTCTTAAAGAAGTTTCCCGCAAAGTGTCACGCATTCAAGAGCTCACCTTGAGCGATTATCAAATTCGCGACTTGAACGACGAGATCAATAAGCTCATGCGCGAAAAATGGGCGTGGGAAATGCAAATCCGGAATCTAGGCGGTCCGAACTACATGCGTGGGTCCGGTCGGGTCTACGACGACGAAGGCCGTGAGATTCCGGGCGGAGGAAAGGGTTATCGGTACTTTGGTCGTGCCAGAGAGTTACCTGGTGTCAAGGAGATGTTTGAGGCCGCGGCGCGCAAGGCCAGAGGTCCTACCGAGGAGGAGGGTGCTGGGGCTGGTAGGGGTGGTGAGATCGCGACGAGGAAAGTCGATGCCAATTACTTTGGATACGGTCTCGATGAGGAGGATGGAACACTCCTCGCCTACGAAAAGTCCAAGGAGAAAGAAGCTGTCGAACATCTGCGTGAGCAGAAGGAGGATGACGCTGAGGATGGCTGGGAGTCTTTACCAGGCGATGCGGGTGACGGCGTGGAATGGCGGCTTCCTACACTAGAAGAGGTGCAAGAGGAACTCGTGGATCGACGACGCAGACGTCTGCTAGACAAGATCTCTTAAAGGTTGCATGTCGAGGTGTTCCCTGTTTCTTCTCTTTATGTCTCGGCGTTACGGATTTTTCTGCGCAATATTCACACATTTTGAGCATTGTCTAATTCCATTCCAGTGATACATCGACTTGGTCGTTCAAAAGATACACTTCAATTATATCCAAAAGATTCGTTCCATAGTATGTACAGTAAATTAGCCACGGGCTATTAATCCCGATTCTTTCTCGACACCCTTTCGGCCCTCAGTGCCTGGGTCATGCTAATGCGTTCAACCTGCAAAGGATCGTCCCGACGTCGTTGTTCTTCCTCCAGATCATCCAGCATAAACCGGCCGACCTCTCCCTGTCGCCATTTTGATATGAGATGTAAAGCGGCGCCATCTATGTTGGGCACTCCGCCCTTTCCGAGCAGGCCGGTATACTGCGCAAACCTCTCGAGCAGCGGCATGACCTCATTTGTAGGCTCGGACCAACGCTGATACGCCTGCGTATCATGCAAGTTGATCTTATACAATAGGTAGTCGACGAGAGTAACAGGCGATATGACAGCGTCCTTGACACAACCGCAAAGTGCCAGCTTGAGCATGTTCTCAGCATCTGGTACATATGGCATGAAGACACCCGGTGTATCAAGCACATAGACATGCGAGCCGCTCTCCCGCTCGATGATCTTCACCGGCGTTCCAATCTTCCTTGTAATGCCCGGCTGGCCTCCAGTCTTCAGGGCTTTTGCTTTGCCCACTCCATAATTCCGCAGATGATTGATTAATGTTGACTTCCCAACATTGGGCATGCCAACGACCATGACACGACACCCAACGAGCTTATCAGGAGCTTCGGCATCGTTTCGAAGGTGTTTAACGATCTGGGTGACGTCTGCGCGAGAGGACGAGCTGACGAAGAATGTGGCACTTTTGGGATCGAAAGTTCGGAGCTTCTTCTCTGCCTGAAACATAAAGTGTTAGTTTGCTGCTTGCATTATTCGAGTTTCATGCAATGCGACTCACTAGCTTTTGTGCAGGTGATTGCGGAGTGCTGCTGAGGTCTCGTTTAGTATAGACGATCAGTCGCCTTTTATTGCCCAAAGCTTCTTCGAACATGGGGTTGATTGAAGTAACAGGTGCCCGAGAGTCACGACATTCGACGACGTAGTCAATTGAGGAGAGCATGTTCTTCATCTTGGTCAAACCAGCTCGATGATGACCGAGGAAGTAGGACCTTGGGATGGCTCCATAGTGCGGAAACGTGCCGCGTGGGATGAACTGTGCCATATTGAGGTTTGTGATATTGATCAGCCAAGTAAAAAGGCATTCATTTTCGACATGCCTGGTTGAGTCGTAGAAACAGTCTTGATTCTCTAACATAAAATTGCCGCTCATGACAAGGCGGAGAGAAAGGCGGTGTGACTATATGATATGACGCAGATCGGCATGATTGCGCCCTAATCCCGTGTACTCTCCAACCATCTTCATTTGCTGTTTCCAATTTAACTTTCTCTCTGGTTGCTTCTCCAATTCGAAAATCCGTCGAGAAATGCAACACATCACTCTCTACATTAGGGTTTAAAGCCTTCAACATCGCAATGTCTCTAATATCAGCTTTTCGACCGCCATCCACCCGCATCTCTTCAATCAGGCGCAGGTCGCGACCCCGCCGGAGGAGGAAGACGACCAGAAATGAGCATGAACTTGATTCCGAAGGAAACTATCATGACCCAGATGCTCATTCTATCATCACACCGTCAAAGCACACGCCGAGACCCTTCAGAGTTCTACGGGGTTCGGTGGCGGCTGGTGGCCCTCTACGCCCATTTCGCCTTGTGAAGCAGGATATTACCAACCTTCGCCGGCGATATGTGTCTGACTGGACTGTCTTTAATCAGTTAATTTTTGCCAGTGCAGTCTACCTCTTCTTTACGAATCTTCTGCCCGGTATCACCTTCGCCAGTGACTTGTATGTCCTGACAGGTAAGAGCTGGGGCACGATTGAGGTCGTCTTGAGCACCGGGCTCAATGGAATTATCTTCTCACTGTGAGTACCTTGTTTTAATTATGTTACACGTTGTGTCATTAATGAGTCAACAGATTCTCGATCCAGCCCCTCACCATTCTTGGCGTAACAGGGCCTTTCTCTGTCTTGGCAGAGAATATCTACTCGCTTTGCACGGAAGTATTCCAGGTATCATATAGGTCCCACTCTAATCATGCTTCTAAAAAGTCTGACAGGAATCATTGCAGATTCCCTTTTTGCCATTCATGGCCTGGTCCTTGATCCATTCTGCGTGGTTACACTATCTTCTTGCCATTATCAACGCTCACGATTGGACAATGCGCTATGTGACAACATTCGCAACGGAGATCTTTTCTCTACTCAACAGTATCATTTATTTCCACAAGGCTATCCAAGAGCTCGAGCGAGCCCATGAAAGTCTTTCCTTCGCTGCCTTTCTCTACGCCGTGATTGGTGCTGTAGGTACCATGCTCCTTGCTATCTTTCTTTCGACGGCAGAGAACTGGAAACCCTTGTTCCACCGGTATATCCGGTTAGGTCTCACGGAATACGCTGCCGCAATTTCCATCATTATTTTCATTGGTCTGCCATACATTGGTGAGCTGGCTACTCTGGATAAGATGACGCTTCCCGTGAGCACATCCTTCCGGCCTACATCTCCAGACCGAACTATCTTCTTCGTGGAATTCTGGAAACTGCCCGTATCATGGATCTTTGCTGCAATTATCCCGGGCTTGATAATCACTATGCTGTTCTTTTTCGACCACGAGGTAAGCTCAATCATTTGCACGATTGATCGATACGGTACACGCAAACCTGGTGGTTTTGCCTGGGACATCGTCTTGCTCGGGACAACCACAGCTTTGTGCGGCATCCTTGGTATCCCACCATCAAATGGCCTTCTCCCACAAGCTCCCTTGCACTCCGAATCATTGATGCACACGGAGAAAGAAGAGCAAAGCGTCATCGTCGACGGCGAAGAAAAGATAGAGACGCGTGATGTGCGGCGAGTCTACGAACAGCGCTGGTCATCATTCCTTCATGCCGGAGCCATCCTTCTATTCGTCAGTCCGCCGTTCATGAAAGTGCTCGGTTTGACTCCGACAAGCGTTCTTGCGGGACTGTTCATGTTTATGGGTGAACAGAGTCTATCAGTCAAGTAAGTCTATACTGCCACCGGCCTAGACTATGCACTAATCTCACTTCTAGCCCAATACTATACCGCACTTTCTACCTCCTCACTCCACCCTCAGAGCTCCCGCCGCTACCACAAGCCCTACACAAGCCAAGCGAGACGCCTAACATTACCGACACACCCTCCCGCAACCCATCATACCTCCCAATTCACCTTTACACCATCCTCCAGATCGTCATAACAGTGATCATCTTCATTGTCACCTTGACACGCGGCGCCCCCGCCTTCCCGGTCCTTATCATCGCCCTCGTCCCATTCCGCCTCTTAGTTATGAAACGCTGGTGGCCCCGAGAAGTCCTCCGCTTCGTTGATGCATGGGCCTGTCGCGAGGGTACACCCGAAGATGATGAGGATGCAGCGAAGACCCAGGGTCAAGACGCGCTCGACAGTGAGCAAGTTGCAGTTGGAATTTTGGACGCAGATTCATCGAGTGCGGCTGTTCAATCGACTTCGGTTTCGAAGGAACCCCGTGAGTCGCAGGCTGACCTTGCGGATCAAAGAATATGGGGTACGAGTCATGAGGATATGAATAATGAGTGGGTGGAGCTTCAGGGGCGTGGGGATGAGGAGTTAGGCAGTGATAACAGGTATAAGGGATCTTGATCTTCCTACTGTGATCTTGATGCTCTTGTTAGGTTTATCTAAGGCTATCGAGCAGAAATATAGACCGACCACAAGGATGTGAAGTCAATACTAGCTTGTCTCTAGAATTTCAATGTGTGCAAAGAAAGATATAGGCTCACAGCTTAAGAATGCAGGTAAGGTAGTCCGGATCCTTCAAAGTTCAGGCATCGTAACATCTCAAATGGGAGTAAATAACATCTTCCAAGATTAAGGACACGCCCATCCCCAGTCCTCCTATAAGTTCCCCTCCCCTTCCTATTAATCTTCTCTTCTCGTTTTTTCCCGGCCGCGCACCCGCCCCCAGAGCCGTCGACTTCAGAGACTGCGTAGCTCACGGTCGACTGTAAAGCCAACACTTCCCAACGCGACAGAAGGTAGCTCTAAGGGTGACCGAACACACGCATCGTAGGCGCGCTCGATGATAGGAAAAGGCCTTGGATGACGGCTTCGGCCACCATTACCATGGGATCGAGCATTGACGGAGCCGCCTTTTCAAATACTGGCCTCTTACCTCCCCTCTCATTCCCTCTCTCCCTGTGCACAACGTCGGTGATGGTTTACCTTGTGTTTGTGTGTATTACTTGAAGGTTCATATCTCATCAAGGCGTGCTACTGAACGAACCAGAACTGAGATAGAAGAAATCATTTGCAGCAGCGCAGCCGGGTATCCTGAGTCTGTACATCATGCGCCGTCTATAAATCCAACATCTAAAGCCTTTCCAATCATAGAAATCACAATGAAAATGAATCACGCCCTCCACCCCTGCACGAACTCATGTAACCGATCAATAACAACACCGAATATAGCATTGACGCTGTCCCCAATAAGCTGCTCGAAATGCCGAATTGCCTCCTCTTCAGACATCTCCAGATGGAACCGTTCCTTGACCTTCAACACCGCCTTGTCAGGCTCGACGCGGATGTCCGGGATATTGGCATCGACCATTAGACTGAACAAGTTCAAAATGAGGTTTGCGGATTTGCGTAGGGTGGTGTATGCAGTGTAGCAGTATTCCTTGAATTGGAGATAATGAGGTGAGGTTGTGCCGCCCATTCCCTCGACCATTTCTTTGCAGAGTTTCATCATCGGGGCGAAGGGCTTCGGATCACGGCCTAATATGAAACCGAAGTCGGCGTGGAAGAAGTGGCCGTCTGGTGCTAGGAGAAGGTTTTCTAGATGGCGGTCGCCGACACCGAGGAGGTAGGTGATTACGCAGTAGCCTGCACAGGACTTGATGTATGTATCCATTGTTTCTTTGCGGACGCCGAGGGGTTCATTTTCGTCTGGGTTGTTTTCTTTTAGATAGGCGAGGATGGACCGGTATTTGGCGGATGCGGCAGAGAGGGAGGTTGAGGGGATGAATTGGACGGCACCGGCGGTGGAGCTTGTGGCGAGGATTCGGTATGGTGTCAGTTTCAAGTCCAGGTTCTCTTTTTGGAGAAGTCGATCCATTAGGATGATGATCTGGATGACGAGCTGATCCTGGCGAAGATCGTCGCCTACTTTGAATAGAAGTGGGTAACGCAGGCCGTCGGTGGTTTTGAAGGTGATTTGCAGCGGAGATAATGTCGATTTAAAGACATTGGATTCGTCGGGGTAGCATCCAGTTATCTGGACGTCTGGATCCAAAGGTAAAGGTAGCGGTGGGTCAATGTGGATGAGTTCGTTCTTCGGGTCACGAAGAGACTTCTTCAGCTTCTCAATTTTCACGGGCCTAGTTTCTCGGGAGAATCGAATGTCCTTGGCAATCTTCGAGAGTACGGCAATCAATTCACCTTGACGTAGAAGGATCTTTCGATGTTCTGTGTTGACCTTCTCCAACTCGGTCATGAAATAATATTCGACTCGAGCAAAGAGGCGTCGTTGATTTGACAGTGTGCCGGGGCCCGCGTCATCACACTCTACCATGAGGTACCAATGCATGTAGTTGCCGAGCTTGAAGTTGTTGGCGGCGCGCGAAATCAGGAAATTGGCAAGTGAAGAGTCGTGAGCAGCTTCATCCGCATCGTCTCCAGCATGCTCCTCATATTTAAGAGCTTGAACTAATTGCAAAAGATAAAGAAGAAGCTCTTCATCATCGGCCTTGCGCAGCCTGGCTACGGCATAGGATCGCACCGCCGGGTTGTCGAACGTCGGCCCAAGAAGTTCTAAGGCATCATCGACATCGATCTCAGTCCACTTGGGCAGGATCTCAACTGCTTGCCGAGATTCTCCCTCGTCGCGCCAGTTGACCGATTTGACGAATTTGGTGAGTGCTCTCTTCTCTCGTGTCAAAAAGTATCTGAATCTCCAGACAATATCCTTCTCCTCAGCAGTGAGATCCTGGGTCGGCTCGTATGACAAGATAACGTTCAGCTCATCCCGATTCTTGGGGTTGGGTCTGAGATCGCGATCCATGAACCCAGTGCGGTGACTGCGAATCAAACGGCGATGCTTGTCTTCACTCGGGTTTCCAGACTGTCCAACCTCTGCGTCGTAGATTCTAACAACCCCGGCACCATCACCGCCTTCAATTCCAGGGCCAAAGCGGACCTCTGGGACCGGTTTTAATGCCGAGTTTGTATTGGTTGGTACGCTCTGAGAATAAGACGAGATAGGCGGAGGGGCATACTGATGATCAGCCCAAACGATGGGATGGTCGAAACGAGGGAAATCCACGTAAAGGACAAAGTTCTCATCATCTAGCTCCTCGTCAGAACTGTCGTCTTCATTTGCACCAGTCTTCTGCTTCAATGTCTTCAGATGAATAGCTCGTTTGCGGGCAGCCTCCTCAGCCTGCATTTTCAGCTTCTCAAGCTGACGGAAGACCATTTGATCCATCCAGTCAATTCGAGTGATCTCGCCTATCTCATGCTTTTTGATCAGGACTTCAATTCGTTCCAACTCGAGCTCTTCCGACGACGGGGCCAGCACGTCGCGACTGTTCTGTTTCCGCCTCTTCGTAGGGGGCGTAGATGGAGTAGTGGTTGACGAAAAGCCATCCGCAGCTTTATGGCGATGGATCTTGCACTTCTGTCGCCCTATCTTCAACTTGCCCTCGGTATCGAACAGAGGAATGGTGGTTCCGCCAAAAGGTATATCATGACCCTGTGGTCCATCGCCTGCCAGTGGGGATAAATCCCAGACCGTGATCGCAAGCTGAGAGTTGAATGGGGCATCCTTAATGGACATGGGCATGTGCAGCCATTCGTTCCATGCTCGGGCGTTTTTGAAAGCCTTATATGAAGTCTGAAGTGGAACACCGAGGGGCTTCGAGTCCGACCATAACTGCACCGTGACGAATAAATCGGAGCAAGGGTTCTGGGCGGATCCGAGATGTCGTAATTGCGAATTCTTGAGTAATCGCGAGTATGGTATTTGCTTCTGTTTGCCTTCGAGTGAGCCACTGCGGGCCTGTTAGCTGTGTTCTGTCTGGCGGTAGAAGCCCAACCTACACCTTGATGCAGACAGGAAGGTCCACCTGGGTGGAAAGCGCAAAAGTAAATGCCTCCATGCTCGTGGGGCCCTCAACGAAGCAGCGAAGCTCCCCGACGTCGCGCTGAGCTCATGTGGGGATGAGTCAGCTATCTTCACGTGCCTTGCTTGCACAACTATATGGATTCGATCGTCATTAACAACGAAGAGATATGAATCTGAAGCCCATTTTACAAATGCATATGTTACTGTGGATATTCTACCTATCATCTTACTGTGTGTTATCAGTCACCGCCTAGTATGATTGTCCTCGCGCCGTGTGTACATCATGTCTGTCTGCGGAGATTCACGATGCTCCGGGGGTCGGCTTCGATCTAACCCCATCTTACGGGTGAGCGCCTTGTTTCCCTCTTCAAATATTGGATTTTCTCATTGTCAAGGACAGAACAGCCGTGGCTCATTACTATAATGGAAGTGTTGTCGAGATCGCCCATGTTCAGGGAAATTCAGAATACCTTGAGTATATGGCGCGTCTTGTCAGCTCACCAGAGCCACAAGATGAAACTAAGACTCTCCCCCAACACATCGCTCGTTGGCTTCATGTCTCTGATGCATGGTCGCGAAAGTGTGGCCGTTGGCTCCTCAAGAAACTCGGTTACTCGACGAAGGATGGCATTAAGATTATCAGCGATTTGCTCCGAGAGCTCAAGGATTCAACTGAGAGGGAAATACTCCAGTCCCTTGATAGAGTTGCCATCACCATCCCCGACTTATCTTCACTCAGACAAAAAACCATAAACGCCGCGCTCGAGGACTTGGGTTTAAGGACATGGCTAGGCGACAGTCCCTACTACCCTAAACGTCTAGTCGAGACAGACGCTGTTTACGCTGCAAATGGCTACGGGCTTTGCAAAAACTATCGGAATATCTTCGAGTGTACAGACGAGTTTGAGGCCTCATTCGCCTCCCCGGCCGTCTTTCTCGTTTCTTTTTCTCGCCATCTGCTCTATACAGCTATCTCAACCCCTCTTTATGGCGAGGCTTTGGCTATAGTAACCACTGATGAGGCGCAGGTCTTGGATTTTGAGTTCGGCCTGGATCGTCTTTTCCAGGACGATTCCCAGGCACTTTAGGACCGCCTTCGTCAACAATTGTTGGTCCTACCGCGGGAGTCTGAATTCACCGTGACTCATATCTTTCTGGCTGGCGAGAGCGCAACAAATCCTCGATTCTTGGCTGTTTGGAAAGATGCACTCTCAGAACTGTCTCCCATGCTGTCTCAGGATTTGAAAATGACAGTCGCGAATTCTTCTGAGACACTGAATCCTACATTTGCGGCTGCGAGGGGTGCAGCACTTTATTCTCGAAGGCGACAAGAGGTCCAGGCCGACTGCGAGGAACCTCCAGAATGCGAAATAATGAGACAGCAAGGGCAAGCGCGCTCTTTTGGGAAACAGGATCTTTGATAAACTATGATATGAAGCCGATAAGCCATACATTGCTCCCCTGGCTCGGCAGTCTCTAAGACACCCAGGAAGTGCTTCGCACTCCAGGCAACGGATGACGGATGAATACACTCAATTTTGTACTGTATAGCCAATACAATACGGCCACGCTTCCAAGAGGTCTATAGCGGATCCGAGCTAGGTACCCAGCGCGCGACCGTGACTCTCGTAAGTGAAGGCGCGTTGAATAGATCCTAGACTCACAACGCGAAACGACCGGATCGGCTTGTGCTTCAGGTCCATGGTCAGTGCCGACAGCCAACGGAGCATGCCAACAATGACGATGATCATGTTACAGGGAGTGTGTCAAAGTTTAACGCTGCGGTCGTTAGGTCAACGCTGGACCGTGAACCGATCACACTGTGAAAACGTGGAGCTCTGGGCACTCTTGGTGACAGAGTCGTTTTTGCTGAGGCCCGATGTGTCCGCATAATCTACAGTACGTCCCGAAACTGGTGCAACAGCCTACACTCTTCGATTGACTTTCTTACCCCTGCGCCAAGACCTCTAGTCATATACTTCCGGATTACCCTATAAGCTGCATGTGTATTGCTTCGTACGTAAATTACCCAGTAATTTGAGGCATGTATTCGCTTGTTAATTCAATACAGCCGACACCTCCATACCCTCCTGTCCTCTACAACAGCCTTGCTCGGAACAATCAATCACGAGTGGTCCAACTAGCGGTGGCTCCAAACCTAGGATTGTGCTGGAACTATACTTTTCTCTTTACGTTTAGTGTATTGAATTTGTCAGCTCAGGAGGAGCCATCTAACTTAGGAGCCAGGGGCCTGCTAAGTGGGAATCGGGTGTACGTTCCTAATCATTAGAGATGTCCTACTTCTGGACCCCGGCTTGCTATTCTCTTATTATCCAGCTGCATTCTATAGAACTATTAATCAAATCAAGACGTTTCGTTAAGAGCTTTGTCAGGTGTAGCTGAGCCTGAAAACTGAACAGTTCAAATACAAAGAAATGCACTCGTGGTCTGTTTACGTGTTTAAGCGCCAAGAAGTCACCTGATGAATCACAGCCTGTCTCTTGAGAGTCGGAGAACTTCCCCCCGCCACCACCATCCAAGAGCTACACAACGCTTGCTTCTCTAATTATGGCATCAACATCTTGTCATCGTGCCAATATTGGGCTACACACAGACAATGATCATGGCACAATTGCGACCGAATGCCAATTGTCTAAGCGTCGAAAGACTTCGCACCATTACGAATTGCCTGCCCAACGACACGATCAGTACACCATCGCCTGGATCTGTGCGCTACATATAGAAATGGCAGCGGCTCAGATTATGCTAGATGAATTTCATGAATCCCTATCTACACAACCGGACGACAGCAACACCTATGTACTAGGACGTGTGAGGCAACATAACGTTGTTATTGCATGCTTACCAGCACAGCAGTATGGAACAATCAACGCAGCAATAGTCCTGACGAACTTGAAGCGAACTTTTCCAGCAGTCCGTGCGGGTTTGATAGTAGGCATCGGTGGAGGTGTGCCAAACAAGGCTGATGTGCGACTCGGCGATATCGTCGTCGGCACAAGGGTGATGCAGTATGATCTTGGGAAAATCTTGGAAGACGGGAAGTTTCAACGAACAGCAATACCAAGGACTCCCGGGCTGTTGCTCGGAACGGCTGTTTCTGCCCTCCGGACGAAACACGAACTGAGAGTCTGTCGGATTCTATCCATTCTGCACCAGAAGCTAGAAGGACACTCTGAGTATGGTCGCCCAGATTCACCCGATCTTCTCTTCCACGCAACGTATGACCATAGATCCTCCTCAACCTCCAGCTGCGGTAGATGCGACCGTACAAAACTGGTACCACGAGACAGACGGGTATCGAACGATATAACGATTCATTATGGCGCAATCGCTTCAGGGAACCAGGTCATAAAAAACGGAATTACCCGGGACAATGTTGCTCGGGAATTGGATATAATATGTTTTGAGATGGAGGCTGCTGGCCTGATGGATATACTCCCTTGTCTCCCAATTCGGGGTATTTGTGATTACTCTGATTCGCACAAGAGCAAAGAGTGGCAGAGGTACGCCGCAGCAACTGCGGCAGCATATGCAAGAGACCTCATCGGAGAGATCCCTACGGTTGACACAAATGCGAAACCGCATAGAACAGCCGATGCTTGTAAGTCTGCTTACCATTATAGCAAAACATTTGGACAACTACTCATACCTAATGCCCAGATCAATTCTTATCGCAAGAACTTCGGCAGCGCTTATTAGATTCCCTTAGATTCAATCAAATTGACTCTAAAAGATTAACAATCAGGAATCCGCACGACATGACCTGTCAATGGCTCTTCAGCCACATCGACTACGAAGCATGGCTTGATCATGCAAAATTGACGCACCACCATGGCTTTCTGTGGATCAGCGGCAAGCCAGGTGCTGGCAAGTCAACTATGATGAAGGCTGCCTACGTAAATCTGAAGCTCAAAGACGACAATGACTATGCTATCACTGCTTCCTTTTTCTTCAACGCCCAAGGCGAAGGCCTAGAAAAGTCGATCTTAGGGATGTATCGATCCTTGTTGCTTCAGCTGCTAGAAGGATACCCTGACCTTCAGACAGTTTTGAACGATCGTGAGCTTGTTTCTCAGAGTCAAAATGGTTGCCCTCCATTGAATGTTCTCAAGGACCTCTTTTGCAACGCAGTTTCCGCTCTTGGCCAACGCTCATTTACCTGCTTCGTCGATGCTCTTGACGAGTGTGATGAACAGCAAATTGTGGAAATGGTCCAATACTTTGAGGACCTAGCCAAAAAAACTACAGCCCAGAGAATCCAGTTCCGGACATGTTTTTCGAGTCGACATTACCCTTATATCTTTATCCAACAGGGAATTCGCTTAACCTTAGAAGATCAGCCTGGCCATGCAGAAGATATAGCAACATACATTGAGAGTCGCCTCCAAGTTGACGGCCCAGTACCTGTCAAAGAGTTGCGAGCTCAGCTTCTCAATAGAGCTGCTGGTGGTTTTATGTGGGTTGTCTTGGTAGTCGATATTCTTAATATGGAGTCTCGGCGGGGTGGGATGGCTTTAAAGAAGAAACTCGCAGAAATACCAAGTGATTTGAGCGATCTTTTCAGAGATATCCTAAGACGGGACAATGGTGATATGGAAGCTCTCCTGCTTTGTATTCTCTGGATTTTGTGCGCAAAGCGGCCTTTAGAACCGCAGGAGTTCTGTCATGCTCTCTGGGCAGGGTTATCTCCAAGGGGATTAGTCGATGATGATATCCCGGATGTTACCATTCAAGTTCCCAGTCAACACCTCGACAGGGTTAACAGATTTATCATCAGCTCCTCAAAAGGACTTGCTGAGACCACGAACTCTAAGCCTCCTACAGTTCAATTTATACATGAATCTGTTCGGGACTTTCTTGTCAAAGATAAGGGTCTGCATGAGTTATGGCCTGACCTTGGGTTTGACTACGAGAGTCTAAGCCACGAGAAACTCAAACAATGCTGCAAGACATACCTAACTCGTGCTGTTGCGCGCGCATCTATTGGCAACCTCTTATCAAAATCCAAAGACGGGGTGAAATTACCAAAGGAGTACCCATTTCTAGAGTATGCCAATCAGCATATCCTTCATCATGCCAATGCTGCCGCGACAATGTTTCCCCAGGACGAGTTTCTAGATTCTTTTCCTATTTCGAACTGGACTAGCGTTCACAATCTTTTCGAGAGGTGCAACACTCGAAAGTATAGCCCGGGTGTAAACCTATTCTATATCCTCGCAGAAAAAGGATTGTCCGAGCTTATCCGCACGCGGCTTAAGGAGGACCAGGAAATTCATGTCCTTGGGGAGCGATATCATTATCCAATTTTTGCCGCTTTAGCTAACAACAACAAAGGGGCTGTTGCTGCTCTTCTGAACTCAACTTCGAGTATCTATAATGGAGTCGATATTACAGAGGGTCTTACCTACAAGCAAGATCTTAAAGATTACAAGGATCGAACGCCGCTATCTTGGGCGGCCCAGGTTGGCCGAGTAGGTATTGTGAAGCTACTTCTCCAGACAAGAACGACCGTCGATGAAGTGGACAGCGGCGGGCGAACTCCAGTTTCACGGGCCTCAGAGAACGGTCACGAAGAGGTGGTGAGGCTTCTTATCGACATGGGAGCGAACGTCAACGCTAGCGACAAAGATGAATTGACGCCACTTCTGTATTCCTTAAGAAATGGTCACGAGGCGGTAGCGAAGCTTCTTATCGATAAAGGTGCAGACCTCAACGGTAGCGACAAACACGGATGGACACCACTTCGATGGGCTTCAAGAGAAGGTCACGAGGTAGCCGTAAGGCTTCTCATCGACAACGGAGCAAACATCAACGCCAGGAACGAAAATGGATGGACACCACTTCAGTGGGCCTTGAGCAATAACCATGAGGTAGTGGGGAGGCTTCTTATCAGCAAGGGAGCAGACATCAAAGGTATCCAGCAGAGTATATCAGCACTACTCATTAGCGCCTCAGCAGATGGCGACGAGGTAGCTACAAGTTGTCTTATCGATAAGGGAGCAAATGTCAACGCTCCCGACTACACTGGATGGACGCCACTTTTACGGGCCATACAAAAAGGCCATGAGGCAGTGGTGAGGCTTCTCATCGACAAAGGGGCAGATGTTAACACTAGCGATAAAGCTGGGTGGACACCGCTTTTACGGGCCTTACAAAAAGGCCATGAGGCAATGGTCAGGCTTCTCATCGACAAAGGGGCAGATGTTAACACTAGCGATAAAGCTGGGTGGACACCGCTTTTACGGGCCTTACAAAAAGGCCATGAGGCAATGGTCAGGCTTCTCATCGACAAAGGGGCAGATGTCAACGCTAGTAACGAAAATGGATGGACACCACTTATTTGCGCTGCAACACAAGGCCACGAGGCGGTAGCGGAGCTACTTATCGACAGCGGAGCAGACCTCAACACTAGCGATAAAGCTGGGTGGACACCGCTTTTACGGGCCTTACAAAATAGCTATGAGGCGGTGGCAAGGCTTCTCATCGACAAAGGGGCAGATGTCAACGCTAGAAACGAAAATGGATGGACACCACTTATATGCGCTGCAATGCAAGGCCACGAGGCGGTGGTGGGGTTTCTTATCGACGGGGGAGCAGACATCAACGCTTGCGACGAGAAGAGTTGGATGCCACTTCGATGGACCTTGGAAATGGGCCACGAGGCGATAGCAAGGCTTCTTATCGACAGAGGAGCAGACATCAACGCCAGTGACAATGGATGGATGCCACGACGAGCATTACGGATGCGATACGAAGCGGTAGCGAGGCTTCGTATCGACAGGGACGCAGACATCAACAAGAGCGACAAGAATGGAAAGACGCCACTCCAGTAGACCTTATAGGATGAGTATGAGACCGGCGCCAAGCTTTCTCATCGACACAGGAGCGGGACATGGACCCGAGCATCCAAGCCAGCTATCCCCGTTCGCGCAATGCTCGAAGCCTCTCGTGCTCTCGTTGCGACGAATGTGACGTTCTGGCGACAATAGAGGCGATCGAAAGACATGGGAATAGCCTCAGGCGTTGCCATTCACGAGTTTCTGCCTCAGGTGTCTGTTCGCTTGCTTTGAGGATGGTGTATGTACAGTGGTTGGTTGGTTGTGGCGCTACCACCTACACTCATCGATAAACTTTCCGGTCCCTAGGGCAAGATACACTAGTCGATTTGGGAGTTTCTCCGCATAATGTGTTACAAAGCGTTAAATTGAGAAAGATATGGCTGACAAGCTGAGTATTATGATAAGCTCTGTCGGCACAGTAAGCAAGTAATGCAAGTCACTATATGCAACGTCTGGTGCCGACTAAGTCCCCAGGCCGTTAATTGGACATCGGGTGTGGCAGGGGGAAGTGACAGCTCGCCAGATTCTCGATGCACTCACTAGGACAGGTGATTGACATGTTTGCATTGTTATGGAAAATTCTAGTTCTTGAATCGTAAATATAGTTCCGGCATACGGCGACGTATTTTAATTAAAGTTGATTTTGGTATTGAGACTGATACAGGAATATTTATATTCCGGATTTGCTTTGAATATGGACTAGTGTCTATCGGGTTGGGGCTAAAGAATCTCTCTAAGAGTGGAGGAGGTTGCACCAGTTTCGGGACGCACTGTAACCGTCCATCAACGTTCCTTCAACGACGGTGCTCCTATAGACTAACCAGAACCTGCAGTGACTCATCCCTCAACATGAAATTAGTTGAGGTAGAAATTCTTACATGCCTCACGAAATTGCCTTGACCAATAAATGATTTCGAAACTATTGTACAAAGTTATGATTTATCGCATTTACTGCGGAGCTTAAGCCTAGCGGGGTCGTTTGGGAAATATTATTTAGTAAGCCGGATTTCAAGTACTGTGGGTCAATTAAGAACAAGGTGTGCAAAAGTATACAAGTTATCATCCTTTGGAAGGACCTGGTCGATTGTTAGAGCTATACCAGCACTAAATATTTGATCTGATGGTATGTACTCTTAGCCTTGGGCTGAGGATAAGGACACGAGCTAGTGATCAAACGTCCGAATCACGCAGGAAGCAGACTAAATCCAAATAATAATAGATCACAAACGCAGTGTGATTGTAGTGGAACTGTCAAATCATGACCCATCAATGGCCCCACCGACACGATCACGTGATGTTACGCGATCGTACGCGCCTGATAGCGAATTTGCGAATGCATTTCTTTTGGGTCCCCAAAGTACGGTGTGTGATAATTTCAGCTCGACAGGGGACTGTTTCAAGCTCCACACTACCCATCTGTCTGACCTCTCTTTGTTTCAACTTGCATCCGTCCTGCACGCGCGCTAAAACAAGCGTCGAGCATGGAGCGTGTCTCTCTTTCTCAGTTGACTGAAGCAACTGCGCTCAGCTCCAGTCCTCCTGCAGCATCCGATTCCGACAAAGAGAATCCTCGAAGTGCCAACAAAAGACATAACGCTCGGATGGCATCCTCGAATCAACCTGCGAAGCGCCGGCGTTTGACCGACCGCACGTCCAATATGCAGTCGCAAGCCCCACCATCGACGCAGCGGAACGATAGCAAGAGATGGTACGATCCTGACCAGAATGAGGAGGAACGGAGACAAACACGCAAAAAATACAGAGATTTGACCGGTGATTTTAATGGTATGTTTTCTCATTCATTGTGCAGTCGCGAAGTGAAAGTGAACGCGATTTAACACATCCCACAACAGACTCGCGAGCCGAGTTCCTGCAGGCAGGAAACAATGGTATCTACGAAACAGTGGAGAAAGCGAACCTTCTTTACCAGAATGTGAAACAGACAGCCGACGCCACCCTCGATTCGCGCCTTCTCGTCAACGCCGCCGATCTCACGAATAAGAAAGTCTCGCAGACTGGGGATAGTAGCGCTGGTATCGACGTGGATGAGTTCATCACCAGGTGCTGCAATTTCATGCGCGCTGGACCAGACAGCTCGGAGACCATACCCAGCAACACCCAGAACCAACGACGTCACCACCGAAGCCAGAGAGAAGCCGATAGCGACGACGAGGATGGCACTGCGGGCGATGCATTTAACTGGGACTGGCTTGGTCGGGCAGCTTGTCTTCCCCATAATGCGAGACCCTCGGTATCTGGATGGCTACTCGGGCCTTTGTCAGTGCAAAAGCGCACGCGGCAGATGACCCAGCGGGCCAGGGTCGAGCGTTTCGACGCAACACAGGCGGTTCGACCACAGGAACTTGAACAGGAAGATCTGGGGGAGCAGGAGAACGCTAACCTTACTGAGACGTGTCAGAAGGTCAACAAATTGCTTTACGAGTCTTCAGAGGCGGCTACCCAAAAGGTCAACGAGGAGCTGACGGCGGTCGAGGAACCTAGCGAGGAAATGATTCAAAAGGTTATGGATGAGCATGGTATTTCTGAGAGCGCTGGCATGAATCTATTCCGCTTTTGCATCGATCCGCACTCGTTCGGACAGAGTATCGAGAACCTGTTCTATGTTAGCTTCTTGGTTCGCGACGGGACTGTTGCTGTCCAGATGGACAGTCGTGGCATTCCATATCTCAGTGAGTGGCTTGAAATGCCGTTACCTTGTGCAAGATATACTAATCTCGTGAATAGTTCCATCCACGCCATATGCGCCTAGTGAGGCCCAGAAGAGGAAGATCCAGAAGCACCAGGCCGTGTTCAGCTTGGACTTTGATATCTGGAGAGAGCTAATCGATGTGTTCGAAATTAAAGACCCGATTATCCCTCACCGCGAGGAACAAGAAGAGGAGACTGGGCGAGGATGGCATGGCTAGATGGTTCTTGACACGATGCGACCACGGGAAATCGGCGTTTCTGTTTGGATTTGATGATACCCACTAGGCCATATTTAGCAGAACAATCAAAATAAGGATATTTTGTTCATATTCATATTCATAATTATATAAACAGACGGAGCTACGACTTCATTTGAAGCCGGACTTGAAGGATCCATAGAGAGCGGAGAGAGCGGAGTCCGGGCCGAGGCCTTTACGATCGATAAGCTCGCACCTTCCAGCTATTCACGAGCATTCGATCATCACGTCATCTTTTAGAGTCTGGATCGCGCCTGCTCTATACGTCAAGAAAACTTGCTCGAATTTTCCCCTGCAACGCTACTTCTCTTCATCACCTGCATTTTGATTCACCCACAGTCTTACTCTCCTTGAGCTCTTATCCATCTAGCTCGAAACAGCTGTTGGCAACTGAGACATTCAACGCCAGGGAGCGAAAGTCACACAGAAACAAAAGACACCATGCCGCAGCTCTTCCCGTCCAACCCATCCGACCTGATGGTCATCCGCGCAGTGACGCCCGCGATCATCACTATGAGCCTGCCATTCGCGCGGTTCGGAGTCTGGCGCTTCGGCGGTCGAGGCACACTTGGTGAGCACGCCCTTACAGATCTGAGCTCGCGCATTCCACCGGCCATTGCACCCGGCTGAAGACATTTGAGGACCCGAGCTAACCCTCCTTGCGTGAAATAGTCAAGCTCTCCACGGGCGCCCTCGCCGTTTTCTCACCCGTGAGCCTCACCCCGGAAGTCCGCGAGCGGGTTGAATCCCTCGGCGGCAACGTCAAGTACATCGCTGCTCTGGACCTCGAGCACCATTTGCATATCTCAACCTGGAAGAAGGCCTATCCGCAGGCGGAGATCCTGGCTCCCGAAGGGTTGTGGGAGAAGCGAAACAAGACGGCTGAGTTCAAGGGCGAGGAGCCGTTCTCGCACGTTTTTAGGAAGGATTCACCAAACGCTATCTCCGAGGAGTTCGATGCTGAGTTTGAGTCGGAGTATGTGCACGGGCACGCGTCCCGCGAGCTGGTCTTTTTGCACCGCCCTTCGCGCACGGTCATCGAGGCCGACATGCTCTTCAATTTGCCTGCGACTGAGCAGTACTCCAAGACTCCTGATGCCAACCCTGTGAACTGCCTTACTAATCTGGTACTGCCCATGCTGCGGACTAGTGTTCCTTCTACTGGCCAACGACGCTTTGCCTGGCACATTCTCTCGCAGCAAAATCGCTCGGAGTTTACTGCGTCTGCGAAGCGCATCGCTGGGTGGGACTTTGATCGGATTATTCCTTGCCACGGAGATGTCATCGAGACTAACGGAAAGGCGGTCTGGCAGGATGTAATGGCTTGGTTCCTAAAGGACGATTCCAAGCATGTCTGAGACTATTGTTCACTCTGTGTGGCGGGTGTTTGATTGTGTGTGTGTGTGTGTGTGTGATTGTGTACTTCTTTTTGGAGCTGTCTAATACCCCCTGTTGGCGTTGTGGGAGGCTGGTGTGATCTGTTTACTGCTACCCACGAGAACGAGCTCGGCAAAACACTGTAATTATTCTTTATCATCAGGAACCAGGAACAATCGACGCGCTAAGGTTCTCGAGAATCCACGGTTCATTAGTAGAGGGGATCGCTTCTGTAGGTTCCATTGTGCATGTTGCAAGGTTTTGGCATGCAGATACAATGAGGGAATTGACGACCAAAGTATATGCTCGAATCACCTCGGCTGTACACTTGTACACTTGCACCCTACCCTAGTACCCTAGTACCCTAGTTCATCATGCAACACCCTTGGGCGCCCCCACGTCATAGGGCTGAGTGGATCACAGGCAAGGGCGCCGCCTTTGCTCAACCATACGATTCCGCCGTTTCCCATTGAGACTTGCACTTGCACTTGCACTTGCACTTGCACTTGCACTTGCAGCAGTTAGACATACCCTAGACATACGCATCTCAACACATGTCTAAGCACCGCGTGAACCATGCGCAGCACCTCGAGGCAGTGCCGCCCTGGATAGGCTGCAATGATCTGCCTGGATCAAGTGGAGACACGCTCGATCAGCAACGTCCACGGGACATTAAACTATGTCTCCCCATTAATTGGTTCTAATGTGACCACTAGGCACCAATCTCTCTCGTCCATCGCCCAGCCACCGAACTCGCCAACACACCGCAAAAACAGGGATAGCCCCTATACACGCGGGATCGCTGGCCAACCCCGGCCCAGCTCGCGGTGTCGGGGATTCTGACAGGCCATGAGCTCCTTGCTCCGGGTAGAGCTGGCCAGGTCAGCCACGTACAGCCACGGAGAGAGCCTATACAAGAAATTAAAAATAAAATTAGAAAGATGCAGAAAGGGATCGACATCACCATTGGGCATCCTGTACGCTACCCAATGATGCATCACGTCCTCGAGCTCCTAGCAACTTTCGGGCAGGATCTGACGACATTGTGCTGTGACGATATGGGCTGCGGGTCTTGGTACCTGTTTTTATTTTTTTTTAATTTATTTCTATTTTTTGCTAGTGAAGTTAGTGATGTTTGGGTTTGGGTTAGTTTTAGATCCTTTTTTTTTGGGGGTAGTTGGCTGGCCCTTGCTTCTGACGCGGGTGAGCCCTCGTTGATTCGGATCATGGAATATGCCCTGTGCGACGGGCCTGGTGACCTTTTATATACCTCGTTCTTTCCCCGGATGGCTTTTTCTTTTTGGTTCTTCCCTATTATTTTCCATACTTCTGACCTATACGGGTAGATTTTGGCGGCTATTACTATACTCGCATACTTATTGAGCTTGAGTGCCGATCTTCACCATGCCTGTCATCTCGCGCCTTGTATCTATTCCTCTGCGCATTGCGGAAATCGCTTTTGCTGCGGTACGTACATCGTCTATAAGATAAACAATGTGGATTTTCTAACTCTAATTCCGTGATAGGTCGTCGCTGGTATCATCGGCCACTACCTTGCCTCCTTCAGTGAGATCGACCCCTGGCCCCAGGCTCGCTGGATCTACACCGAGGTCATTGCAGGCTTGTCTATATTGCTGGCTCTAATCTGGTTGATCCCATTCTCTTCCGGTTTCTTCTCTTGGCCTCGTACGTCGCAACCTTGGAACGCCCATGTCGTCTATCATATACTAACACGGTCATCTAGTGGACATTCTCATCTCCTTCGGCTGGTTCGCTGCCTTTGGTATTCTCGTGGACGCTATTCGTCAATTGCCCTGCGGCAGTATCTGGTCCTGGCACTTCCGCGGTGACTCTGTCTGTGCGCGCTGGAAGGCTGCTGAGGCTTTCAGCTTCTTGTCTGCTATCGTCTGGCTGGTCTCCGCTCTCGTTGGTATCTGGTTTACGTTCCGCAAGCGTGGAGAAGCTACTCAGTCATCGTAAGCCTCTATTTACATATTTCTTGAGTTTCTCGATGCTAATTTGTCTGTTAGTGGTCGTTGGGGCCGCAAGCGCGCCGCTGTCGACTCCGCTGCCTAAATAGGCGATCGATTTGCAGGACCCGACAGCAGTCATTATTCTGCTCCAATCGCATTCCTTGCATAGGTTGGCTTTTGAGCATGGCTCGCTTGGTGAGATCTGCATCGCCTGGAACTTTCTGTGAATGTCGGTCGTTTCATGATATATTTTGACTTCTCGTCGCATTCTCCTCATGGCAATGGGGCATACGAATTACGACTTACGTTGATACCCTTGGTGGACGTATGATGCTTTTGATATTTAATGATAGTCACTCGTTCGCGTTCGCAATGAAATAATTTACATCATGGTTCTCCTTCCTGTACTTTTTGTTGACAGAGTTTACAGGGGCGGGAAAGTATCCACCAACCTGGTCGGGCCTCTCACACAGAGTCATTAGAGGTTCAGAAACATCGCCAAGAGACCCTTGGAAGCAAGAAATCAACATGATACTCGATCTGAAACCCCATTCCATTGGCATCATTCTGGAAGATGACTAAGAATGACTCTCGGGCATGTGGACCCTGGGGGGGGCCAGCGAAAGCCCAGACAGGGTGGAATTCCAGTCCTCCTTGACGATGGAACCTACAAAGATCACCTAGGATGCACTCACAATCGGCAGGCGAAGATGCTAGCCGCTCGTCGTCGCCAGGGAATCGCAGCGACGACTCGTATGCACTCGAGGATCTGGGGACGCGGTATAGAGACGCCGAACCTGAGCGCGACCTGTTGAAAGACCCGCTCGACGTCGAACTAGGAGGCAGTGTGCCTCTGCTCCCAGGGCACCCTGATGAATTTGAATTCGACGATGAAGATTATGACGAGTTTCACGTTGACCGGGAGCTTGGTCGTGATCCGCCGTTTTCCTGCACGTTCCAGGGCTTCGTCGCGTGGTGCCGTGGACCCGTGCCGCCGCATGTCTATCGCATTAACCCCTGGTTCCCTAAGTGGCAGGCTGCGCCGGCGCGCCTGGTTGATCACTGGGCTCCGAAGCGGATTATGAAGATAGCTGCTTTGTTGTTTGCGGTGGTATTGTGGGTTGCTGTGTTCTTTTCTTCGCTGAAGGCGTCTGTGGCGGAGCAGGAAGTTCTGGGCTATGGTCAGCCCGTCAAGCTGTCATGTCACCATCGCTTGTGGTACGTTTGCATACTTTGAAAGTTGACTGCCCTTTAATTGTTTGAGAACTAATAACCTTTCAGGGCTAATGGCACGGACTGCGGTATGAACGGGGAGCTTTGTATGCCCTTTGATGATAAATCGTTCGCGTTTCGTTGTCCGTCTGGCTGTGCTGCAGCCATTCTTCTAGAGCCGTACAATGTCGGTGCCTATGAGTATAATTATAGATCGCTGGTCATTGGTGGCAAGCCTGGTGGTTTCCGGCGAGACGGTCGCAATAGTGGCATTTATCGGGGCGACTCCTCCATCTGCGCATCGGCCCTGCATGCAGGGATGATCAGCGACGCAAAGGGAGGATGTGGGATTTTGCACCGCAGAGGCGAGACGGACAAGTTCGAGTCCCATGAGCAGAATGGCATCGAGAGCATCGAGTTCATGTCGCATTTCCCCATGTCATTCCTCTTAACTCGCCAGGCCTCGTCCTCGGGGTCTCACGATGCGAAGCTGGTGCAATGCTCCGACATCCGATGGACACTATTCGCCTTTACTGTCGCTTACACGGCCATCTTGTCCATGTTCGTGACTTCTGCGCCGGCCTTCTACACCGTGATCTACTTCATAGTGTGGTTCCAAGTCGCCATGGCATCAGACCCACCCACTTCAGGCTACTACGACCTGGTCTCAATTGGTCTTGGTCGGTTCTTCCCGGGCGCATTTGTCGGTTTCGCCATGTATTATTTCTGCGTAAAACACACGCTCCGTGACTTGACAGCGCACCTCGACAAGACCATTTTGTGGCTAGGCGGCTGCTGGGTCGGCGCCTTGAATACAGATACGTTCGATCGTATCCCCATCTCGCGCCTCACTCCCCACGATATCAAGCAGCAGCCAGGAGGATTCACGGCATTTCTCGCTATCGTGGGCTCTCTCATTGTGATCTTCTTCGTCCAGGCACATTGTTTCCGCCGCGAAGGCCGCTTCTTCCCAATGCTGAGTCTATACGGTCTGATGGCCCTCATCATTCTCATACTCGTCGCCGTGCCACACATGAACCTCCGCATCCACCACTACATTCTCGCTCTTCTATTCCTACCCGGAACAACACTGCAAACGAGACCCAGCCTCTTATTCCAGGGTATCCTCGTCGGCCTATTCATCAACGGTATCGCGCGCTGGGGATTCGACTCCATCCTTCAAACACCAGCAGCTCTTCTAGACGGCGGCAAATTAGGCACTGTCCCCCCACCAATCAACCCACCCACCATAATTGACCAGGATCACCTCACATTCTCGTTCCAAGATCTCCCACCGCATGTGGATGGTATCAGTGTGTTGGTCAACGACGTCCAGCGCTTCCAAAGCTTCAAGCCCAAAGACAGCGGTCATGTGGGTGACTTTTCTTGGGGTCGCAGATTCGCAAAGGAGATCGAGTACTTCCGCTTTGGATATGTGCATGTCAATACATTGGGTGGTGTTTGGTATGAGGATTTCACTGAGGCGGCTACTTGGGCTACCGATGGGAATTTATTTTATCCTGTTTGACTAGAACTTGGACTGCATCTTGGCTTCAGGTTAGACACCTGTGCTCTTCGGCGTTAGAATCTCATATCCGAGCATGTCAATCCTTCTTGAATGAAGGTTTAGACACAATTTTATGACGCTTTTATAGGTTTGACGGTGAGGCATCCAGCCACACAATCAAGAAAATTTAGGACAGTAGCATCTCCCTCAAACAGCAAATCACGACATTCGAAGCGCAAATAGCAAGACGTGTATATAAAATCAGTAATTTCCCCAATAAGCAGTCTTCCCCTTCTCAATAAGCTCAGAATCTAGACCATCCTCGTCCGGATTCTCGCCAATTTCCAAATCAAACTCCCTGGCCTCCACAACCAACTCCCGTCTCTCCAAACTCGCCGGCGTGGTCGTCGTATCCCCACTATCAACAAGCTCCTCCATATCCCCAGAATCCGGTCCAATATCACCCCATTCGTCCCCCGGCGCCCCATCCGCTCCCCTGGGAACCTTGTAACAGTACCCAAAAATCCCCGTGTTGGTGTTGAGAGACCTTGGAAGTACACACCGATGATAACAACAGTGATAATTTCTGAGACAATTTTGCCTATTTGCCTGACATTTTCGCCAACGGCCGTGCTTCTTGAAGGCTTTCCAGTGACAATAACCCTCGAAGCATTTCTGGGGAGGCTTGCAGTCTTTGGGGTCCTGACAACCTACGACGCATACGCCGTCAATGCATATGTGGTTCCAGAAGCACTCTGAGTTTCTTGAGCAAGTTTCTGGTTCTTTTTCCTTCTTGGGCTTCTTTGGGGGGCGGACATCGAGAGATGGGTCGGATGGGTTGGATCGTTCAGATGGCTCAGAGGGATCGAGGGATACGTCGGAGGATAAGTCCCTGGCTCCGATGGTACTATGGAACGAGGCTAGATTAATTGCTGCTGTTGGAGTCTCTTTCGGAACGGTTGTATTTTTCGCGGTGGTTAGAAGGAGGAAGATGGATATGGCAGGGACTGGAGATGGTTAGTTAGATTATTGAAGTGGGTTGAGATGTTACATACCGGAAGATGCTAGCTTCATCTTGTCTATTATATGTTAGAAACGGATGGAGCAAGATATTTTGAGATCTACGATCAACCACGAAGGTAGGAGAGTATGGGGCGGGTGTTATGTAGACCAAGAGCCGCACTATACCCGCTTCCACTTCGGGGCGCGATGCCAGATCTAGAGAACTACCAAACCTGAACGGGACTCGGAAGATTGTTCGTCTCGCCAAATGAAATGTATTGAGGAATTAAGTAAAACGTCAAATACTTTGGCCGGTCGAGGGCTAGTCTACCAGACCAACTAACTCAGATATCCTCCTTACAACTCTCATCACTCTTCGCCTCTCCTGTCTAATCAAACTTCTCACATCGATTTCTCAAGTACTTTCCAAATATCCTTCTTTTAAAACAAAATGTATAGCCATCAGGCCTTCTGCACAATGGCCAACGTCCTCTTCGTCACCCTACTCGCAACTGCATCTCCAACCCCACCCAACCTCAATGAAACCAACATCCACGTCTCGCGCTGAACAGCAACCCCATATCCGGACGCCTGCATCACAAGCAACAACTGCGCCTACGGCTACAAATGCCTTACGGGACCTGCATTTGGGGCTGCAATGACAACACTGACTGCCTTGCCCCAACTTACTGTACTTACTGCCATCCTTGTGGCAAGTTCTCCACCAACTGCATGATCAACTGGCATAGACCTTGTGGCAGACATTTGGCTTTTTGTAAATGGAATGAGCAGTGTTGTTCGGGGATCTGTGGGAAGATCAAGGGTGCTCGGAGGTGTCTTCCTAGATATCGTGATGGGAGGGATACGAATGAAGTGGCCGAGGAAGTTGAAGGTGAAGAAGCTGGGCAATCTGGAGAATCTGGGGAGCCAGCGGTGTATGAGGAAGCTGTCGAGTAATTAACTGTTCATGAAGCTTCTATCGCATATGGGTAGTCAGATATGATTTATTTACTTATAAATGTTGCTACTTGCTGGTATGTACTGCTTGCATTCTAGGATACTGTCTTTCAATGCCACCAAAGTGCTAGATCAACTTTAGAAAAGATCTCCTCCGTGAAAGGAATCGATTTTGAATCCCGAAAACCGAAACAAAAGCCTTGGAATAGGACACAGGCCGCATAATATATACACGCTGAAAGTAACAAGACCCTTAAGTTACAAGAAGAAACCCGCAGACCAACTCCAGGCGGCGGAAACCGCCAGATGCAAGTATGAAGCTAAGATGCTAAAATGCTAAAATGCTAAAAACGAGCTCACTTGAGATAGTTTTTGCAGCGCACTTGCTCGATACTCTGCTTGCCGCCATCCTCAATGACCATTGCGGTGAGCTTGCCACCCTTGACGCATCCAGAGTCAAGGCCCTTTGTGTATTCACGGATATTGAGGCCTGCTTTGGCGTAGTGGCCGTAAATAACTGTCGTTGTTTGAGAACGGGGATCTTCGGATGATGACTGGAGACTCGAGGAGATCATTTGTTGGTGCTTGTCAAACATCTGTAGAGGATTAATATTGGATGCAAATAATAGAGTCTTGGTGTGGTGAGAATTTTACCTTATCCCACTTCACTCCACTGCCATCCGAGCTCGGCACATGCGTGGTCTTGTCAATACTCCGCATGGTCATCACAGTAGAGGGGTCTTGCTTCTCGAGGTCCACACCTGGGACCAGACCTCCATGAACCACGACCACCTGGCCCATTTTGGGCACTTGACCGACATTCAGAATGATTGGCCACGAGTTCAACCAATCAATCTGCCCCTTGTTGAAAGAACGAGCCAGAGAACGCTCAGCAAGCTCTTTCGCCGAGAAGAAATCAGCATCGTCCTTGCTCTCAATGACCGCCGTCTTGTTAGTCGTCTCGATATCCTCCCGCTGAAGAAGGATCCGGTCCTCGTGATTGCCACGGACACTCGAAGCCCCGATTTCTCGCGCCAAATCCACAACGCCGCCGCTGTCGGGACCCTTGTTGATAAGATCGCCAGTAAATATAAGATGGTCGCCGTCTTCGCGAGAGAACTTGACTTTCTCGAGAAGTTTCTCCACTGTAATTTCACCGTCAGCTAACATTCTCGACCAATCAACCAATTCCAGAAATACGTACGCTCTTTCTTGCATCCATGCACATCACCAATCATAATCAATCGCTTCTCACTCCTCGAGCCTTCCGCCACGGCCTCGGCACGGGGCACCAGCGCAGGATCCAAGGTCCCAATCTGAATCAGATCGGCAAAGGTCGGCACGGAGTTTGTCCCAAACCACCCGCCCGTATCCATCTTCAGAGGATCTAGCGATTGCGCCAGATTCTCACGGTCTTGAAGTGTCGGAGACAACACGAACGCCCAGCCAGCCCAGCCTAGTGTAAACAGCGTAAGGTAGACGAGGACATATCGGCGGAATCGCGGCGCGGAGACGACTGATATGGCTATGTCCATTAATCCCGGATTTTTGGTATCCGGGGAAGAGGAGAGGGAGCGGTAGGCGGGGTTGGAATGCGACTGCCAGCCGTTCCGAACGGAGTCGATTAGAGGGCGTGAGAGGCGTTCAAAGCGCCCGGGGGCTGCGCTTGCATGGTAGTAGTCTGGGTCATCGTATTCGAGGTCCGAGCCGTGGGGAGCCATGGTCGGATTCGGTTGAAGGAGTTGGTTAGGAGGAAGGGAGGCGAGACACTGAGTTAGTTCTTGGCGGATAGAGTGTTGGCGCGGCTGTGTTATCTTTCCCCCGGACCCGCTTCTTTTTATTTGGGATCGCCGCTGATCGACGCATTTACCAGGTCAATTGAACGAATACGAGATCTAGATGATAAAGCTGAGGCTTGAACGAGAATTGGCACATTTCTATGGATTCATGGTTTACCGGTACTTCTCATACTCCTCAACCTCCTTCCTGCGCAAACTAACCCGCTGGAGCACGATCTCATCGTATACTTCCTCCACTCTTTTGCCTTCACGAAGAACCTCGCGCTCGTGTCGAGTGGCTTCATCCTTGGTCATGCACACCAAGTCCTTCAGATCAATCGGCATATACTTCTGGCCATCCTTTTCATATGTCAGATCCATGCTGAAGCCCCGGGCTGGCGTTTCCCAGGGAATCAGAACAAGCCGGTTTGACAAGCCGGTGATAGCACTCTTGCCGCGCCACACCTCCTCCATCAAGAATTGGATATCGTCCTTGCTGATAGGGAGACGCAGGCCAGTGGAGTCCTGTCCCTCAGTCTGGCGAGCCATTTTTTCCATGAAGCCTTGCAGGAATGCGGAAGTAGCGTCGTACATCTTGTCGCGACCCTTTCCACCCATGTTATACTCAATGGGGTATCCAGACACACTGCAGATAACATGATTGGCCACGGTGTAGCCGAACACAGCGGGCATAGTTCCCAGCACAGGGAGAATGCGGACTCGGAAGTCGGGGAGGACGCCCAGTTCGCCGACCTGGCCCTTGGCGAACTCTTCCTCTGGGAGAGGAAGCAAGCTTGCTTTGCCCGGGCCAGGCTTTTCAGTGGAGAAGACTGCCGCAATGCCAGAGCTAACACCGAGCGCCTTCAACCGGCGACGTGTGCTGCGTGAGAGGGGATCGTCAGTGCTGAGAGAGATGTCACCCACGACAACACGAGTAGGGTCCGACTTGCAGCCAGCACCCATAGACGAGATTACTGGCAATGAGTTCTTGTGGCAGTAGTGCAAAAGATCTACCTTAGAGGTGATGTTGTCAATGCAGTCGAGTACGTAGTCCGGCCGACGGCCCTCGCCCTCGTGAGTCAGGGTCCAAGGTCCAAGCAGGTCATCCGCAGCCTCCTTGCCAAACAGCTCGTTCCGACAATCAAACATCACCCACGGCGCAATCTGCTCCAACCGTCTGCGAATACAGTGCACCTTTGGTGTTCCAACGTCTGCTAATGTGGCCAGCGCATGACGGTTGAGCGAGGAGAGTGTGACTTGGTCGAAATCAATCAGTCGGATCTTGGCTACACCAGACCGAGCCAGCGCGGCGGCTGCATGCGACCCGACACCACCACATCCGACGACCACGATGAAGGAGGATCGGAGCTTCGCGAGGCCTTCGTCTTTGAGAAACACGCGGTTGCGAGCAAGTTGTTCGAGGATCAGGTCTGTAGTTTAGCCATTCATTAGCTAGTTTCCCAATATGGAATTTGAGCTTCCCTACCGTCATCGTAATCTCCTTGTTGCGCACGGCGAGCCAGCATGGCACTACGCTCATCTTCCTTGCTCATGGGAATTGCAGTATCGGCGACACCAAATGTTGTGAGCTTCAACCCTTTGTTAGCCTTGCTTCCAGTCCTTTGCACTGAAAGGCACAGCAGACTCACCTTCTCCGCATGATGCTGCTCGTCAAGATCAGGGATCGAAGACTTCAGGTTATTAACAGCCTCCTTCCGTTGATAAGCCTGGTATCCAAAAATTGCACCCGCAACAGCAGCGCCGGACAAAACCGCAGTCGTCGCAAGCTGAGAGCTTTGCGCACCAGCCTGGCGCTGAAGCCAAGACGACATATTCCCGATAACACCTCGTTCGTCTGTCTTGGGATCGCGGCGTTCTATGTCTCGGTTTCTCGTATCTCGTGGATCTCGTGTAGTCAAGCGGGGAGTGCGGTCAGGTTCGGCGAATCTATCAAGATCGTCAGAATCGAATCCGTAATCGAGGTCGGCTTCGTTGGTAGCCTGCCACCACCTGGTACCAGGGGGTGCCATCTTCAAAAGACAGGAATCGCTTACCATCACCAGCTTGGGCGTCGGGCCTCTTATAAGCCAGGAATGCGCTTCTGCAAGCCCATGCGCTCATCAGTGGAACCACGGTGCTATCACGTGAGAGGCCGCGGCCAGACGCCAATTCCGACGACACGCCGTTCTTGATTCACCGCGCTTCGTGCAGCAGGTACGTTTTTGGTTGCAGATCGGGATTTTGTTGTCCAATTGCTAACAATCGTGCAGTTCTGAGAGAACTTCACGTTTTCCCAGTCTCGATGACGATATTCATCACTTCCATGAGCTTCTCACGACACACCCGGATCCCTGGGCTGGGCAACGGACTTCATCCCTTGACGGCCCTGTGCTTGTGCTTGTGGAAGGAGACGCTTGTACCTCTGTGGGTGACTGAGAAAATGAACAGAGATCTAAGAGACTTGGCGATTGATATGTTCTTCTCCTGCTTGTCGCGTGCCATTGTTTACGGGTCACTTCTCGACATTACAATCCGTCCGGTTCCAGTGTACATACTGCAGGTTCATGAAGAAAAATTTACTAATCTTTGTTATTCATTCTTACTCCACATCTCCCACTCAATCTCTACGAAAGCACATGCCTCTCGGCATATTTTCGTGCATGCAATCCAGTGTCTTGTCCCACATGGCATAGGGCTGCCCTGGGAGAGCATGTCCCCAATGCCTACCCAATGACGAAATTCACTGTCGCACCACTCCGAGGCTAGTATATTACTGCTCCGTCTGTACACCTACAAGGTAACGACGTCGAGCATGCCGGTGACGAGTGACACAAAGTAGTTTTCAATCCGAGGGCTTGAGCTATTCTACACAAGTCAACATGCAATATTCCCTTTAACTAATCCCGAAAATGACTAGTATTTGGTAAACTCGGAATTTCCGTGCTTGATGCCGCACACGAGCACATCAACTAACAAAATACATTCGACTAATCTTTCAGTGTTAACGTTTTCATCCCTGCCTAGGCATTTTGGCATTCAATCATCCCTCAATTATCAGTGATCCATGCGTTCAACGATGAAAACAAGCCAATGTTGCAGACATCGTCGCGAAGACCGCAAGGTCATACGAAGAAGTCGATGCAATCTTCCTTCGGGAGAGCTATACTGAGAACCCACGAACACCCCATTCCTTATTGCGTCCGTTTCACTACTTCAACTCCTAAAGCCAATAACAAACAAAAAGGAATAAAGGAGACTCAGATCATCCCCCCTTCCTACAAAAAAAAAAAGTTTCGCTCCGCTTTTACTCTTCTTCATCCCTAAGAAGATCATCAGGTCCTTGCAGCTACTCACCTCATCCACTTCTTTCCATTCTTTGAAATCCGTATTACCCCACACCTTCACATTCCTTCCTTCCACCCTGAAGGTTCCATTTAACGGCTCGCACTGGTGCGTGCGAGTCCCAGAGAGGCCTCACTGTTGCTTGTGATCTTTTCCTATATGTTTGTGCTTGTTAGCTTTTAGTCGTACTTAGGTCTCTTGTCTATCTAGTCCCTTGTATTTCAGTGCAATGTAGTGTTGACCAGCTCTCATTTCGTTTATAGCGTAGCGTAGTGCTGTGCAGTGAATTTTCTATTTCGAGGCGCGCAGTGTGGTAGTGCTGGCGCTGTATTCTGAGAAGATGATGATGAAGATGGCCTGTCTTGCGCCGGCGGCTGTGAGGAGCTGACTTGAATGAAGCTGCCTCGATGCTCTGCTCTTCGGCTAAGCTTGCTGCTCCTTGACTGGGCATGCTGCTGTACAAGAGAAATCTGGGTCCAAGACAAAGTCTCTACGATTGAAGCCTGTTCGAAAGTACTGGAGATAAAATATTCCATTCATCAGATGAAACGCCTGCTAATGCACTATCTTGTCCGCACGCTGCGAAATATACAAAGAAATCATCATTACAAGCATCTACTGCAAGAAGCGGCCCAACGCTCCACCGATGTTCTTCAGGTCGAGAAGGAAAGTATCGTGTCCGAACATTGAGACGTCCTCACCGAGCTCAATGTGTTCGACGGTCTTGTTACCGCCTGCGCGGAGGGTCTCGGCGATCTCGCGCTGTTGCCATGCTGGGAAGAGGATGTCACTCGCAACGCCCATGACGAGCACTTCGTGGTTCTTTAGGGATGCGAGGCCGGTGACGAGGTCTCCTGGGGGTCCGTCTGCTTTGTTGGATGATACAGACTGGTCGGTTGGCGGGATATTGGCTGTTGCCTCGGGCTGTTCCTCATATGGCTTGTCGGGGAGGGTCAGGCTGCAGGCGGGGTCGGCGACGCTGGGAGAAATACCGCCGCTTGCGATGCGGGCTTCGGCCTCGGCACGACGGCTACGAGCTCTGGACTGGTGGGCGTGGCCCAGGTCAAAGAGGTCCATGGCCTTGGAGACATACAATAGACTGTTGGGGTCGTATTCGAGGCAGAACTTCTCGCCGGCGTGGTCGAGGTATGTCTCGATGAGGAAGTCTGGGCACAGGGCCGGCTGCTTGCTGGGGTCGGCGCGCTGGCGACCGAAGCGCATTTCCCACTCGGGCCCACTACGGTAGGTGACTGTGGCGATCTCACGAGCCAGCTTCATACCGGAGTGCGGTGGGATGGAGTCGTAGTAGAATCCACGCGCCCAGTTGGGATCCATCATCAGGGCTTGCCGCTGGGTGTGTCGCATCGCGATACTGTACGGGTGGCTGCGAGCGCAGCCGCTGATGCTGACGATCTTGCCTACACGCTCGGGGAACAAGGTACCCGCAGCCAGACTTTGCATACCGCCCATACTGGAACCGACAGAAGCTGCCAATTTCTGGATGTTTAAGGCATCCAAAAGCCTGAATTGGGCGCGAACCATGTCGTCCAGGGTGAGAATTGGGAAACGAGTCGCATATGGCTTCCCGTCGGATGGGCCCTTCGATGAAGGCCCAGTGCTGCCGTAGCAGCCACCAAGCACATTAGTGCAGATGACGAAGTACTTATTTGTGTCGAGAGGCAACCCGGGGCCAATGAACTTCTCCCACCAGCCGGGCTTCGGGTTGGATGCAGTGCTATGGGCATGGCTCGATGCTGACAAACCAGTATGCAGAAGGATTGCATTGCTCTTGTCGCAATTTAATTGACCCCAAGTCTCGTAGGCAATATCGAACTTGGGCAGCACACCACCCCAATCAAGGAGGAGCGGGTCATCACAGTGGAATTTCTCGTGGTGGCCGGTTGTGTATGAAGGCTCGGGCCCCGATTGCAGCGATCGAGCCGAGAGCAATGCTGATTTGGCTTCTTGGGCGTCGAGGCAAGGAAACGACATAGCAGAGCTAATGGTATCCTTGGGACTCGTTTGCGCAGTCACCGACGAGGACTTTCGCGGCTGTCCGCTGTGCAGTAGTCTTGAGTGCGCCGATAACGGCCGAGTTGCGCCGGCGAGCATCGAATTCGGCACGCTGGGTCGCCATTGTGCAGCGCGGAAGTTGCGCGAGGCAGAGCGGGCGGCACTCTGGAGCGAACGCATTTCGACTTGGTTTGGGAAGGCGTGGGTTTGAGAAGCAGCTCCGGTGAAATAGCTATCGATGAGGGCCATATTATATTTCCTGATTGCGCAGGCGGAGAGTCTAATTTGATGCCTCAGGCGTTAATGGCAACATGGCGTCATCTGGCTTCGCGTTGATTGGTGAAGGTTCGCCGCGGGCCGGTAACAGTTCTATAGAAGGGTATCCACTGAAGCTTGTTCGCCGCGGAGTATTCCAAGGTTGGCTGCGATTAATAAACAGCTGGTCTTTGGAATTGATTTGTCACTAGCACTAGACATTCATCACACAATGCATTGACTCTGCTGACATGGGTAAAGTTCCTAAGGGTCGAAAAGTTTCAACTGCAACTGGATAGGAAAGGTTGTGAAAATATATACTAGTCGTGACGTTTGATGTTTCAGGTTCGGACATAATTTCACAATATCATACATGAACAGAATCTATTTCCAATGCCGATAATCAAATGCCTTGCTGTATTCGTGATCCATCATATGGGTATCACTCGTTCATAAAAAACCAAATGCTCAAAAACGCCGTGTAATGCAAATGCTAAATAAATAGGAAACAAAAGTTTTGAGAAATGACCTGGATACCACCTTGCTAGGAGCTTGTTGTGGAGTTGGTGATAGAGGTGACGGTGTGGGTGGTCGAGTTTCCAAGAACTTGAAGTTCGAGAGAAGCCATCACGATCGTGTTGTTGCCAGGTTGAATGTCGATAGCCGAGGCATACATACACCGCCAGCCTTCGCAGTTTGCATGGAAAACCATTCTCTTTCCATCGGTGGAAATAGTCGCGCCACCGGGTGCTTCCAATTGGAAGTCACCTGTTTGCAGGAGCGGTCGAGGGGCACGAGTGTATGGTCCCTTGAGCGAGGTTGCATGGGCGTATTTCACGTTATAGCCCAGAGACGTAAAGCAGTGAGATGAGAAGAATAGGTAGTATGTGCCGTTGTCGGTACGGATGATATCTGGGGCTTCGACCAGGGGACCGTCTGTCTTGTCAATGTCGAGAATAATTGTCGGTTTGCCGACCGGGGTGATGCCGTCACTTTTCAGCTCTTGGAGCATAATCGGGACAGAGTGTCGCGGTAATCTGGTGTTGCCGCAGTAGCCACCACTGCCGACGCTGTTTCCGTCACCTTTGTAGACGACGTACAGGGTGCCGTCCGAGTCTCGAAAGGGCGATGGATCAATGGCACCACCGTATTTGTGTGGGCAGGCAATTGATTTGTTGAGAGGCACATAGGGTCCGAGAGGATCTTCGCCCTCAGAAACAGCAGCTCCAATGCAGTGGTGAGTGCCAAAGTCCTTGGTCTCTCCGGCGTAGTACATGACGAACTTTCCATCATCCTGCATATTCTGTTAGTCGAGGATATCCCGTCACAAATACTAGAATAATTCACTCACCCGTTGAATTACATCCGGAGCCCAGTGATTGACTTTTCGTTCCCAGTCACCAATGGTCGGCATCGCATCCCACCCATCGTGCAGCGTCCAGTTCACGAAATTGGCCGATGTTGCGACGGGAATATGAATTGACATCGGGTCATTTCTGTGCGGGTTGGTTCCAAAGGCGTACCAGGTACCATTGTACTCCAGAAGACCAGGGTCCGGGAAGTCGTGGAGGGCCCAGAGGGGCTTGTTCTCTTCGATCTTGTAGCTGGGACTGTCATGCTTGGATCTGTAAGGCGTCCAAGAATCTCCGTCATTCTCATGGTGGACAAAAACGATTGGTAGTGTAATGCTCAGTGCAATCAGTACCAGTGCCAATATACCCAGGGTACCGAGTATTGTGAGGTCTCGTCGAGTCCACGGCCGTGAGAAGATGCTCTTTCTCTTTTGACCACTTTCCACATCAGCCAATGGCTTTAATTCAATCACGGTCTTGCCCTCTTCACTGCCAGATAAGTGACCACTTGAAAGTGACTGGACAGAGGGTGTTGGCTTTGCGTCGGCGTCCCTTGGACGCCCCGACAGAAGATCCACCATCTTGGCAGTGAGGGGAAATCTACTTCAGCGCGAGTGACTCCCTGGAATTTGCCAGCAAAGATATAGTCAGATCTGACGGGGACGTTGGCTTTAGATAGGTGTGTGGCTGTGGGTGTAAACGGGGGTCTTTAATGTGTCAAGAAGGGATAGTGCACGGGGCATCAACAAGGCTGTCCATCGCATCTGCACTGGCAGGATGATCGAGTCTTGGGCCGAATAAGAAAAGAGAAAAGAAACAAAGGCAGTCAGACCGTCCGAGCGAGCCGATTTCTCTTATACGGCTACACGGCTAGCCTGGCGTTAGCGGCAGGCCAAATGATGTGAAACGGGGATGGTCAGCCGAGGGGCGACCGATTGGCTCTGGCTTCAGGCAGCAATTTGATTTTACTGGGAACTTTGGATCGAGCATCTGCAGGCCCCCATTCGGACCCTGAAAGCCAAACCGAAGGCCTTTTCATCACTTGGTGGACTCCCCAATCACCTAAACATGGCGCCGGATGAGACCATGAAACTCAATTCCAAGGCACATCACTTATCTTCCTGGTTGGAAGAATTGAGCGGAACTGCTCCTGGCCCTTACAGACCCGCGGAGCCCGAACATTGATCCGTGGACCCTAGATACCCCCCCTCATCCTCGCTATGTGAGGCTGAGGGCCCCGTCTGGAGGAGTCAGAAATCGATTCTCCCGCAGGCCAAGCTTTTGTGAGTGGCCGAGGGGACTTGATGGACCAATGAAAGGCTATGCAAGGTCAGGGAGTTGCCCATCTTTTTCTAATTGGAGTCTAGCGTGGCCCCGTGTCTCCTGTTGATCCGCCTGACGGGGGCGCAGGCTCACTTTTCATCGGTGAAAATAGAGCCCATGCTTCTGCTTTGTTCCGGATCAAGCCCGAACATCGGTTTAGTCCGTAGAGTAGTAGCAGAGATGCATGGTCACCGGTTCGAAGGGAACCATGGTGTTGCTTCCAGGTCTCACTGCAGTGTGGGGTCATTGTTCCACAGGCGCCTGAGACCATTGGATTAGTCTATCGGCTCCCCAGGCCCAGGCAGCACTGATTTTTCTTCTCCGGCACCTAACCATGCCTGTAGTTCACATTCAAGAAACATTGGTCTAAACGGCACTTTTCCCCCACGGGTGCCAAGCTCCACTACATGAGACGAAAAAAAAAAAGAGAGAAAAAACACGAGCCACACACGGGAGGCCAGACACGCACGTGGGCTTGGGCTTGCCGTATCCCCTCGGTACTTACACGTTAGGCGATGCAACTTTGATATATCAATATCGATCGTCTATGTACAGTAAAACACTAGTGCACGAAAATCTCTGTTCCTCTCGATCTCCATCGGATGACCCGGTTTGCCGCTAAGAAAGTAGAAACTAGGGTCCTTCGGCTTCCAATTTTAGAAGCCTGGGGCATCGCTAACTCAACACCGCCCCGCTAGCTTAATGGTCGCCACGAAGTTTTCTCATGTCTTGTGCTTTGACCTCGAGATTCTTGAATACGTCCGGTCTACATACATAACTAGAGGCCGAGACCACCTTAACCTCGACTCCAGCTTCCCCGGAAGTCCTGCTGAACGCAAGGTCGATAATCTATCTGCTAATCTACGGACCAAGAAATTGTTTCAAGTGCACGGTATTCTTCGAATGCATGTATTACAAGTCCAGCCAAGCAAGCCAGGTCTGTTTGGCTCATTCAGTGGAACGGATGATGAGAATGATCATCAGGAAGATTTGTCACAGGAGAAATGTCGGTTGTCTGCTACCACTAAATATATGACGCCCAGACCTAGCCTCTGTTGTCATCGATGATTGAAGAACTACGTTCAAATCAAAAAGGCGTGCTAAGTTAATTGTACTCGGTATCACTGTCACGTTCTCCTGGGACTGTTCTTCCCGACAGAGCCTCTTACCATTAAGAAACTAATCGGCGATGCGAGCTCCTTGGTCAATTAAATCGTTAGGAACGCCGTCGCCAAGTAGTTTCGTGATTGTAAGAGGCTTGTGAGGACGAAGATATCAACTAGTCAGCGAAGACTTGAGAATGATAGCAGATGAGAAAGGCTAATAGCGGCTTCAGATGTCTTGCTTTCGCTCTGTACCTATATCTCTTATGTGGCCGGTGACCCTATCCAAGAGAATCCTGAACAAAGCAAAGAAAGACATCGGACGCGCTTATTGCCATTTTCCAAATTATTATCAAGCTTAAGCAGAGAGAGTCGGTCGCGGGTTCCTGTGATGAGGGTTGAGGTTGGAAAGAGAAGATACTTAATTGAATCCGTATATGCCTCCGATTGGTATATTTACCTGGTTGGGCAGTGTTAGCCTCGTGTATAGGGGCAATTGAAGGCGAAGACACCTATTCCTAGTGATAATCTAGAGGCAACAGAGCTGATGAGAGTGTCATGTGTTTGACGGGAGCGCGTGTTTAAGTGGGTCCACCACAACCACCAATCACAAGTCAAGCCCTAAGCGGCACATCATGTGACGCACAACCCTCTTGCAATATTCAACCACACCACGAAAGATTCCTCTCCCCGACCAACGACAACCCGTGCACTTTGAGCCCATTCACGACCACCCCAAGGAGGCTCCGACAAGATGACTGTTCGCAACCAAGGTGCGTTCTCTACGCCTACACTCTCGCCCGTCGCTATTTGACCGACTTTCGCCAATTCACCAATACTGACCGATGAATCCAGGTCTCGCCTCTTCGCGGAGCAAGTCCCGCAAGGCTCACTTCTCTGCCCCCTCCTCCGAGCGCCGCGTTCGCATGTCCGCTTCCCTCTCCAAGGAGCTCCGTGAGAAGTACAACGTACGTGTTACCGAATCGATTTCAATCTGGGTCTGGCCGAAAAGGGTTTTCGAGGTTTTTTTTCGAGAATTGGGAAAGCAGGCCGCACAGATAACCAGGCATGACATGGGAACGACAATATTAACAAACCTTTGTCCAACAGGTCCGCTCCATCCCCCTCCGCAAGGACGATGAGGTCACCATTGTCCGTGGCTCCAACAAGGGCCGTGAGGGCAAGATCACCACCGTCTACCGTCTGAAGTACGTCGTCCACGTCGAGCGTGTCGTTCGCGAGAAGACCAACGGCCAGTCCGTTCCCCTCGGCATCTCCCCCTCCAACTGCGTCATCACCAAGCTCCACCTCGACAAGGACCGTGAGCAGATCCTTGCGCGCATTGCCAAGGGTCGTGAGGCCGCCGCCAAGTCGGCTTAAGGGATATCTTACGTGTTGGGGTTTAGGTTCATGTTGCAATGGCGGTTTGACGGCGCGGGTTTATTAGAGGACTCCAAAAGAAATGGAGATCCCAACCTGCTATTATCAGGATCAACTTTTCGCGAGCCTGCATTGCGATGAATGAAAAATGAAAAATTTTCCTTTTTCTTCCACCCGGAATTGTTGCTTGCTGAACGACAACCGTCGTGAGGCTGGCGTTGTCGTTTTCCTTCCATTTTCCTGTGCGTATAGGGATTCCCGTCGAATGCTACAGTGCAACCTGAAAGACCTCTTTCTGGTCGATCGGCTGGTTCGGTCAGCTTTTTCTGCGCTCGCTCGACTTCGTAGCGATCTGTCCCATCTGCTTCGGTCGCCCATCCCCCTTCGATGGGCACCCAAGTATCGCCTGATTATCTCCCCACCAATCCTGCTCCTTCGGGACGGACTCTATGGTTCTTGGGGTAAACGAGTGGCGTAGAGAAGATGCAGACCTTCGGGGAAGCCTGATTGTTCTGTCTCGCTTGCAGACCTGCTTGGAGCCTTTGGCGAGGAAGCAGCGGGTTTGAAAGTGAGGTAAATTCATTGCTCCACATTGGAGTGTAGTTAGCACTGTAGATTCTCGTTGGATTTGCTAGAGCGTCTGGGGTATCCTTGTGCCCATATAGACTATCAATTGATATACTTTTTTCCTTCGCCATAAGTCACTCTCTTCACCACTACGTACCTATCCTTCATGTATCAGCTACCTTGATAATCACCAAGTTGCTCGCAACACCCACTTGTTAGAAAACCGGTGGATTGTAGCATGCACGTGTCCAGGACACTGAACGTACTCAATTGCTTTTAAAAGATCATACAGGTCAACGAAAGAGTTAAGCCTTTCTTTTGTCGTAATTGCTTGATTGTCTAGGTTTTCTCAAGTTCCTGACATCCGAGACGGCATATATCGCCAGAGATATATTTGCGCAGTCTACGGGTAAAAATTGACAGCCAACCTATTGGAAATACATTCAAATTGAAAGAAGATCTCTCCCATTCAACTCTAGTGCTCTAACTTATATATTCACTTGAGAATTATGGCAAGAGACTTCCACTCTATAGCACTCGAGGGGTGGACACCTGGTTAGCGTGTACTATATCCGCCTGAGTCTCCCTTTTCTGCCCTGGATCACCATCCGGCAGCCGAATGACGAGAATGAAAGAAAATCAAACAATGGATATCCACAACTCTCTTCCAAACCAGAACCTGTACTGGTAGGCAATTGTGCAAATCTCTGCCCTGTGCTCCAGTGCATGCGTCAGCGAAGCTTAACTACAAGGCTTGGCAAACCTTGGCGGAAATAGCAACAAGAGCTTGATTAGAAGCTTTTAATGTCTTGCCCGACATTGAAAGGCTAGTCCTTTTCTCAAAGCTACGGGATGTGGACAAAAAAGGTCCAGTCACACCAACTGGCCCGGGGGCGTGTGCTAACTTTTGCATAACTACTCGGTTAGCATGAACTAGCCCACAAGGGCTATCCAACATCCCCTTAGAGAAAGACCATGCGTTCAAGATGACAGGGTGGTCTAATATAAATGAGTCCTACGCCAGAAACGCAGGGGCTGGGGGGTTGTTTCGAGTTGTGGCCTCCGTTGAGGGGCGATCACATCCCTTGGACAGATCAAACCAAGCTACTCGGACTAGCAGCCGGCCGAAGAGTGACCTAGATCCGCAAGTTTGCAAGTCCATCCAGACACGAGCGCGAACTGCAATGGGATCATATTGCATAGGATACGGAGTACAGATTCACGGTTCTGGGCCGTGTAGGAGGGCGATCCTTGTCTATTACGGGTGCGAACTGCGACTGCGGATTGTGGGGGTAGACGGACAGAATAGGTATCGAGATGAAAGCATAGCTGAGAAGAGAACTTCAAATCTCCCAAGGGGAAGAGCCACGTGAGCGGGTCCACCGAAACGGCTGTAGATGCGCCTCTGCGCCTCCCGCCATCAGTGGGCATACGCAATCCTCGTTTCCACAATAAAACCTGTGCCCGACCCCCTTCAATCGCGGTCCGTGGGATCGTTTTCTTTGCTCACTAGTTATCCACGCCCAGCCGGACATTGAATCGGCCCGAGATTTAGACATCCGTGTCTCCTATCCTGTTTGCGGTACAACCGTGTACCTTCCGATCGGCAGGCGTCGCATCGTCGATTACGCATTTGGTAATGCTACAGGGCTGAAGACTTCCGATATGCCAATTCTCCGATTCCTTTGAGCTCGAATTCCAACGCACCCCCACGCAATTCTGTCCGGTTGCTACCTCCGACATCTCCTGACCCCCCGTGCTCCGCTGCGCCAACAACCCGCACGGCGTGGCTTCCCCCGTCTCACCGGTGCGCGTGGCCGTCGCAATCTCGACAAGGAGATTCGACCCGTGACACCGCCGCTATGCCGGGCTTCCGCAAGTTTATTCTCGCCGCCATCTGCTTTGTAACCTTCGTCTTCGTGATTCGCTCAAGTCGCCCCGAACATGTCCCCGGCTCGCCTGGATACAGACCTGTGAAAGAGATCTTTGATGAGGAGGCGGACTCGCTCAGAGCGCGACAATCTAGAACGAGAGGGCAGAAGTCGTTTGGCTCGTCGACTGCGCCGCTACGCGATCGTCTGAGGTATCAATTCCCTTACGATCTCGAGAGGAGCTTCCCCGCGTATATTTGGCAGACGTGGAAATATACCCCGGCGTCCACTTGGTTTGAGGAGAGACTGCGTGCATCAGAGGCAAGCTGGACGGAGATGCACCCGGGCTTCACGCACGAGGTCATTCCTGATGACACACAAAGACATCTGATCTGGTATCTGTACGGCTCGGTGCCGGATGTCTTCGAGGCTTACGATGCCTTGCCACTCCCAGTAATGAAGGCGGATTTCTTCCGCTACCTTGTTCTCCTTGCGCGCGGTGGAATTTACAGCGACATCGACACCTTTGCTTTGAAACCAGCTCACTACTGGCTCCCCGAAGAACTCGACCGATCGACTATTGGATTCGTCGTCGGAATCGAAGCCGATCCCGATCGTCCGGACTGGCATGAATGGTACTCGCGCCGTCTGCAGTTCTGTCAGTGGACAATTGTCTCGAAACCGGGACACCCGATCTTGCGTGACATGGTCGCATATGTTACTGAGGAAGCCCTTCGTATGAAGAGGCTTGGTATTTTGAAGAGTGGAAAGATGGACAAGACCATTATGGAGTTCACAGGGCCTGGAGCCTGGACTGACGCGGTCTTCCGTTACTTCAACAACCCAGAATACTTCGATATCAGATCTGGTGATAAGAACGTCACCTATGAAGATTTCAGTGGCCAAAAGGTCCACCGAAAGGTCGGTGATACGGTTATCCTACCTATCACCAGTTTCAGTCCTGGAGTTGGGCAAATGGGTGCTGGATCCACCGACGATGACATGGCCTTTGTGAAGCACAACTTCGGCGGTATGTTCTTCGTGTCTATTGACTGTTGATATAATACTAACTTGATACCAGGCACATGGAAAACAGACCCATCTCTATGAAACCACTCCACACCCGAGATACCCTAGCCTCTTTTCAGAACCTCTTCTTTCAGCAGTTCATACCCTTTTACCTCAACCTCTTCCCCCTACCCCTCTGCCTCCTCCCATCTTCCTCCCAAAAGGGCCCTTTTGTCCTCTAGCCCCAACCCTGTAAAACAGGAGTCAGGCTAGGACGGTTCCATGCTCGTACGCACCCCCCCCATGTCTAACGATCAGCCGTACATATGATTCCCACAATTGTCTTGTGCAATACTGTATTTTGCTTTTCCAGTTTTAGACGCCGCCGAGGCTGGCCCTGAGATAGAAACAAATATTCTTCTAGCATTCTAACGTCTAAATCTATCTCTCTAAATGAACGCCATTACTAGACCCGAGAACCTAGAATCTACAAAAAGAAAAAACCACATGATGTACTCATTAACGTGGATTATCTAGCTAACACCGAAAATGAAATCACCAAAAGATCATGAACTCGTATTCATGCCACGGTGTGGCTAAGTTGAAGTGCATTACTGTTTTAAATCACAGTCGTGGAATGGAAGATCAGATGGAGGGATATCATCTGGAATATTCGCAAGCAGGTGGACGCGAGGATGCCGTTGCTCTCGTTCAAAAAAAGCAAGTAGGCTGAGATATGTTTATCTCGAAGAAATGTCCATAGGGACAAAAGGGTCATTTGGAGAGCACTCCATGTGGCGAGTGTGGAGATTGAGGAGAGGTGCGAGGCTCAAGGCCAAGAGTGGGAAGGTAAATTCTCGTGAAGCCACACGTGAGGTCAGGGCCCTGTAGGTCCCTAGTGATTTCATATTGGGATGAAAGACAATGCAAGCAGAATATGACAGGCGAATGGACGAGGAAAGAGGCGTTGAGCAATCAAGAAAGCCATAATCCCCGGCTGAACCCGTGTCAAAGGTGAGGTTGTTGAAACAAACCAAGCGCAAGAACTTGAACATCAAGCTCAGAAATCACTGAAAAGAGGCTCATATTTCTTCTTCTGGTCCTCGGTGTAGATGTTTTGGTTCCTAGTGTCGGTTTCCGGATATTCCTCGAAATTGCCCGCGTCGGCGGGATGTGATACTCGGGGAAGAATCGGACCTTTGACCCGATGATAGAAGAGATCATCCCACACCACATTTGCAAAGAATGGATGGGCTTTGACACGGCCTGAGCCGCCAGAAATGTATCCCAGTCGTTCTGAAGGATTTGTCTTGCAAAGAAGCGAGACAATGTTCTGCGCTGCTGGGGGCATGTTAGGAGGGAAGCGAAGTCGACCTTCGACAATTTGCTCATAAATGCGCATGGGGTTCTGGTCCCAGAATGGAGGTTGTCCCACCAAAAACTCATAGATCAGAATACCAAGAGCCCACCAGTCCACTGCTAATCCGTGCCCGCTGTTATGGATGACTTCCGGAGCCAGGTACTCCGGTGTGCCGCAGAGGGTGTAGGTTTCGCGGTTACCGACTTGCTTTGCGAATCCAAAGTCCACGAGTTTGATATGGCCGTCGGCATCGAGGAGGATATTTTCGGGCTTGAGGTCGCGGTACGCAACTCCGTGGATATCATGCAGGAATTCGATTGTCATTGTAATTTCGGCGGCGTAAAATCTTGAGGTATCTTCGTTGAAGCGTCGTGCTCGTCGGAGATAGGTGAAGATCTCTCCTCCAGGGCAGAAATCCAACTGCGAGAGGTCAGTGCCTTGTAGGAGATAGGACAAAAGGAGAAGAAAGGTTACCAGCATGTATAAGCTGTGTTCGTCCGAGAATGACGCAATTAGATTTGTGATGAACGGGTGTCCGTTGACTGCTGCAAGTGTCTTGCGTTCATTGCGCACATGTTCCACCTGCTTCAATTTGATCACTGTCCAGCAGGTCAGCGGCTGCATGCAGTTGGAGGGCCAGGCAGTGCTTACCGTCGGCCTTTCGCAGGACCTTCAGCGCGTAGACTTTGTTCTTGTCCTCCTGGTTCTTCAACCTGGTGAGCCATACTCTAGCAAAGGTGCCTGAAAAAGCCAAAGAAATAATCAGTTCACAGAACCATTGCGAGAAGAGCGTGCTTAGTCGCAAGGTGTTTCTGACCGGTGCCCAGTGTTTTCAGAAGCTTAAAGTCATTCAGTTCAAGAGTTCTTGAGGATATGCACAACTGGTTCTCATCTGCGCGATCGGTAACGAGAAATGGGTTCGCGAATTTCTGCGGAACGGATCGGAAGGACTGGACCAGATGCCTCTCCTTCTCGTGGATGCCATGTCGTATGCTATTGGTTTTGAACGGAAGAGAGCTAGGGACAGAGCCACTCTGCACCTCAGATGAGGAATCCTCGACAGATCCGGTCGCCATTGGGCCGGTAGAGCATGTCTTGCGGCAGAGGGAAAAAAAAAAGTATAGGAGCCCACCCGGTTAGCGCACCACCAACCACGTAACTCAACTGTGAGTCCGGAGAGGGATCCTTTAGATCAAAGCAGGAAACACATCGTAAAGAAAGCAATCCGGGGAGGTTAGGGGAAGCGCGGGGCAATTTGGTAAAGGGGAGATCGCAGCTCTGACGTATAGCATGGGGGGCGGGGCTGAACGGATAGGGAACTACGGTGATAAATCGGAAGTCGGAAGCCTGGTCAGCTTATTGCTTATTCGACCCTTCTATATGCCAAGTTATAATACACCCCAACATTCAAGACTAAAGTAGAACTAGCCCAGATCTCGATACCTCGATCTCCGATCCCGGCAGGTTTCAGGTTTCAGGTTTCAGGTTTCAGGTTTCGGGGTTCGGGCGCATTCTGTCGCGCATGGCGACCAGATGCAGCTGCATCGCGTGGGAAATGACGTGTCAATATGCGCCGGAAAAATCCAGTGCGTACAAATAGTTGAAAGGGATTGCGCGCTCAAGACTTCGAGTTCAAGATCAAGCCGACGATCAAACTGGTGGCGTTAGTAGAGAACGTTAAAGACCTGGGTCCAAGGGGTTGCCATCACTTACCCGTACAAACCAAGAACTTCGCCGAAAATCAGAATCAGAATCATGCCCACATAGACCCGAGATTGTTGCATGTACGCCCGGACGCCCTGGGAAAGCTGTTAGCTCCTTTATCATCTTGAGGCAGTGCCGAGAAAGAATCCATACCGCGTCACCGACAATGCCAATAGTGTAGCCGGCGGCCACACCGGAGAGACCGACGGACAGACCAGCTGCGAGATGCATGAACGAACTGTATCCGAAACATCAGTCATTGCCAACCCTTTCAACCCAAACACAATCATTGTCCCAACATACGTGTATAAACTCATTGTCGATGCCGGGTTCAGAGCTCCTGCGATCAGGACTGCAATGACGAGTCCGTAGACGGCGATAATACCGGACATGACGACGGGAATCAGGGACTGTGGAATCGATTCGGTTAGCCCGTGTTGGTATCGAAAAAGGCACCACCAGTATTCTTGCCTTCATGATCAGATCAGGTCGGAAAGTTCCGACACCCGCAATGCCAATGCCTGCCTTGGCTGTGCCGTATGCGGCTCCAGCACCTGTGAAGTTGTAAGCTCCCGTCTGAGATTCAAGATGCGGATTCCAGCGTGTCGAGCCACGTACACCCGAAGACCATCTTCAGAGCATTTGTTAGCATGGGCAATCACTCTGATTAGTCGGATGTCATCGGTTCACTCACTGCAGCGGCAATGCCGGCCTAGATAGAGAAGCTTGTTAGTTGTGCCATTGGGTAGCTTTGGGAGCTCACGAGGCCACTCACGAAGGAAAAGAACGGGGCAAACTTGGGCGCCAACTCGCTATCTGCCATGATGCCGCGAGAGAGATGGGTAGGATCCAAAAGAAAGATAACAGCTCGTCGAAGCGAGACTAAAGAGGGTGGGAGGAAGAAGATCGAGATGACCGCCTTTCTCCTTGTCGCTGAGGGTCACTTAGCCCGCCGTAGCCATGACATTACGTGACCGCCCGCTTTGGCGGCAACTGCCAGCGCCGTCACCCGGTCCTGTCACGCCGATACTGCTTTACCCCGTCACCCTTCTTCTCCTGTGTCTATCACTTTTCAACATTCACTCCTCCCACCCCTCACCTACCCTTAACCTCCCACCTTCTCTCCCGACTTTTTGCCCTGGAGGAATGTTGAGGGTATGACCTCGCAAGGAGCCCGGACTTTCTTGCGCTCTCGGGTCCTGGCGCTCTTCGGTTACGACTTTTGATCACCTATAACCCCCCCCAAAGACTACCGAGCCGGGGCAAGCTATGGCATATTGAAGAACCACTTTTGCACAAAGCCGATTCTTATCTGATCCCCAAGGACAATTGTTTCTTGCTGAGATTGCTACTATCATTATTCTCTTTTTCTCTTGTTCCACGATCTTGAACAGACCCTCTTGCGACGCCCTGAACGCTCTCCACGATCGAATCTCGGATACCCACCTCCTTTCCGCCTCTTCTCCCTTTGTGGCATAGCGATCGATCTCCTATCCGTTAACCTCGTGACGTCTCGTCGATCGTCGACCGGTTAAATATGGCAGACTTGGGTGGCCAACGTAACCGGAATTACCGGCCCTATGGGGCACCTGCCTCCTCTACACAGCGAGAGGCTGCGTATTCCGATATCTTTGGCGCTGCGCCTCCGCCAGGCCGATCACAAACCATGAACTCACAGACCCCTCAGTTTAACCAGGGTCGTGCCCACACCATGTCGTCGCAAGTGCCCCCTCCCCAGTTCCAGAGGGCACCGCCGCCACCAACCCGCCAGGTGCCAAATGGATACGGACCATCGGCACCCTCCACCCCAACAAACGGATATCCACCGCCCTCTTCCGGAGGAGGATATCAGGCGTATAACCCCGGTGCCGCAACAATGTCCTCTCATCCGCCGCCACGACCGTACCCACCGCCAGCGGGTCGCTATGCTGCGTCTGCGTACCCTCGACCCCAACGCCTGGATTCTAGACCGGGGCCGGCCCCTCAATACCCAGACCCCCGAGAATTGGGCCGGCCAATGCCTCCTCCTGCCTTGAACTCCGATGCGACGAGATCTCGATCGCTGGCGAAGTTGAGTGGGCCGTCCTATCCCGCCACCCCGCCTATCCCGCCGAGCAACTTCAATCACACCTCTGCCGCTGCCTCTCGTCGTGAGCAGTATCACCATCCCAGCTCTCAAATGACTCAGCTTGGACGCACTGTTCCAGAACGGCATACCAATGAACGATCCATGTCCATGACCACTTACGCGACTGATCACAATCAGGCTCACATTATGAACAGTGGGAGATCCATTCCGGCGCGGAGACCTCCCTCGGGCGGCCATGAGCAGCCCCCACCGACCAGATTTGATTCCATGCCAGCGATGCCGGCAAACTTGACCGATGGCTTTGTCACAAACCGTCCACCAAGCGATGCTTCGCAGCGGTCCCGTACAATGTCCATGGCTTCGACCATTATCCCGGATCGCACCATGAGCGTCCAGAGTCAAACAACAGTGGGCTCGAACGGGCAGTCCACGCTTGTTTCCAACAATTCGCGCCGGACTACTTCCAAGGTTCCTGTGGTCTACCCTGCCCTTCTCGCTCTGGTCGCCGATGTGTTCCGCGAGAAAATAACACTCGGCGAACGTCAAAAGAACGGTCTGTCCTATCAGAACGCCTTCTCCGGAACCGATGCAGTCGATTTGATCTGCACGATTATCAGAACAAACGACCGCAACCTCGCGCTTTTACTGGGTCGTGCTCTCGATGCCCAGAAGTTCTTCCACGATGTCACTTACGACCACCGTCTTCGAGATGCTCCTGGCGAAGTTTATCAATTTAAGGAGACTATGGGAGAGGATACTATGACCTCGGAAGTCAATGGCGTGTTCACACTTCTTACCGAATGTTACTCCCCCACATGCACTCGGGATAGCCTTTGTTATTCGATCGCCTGTCCCCGACGACTAGAACAACAGGCACGATTGAACTTGAAACCTCAGCCGGTGTTGAGGACTTCGGCCTCGAAGGGTAGCCTGCATATGGATGATGATGAGGACAATGACAACCAGAAATTGTGGATCAACATGGTTCCAAAGGAAGTCTCGGATAGCATTGAGGACCGGGAGAAGAAACGACAGGAGGTCATCTTTGAGATTATGTACACTGAGCGTGATTTCGTCAAGGATTTGGAATACTTGCGCGATTTCTGGATGCGACCATTGCGCGCGGCGGGCACCACAAACCACTCTCCCATCCCGGAGCACCGACGGGAGAAATTCATTCGGACTGTGTTTGGAAATTGTTTGGAGGTGCTGAAGGTGAACAGTGGCCTTTGTGAGGCACTCAACGCCCGGCAAAAGGAAAGTCCCATTGTTAAGAGCGTCGGTGATCTCTTCCTTCAGCATGTTCCTCGCTTCGATCCTTTCATCAAGTATGGTGCCAACCAGCTTTACGGAAAGTACGAGTTTGAGAAAGAGAAGGCTTCAAACCCGGGCTTTGCCAAGTTTGTTGAGGACACTGAGCGTCTCAAGGAGTCCAGAAAGTTGGAGCTGAACGGTTACCTAACCAAGCCCACAACCCGTCTTGCGCGATACCCGCTTCTCCTCGAGTCCGTTTTGAAGCACACCGCTGAGGACAGTCCCGACATGGAAGATATTCCCAAGGCCGTCAAGCTCATCAAAAGCTTCCTCTCCCGTGTCAATACCGAGAGTGGAAAGGCTGAGAACCATTTCAACCTGGTACAGCTGAATGCCGCCCTGAAGTTCGGTCCTGGGGACTATGTGGACCTGAAGCTTACCGAAGAGAACCGTCAAATGCTAACCAAGATGGCCTTTAAGAAGACCACCGCGGAAAGCTCCGAGGTGACTGCATATCTCTTTGATCACTCAGTGCTTTTGGTTCGCATCAAGGTGGTCAACAAGCGCGAGGAATATCGGGTTTACAAAAAGCCCATTCCTCTAGAGCTCTTGGTGATTGCCCAAATGGACGAGGTAATCCCACGTATGGGAATTTCCAAGAGACCGTCTTCCAGCCTCTTGTCCAACAAGACTACCATCAACCCTCCTCCCGCCAAAGACGGACAGCTGCCCATTACATTCCGACATCTTGGAAAGGGTGGTTACGAACAGACCCTCTATGCCACATCCCCGACTCAGCGACGCAAGTTCATCGAGATGGTGGAGGAGCAGCAAAGAAAGCTTTGGGAACGCAACAGCAATTTCTACAACAAGACGGTCCTGAGTGAGAGGTTCTTCTCGGCAATCAACCGTGTGAACTGCTGTGTTCCAGTTGGTATGTAGCTTTCAACATTGATTTCAAACGGAATCCCCTGGCTAATATTTTCATAGATGGCGGACGCAAGTTGGTCTTTGGTACGGATAGCGGTATCTATATCTCCGAGCGATGGCCGAAGGACAAATCAGCCAAGCCGAGAAGGGTCCTAGAGGCTACTCAAGTCACGCAGATTGACACTCTAGAAGAGTACCAACTGCTTCTGGTTTTGGCAAACAAGACCCTGTCCTCGTACCCCATGGAAGCGCTTGAACTCACCGAGGGGGCCAACGCCATGGCCAAACGCCCAAAGAAAATCCAGGGTCATGCAAACTTCTTCAAGGCAGGCATCGGTCTTGGCCGACATCTCGTGTGTTCGGTGAAGACGTCAGCCTTGTCAAGTACGATCAAAGTTTATGAGCCGATGGACAATTTGGCCAAGGGCAAGAAGAAGTCCGCTGTCAGTAAGATGTTCCAGAGTGGTCAGGACACCCTCAGGCCGTTCAAGGAATATTACATCCCTGCCGAATCTTCCTCGATCCACTTCCTGCGGTCCACACTGTGTGTTGGCTGTGCACGTGGTTTCGAGGTCGTTAGTTTGGAGACAACTGAGACACAATCTCTTTTGGACCAGGCCGATACATCTCTTGACTTCGTTGCCCGCAAGGAGAATGTCAAGCCCATTCACATCGAGCGCATGAATGGCGAGTTCCTTCTCAACTACAGCGACTTCTCATTCTTTGTCAATCGCAACGGATGGCGTGCTCGTCCCGACTGGAGGATTTCATGGGAGGGCAACCCAACCGCATTTGCGTTGTCTTACCCATACATCCTGGCATTCGAGCCCAACTTTATCGAGATCCGGCACGTTGAGACCAGTGAATTGATTCACATCATGACGGGAAAGAACATTCGAATGCTCCACTCTTCTACTCGAGAGATCATCTACGCATATGAAGATGAAGCGGGTGAGGATGTGGTTGCCAGCTTGGACTTCTGGAAGTCAGTATAACGCCCTCCTTGTACATGCCAGCCAATGTCCAAGCCAACCAACCCATCTCCACACTCTGTCCTCGGTTCAGTGTGACTGTCCCTCGAGCGGAACCGAGTCCAGTCCTCGATGACAGGCCATCTGCAAGCAGCTCAGTGGGAAGAAGACCAGAGAAAAAAGGAGTCAATACAATACCTATTTGATGTCCGCAATGCCTTAATACCACCCTCCACCCTCTCACTTCCACCTCCTCCTTCTACCTCTAGTGCTGAGCATCTCACTTCGCCCATCAGTATCCTATGATGGCTTCTAGGAATCCGACTCGGGTAAAAAACCCCATCTCACCTCTCACCATATTTCGAACTCAAAAGACCTTGGCTTCCTGTTCTGTCTCGTTCCTGTGTACAATGAAGCGCAAATACCACTTCTTGCGTGTCTGCTCGTTTCTTCTGTGCCTCTGTCTTTTGAGTTGCATCTTCTTAACAGTTTTTAAAATCTTTTTTTCATTATTTTTCTCCCCCCCCCCACCACACTTTATCTTCATCTTCTTGTGCTTTTGTTTCCTCCGCATGGCCTGCGAAGTGATGACCATGTTTTTTATTCTGTCTTATTTTTTCAAAGGAAGCTATTTCTGTACTGTTGACTTCGATGTACCTTCCTCTGTTTTCAATGTCATTGATGCCATTGATATGGATTTGCTTTCATGGATGAATGCACGCTTTGTAAGTCGTAGTTCCGGAGTAGATGGTCCGTGTATGTCAAGTCTTGGAGTATGGGACTTGAGGAATCGGTCAGGCATCTTGCACAATAGTCTATGATGGACATGAGACCGAATGCTCTGTCGTTAGGCACCTAGGTATAAAACCAAGTGTTTATTTATGAACATTCAATCGGTACCCAACCTTAAATTGTTATGCTCCCGAGGTCAATACAAGTACCACCAGCGGACCTCGGTATACCTAATTCCGGCTACGTGATCTATCCAAGAAGCACTGCAGACGAGATACTTTTTCTTCCTCATTTACTAAACGGGCTAGGAAGACAGCAAGGATAGAGACAAGGGAGACTCACAAACGCAAAACACAAAAGAGACGAGGGAATCTTGCTGCGCTGCGGACTTTGGACAAGGTGCCAGGGACGATCAAAAAAAACAGAAAATCCCCGGGGATGGGGTAGGGAGTGGACAGGGGAATAAGAAACAGGAATATGCAGGAATAGAAACTCCCCGAGGGTGATTAGGAGAAGAAAACCAAAGAAGAGGTGACGTCGGCGCAGCGGAGATGGGGGAGGAGGACAGCGACAGCGGCAAGATATCCCAAGTTTGACGGTGCTCTTCGGTCTTGCATAGTTGCAATCTAATGACCCATTGGGGGACCTTGTCCATCTCCGCAGAGACATCGAGAGAAAATCAAGGAAGAAAAAAAAAAGCTATTAACGTGAATAAACAGTCAATATTATCCCCATAAACAAAACCAAGCTTTGTGCCAGAAGGCCATGATGTTGGCACAAACGGTATCACATTGCGAACCGGCGCCCCGCTGAATGAGCCGCATCGACAGGGTATATCTAGGCCTCTACATTGGCTTCGCTGACATTGCTCTGGCTTGCCTCGCGGGCCATGCGAGCCTCGATCTCTCTGAGCTGGCTTTCGCGAGCCAGCAGCTCCTGTCGCTTCTCGGCAATCTCGCGCTGCACCTTGATTTCGATCTCGCGCAGCTTCTCCTCCTCGCGGCGGAGCTGCTCCTCCTTGAGGCGGACGGATTGAGAGGCAAGATCCTCGGGGTTCATGCTGGAATCTCCGCCACTTCTTGTGGGTTAGCAGAGTCATCAAATAGGTGACAGAAAGGAAAACGTACGAAGCGGCACCGTCGACGCTCTTGCTGAGCTTCTCAGTACGGTAGTTCTCGTAAAGGAAGTCGTGGGTAATTTCCTTCAGATCAGCCAAGTGGCTGTGGAGCAAGGCGCTGCGGATGGCCAGGAAATCGGAGTGTCGGGGGTTCTCAACCTCGACCACACCCCACGGGTACTGTCGGGCGCGCACTTTTCGGTTCTCGATCTCGACAAAGTCCTCTGAGCCAACAATGGCAAAGGGCATCAATCCACGGAGCTCGGCGTTCTCCTCAACAGTGTCCTCATCATCCTCCTCGATATCGTAGGGGAAGTTGTAGACGGGAATGCGGTAGTGCTCAATATCCTCCATGATCAACTTCTTGGACTCGGCCAATTCTGCGGGGGTGAGGGAGTCGGCCTTGCCGATGACGGGAATGACGTTAACACGAGGAGACAGGCGCTTCATCAATTCAATGTCGAGCTCGCGAAGGCCGTGGCCGGTGGGTGTGATGAAGTAAAGCAGCACGTGAACCCGGTTATCCCTGAAACGGGGGTTACGCTTGATTCGGGACTCCTCTGCAAGAATGTCATCGTATTGGCGCTCGAGGTAGCCAACAATCTCGCCGAAGCTATTTCAGGGGGAGGTTAGTGGGGGGAGGCGCTATCGGGGGGTGGGTGAGAGGGGGACATGCCTGGCCTCGTTGTCAATCTGGTCACCGAAACCGGGGGTATCGACGATGGTCAGGGAGATGCGAGTGCCTTCCTCATCCAATTCGAGCTCTGTGGAGGATCGGTGGGTCAGCATTTACGAACGGTTGTATTGGAGGCTCGCAACTCACCAACGGTGACGGGCTTGATGCGGACGCCCTCCTCGATGTGAGCATTGGCAGCATCATCGGCATCCTTGCCCTCCAAAACCTGCTTGCCGCAGAGAGTGTTGACGAAGGTTGTGCGACCTGAGTGAAGCAGAGGTCAGTGGACAATGGAACAGGACACGGAGAGCAATCGAGTATCGTACCAGTACCGCTGGCACCGCAGACCATCAAACAGAACTGAATTCCCTTCTTGACATTCTTCTTGCGTCGAATCTTAATCTACCCACAATGGGGTTTTGGAGTTAGCTCAGGTGTCATTTTTTTAAAGTATGGGGCAGGAGGAGGTAAAAGGGGAAACATACCGCGTTGAGAGCCGACGACATGGTGGGCGGAAGATATGGAGAACGAGAGCAAGAAAAGAACGCGGAAGCAAGAGGTAAATAGAAGAGGAGAGACGGAGACTCTCCTGAAAGAACTTAGAGAGGTTGGAGGGATTGAGATGTTCGAACTGGTAGGGGGGTCGAGGGAAAGTCCGTGTTTCCCCCTTTCCTTTGGCCGCCAATCACGGGACACGCTGTGTGCCAGCTCTCCCCAGAATGAATGTATCACCCAATTTGGTATAAATGGAGGCTGTCACATCGGGACGAATGGTCCATGCATATATTTTTACACAAATTGACCGCATCTAGAGCTATTTATGACTATTATTGTCCCCATTACGAGCCGCGTATCAACACAAGCTATACTCAGGGGTTGCTCGGTGGGTCGCTGCTGGCCACCGGAGAGATTAGTCATCTAACGCCTGAGGCAGCCGTGGATCCGTGAGCTTCGCCCGCATTTCTTTCTTATCGCCGATCTGCCATGTGCGGAGTGCTTTCCACTCCCACTTCAACTTCCCTTCCGGTTTCCCGGCTCTCCGTCATGCTCGACAATGAATACCCGCCAGGTTATCGACGAGTCTCTCGGCCCCTATTCACTATCGGCCACGTTCAACAATGATAGCAGTTGCTTTTCGGTGGGCCTGAACACGGGTTTCTGCGGTATGATACGCGTAGCTTGATCGAGCTACGAAAGAGCTTGATCGAGAACGCGGAGGCTAACCCGGAACCATAGTGTTTAATTCAAACCCATGTGAGCTCAAGGTCTCCCGAGGTGAGCTTCTTGTCCTCTAAAAATACGCTGTCGTGCAATATGGCTAACCTTACCTTTGCGACAGACTTCAACGCGGGCATCGGCCTCGTCGAAATGCTCGGTCAGTCCAACTATCTGGCTATAGTTGGCGGAGGACGAAATCCCAAGTTCCCCCAGAACAAAGTGTGTATCTGCTACATAACCCCCGTCCGTCGAAACGCCTACTCATAAATATACTACAGCTCGTCATCTGGGACGATGCAAAGCAAAAATCCGCCATTACCCTCGAGTTCCGCACCTCCGTTCTTGGTGTACGTCTCTCCAAATTCCGAATCGTCGTCGCTCTCCTAAACAGCATACATGTGTTCGCTTTCTCGACCCCTCCAAAGAAGCTATCGGTCTTCGAGACCTCGGATAACCCACTGGGCTTGGCTTGTTTGGGGCAGAAGCTCCTTGCATTTCCTGGTCGTTCCCCTGGACAGGTGCAGGTAATTGAGCTGGAGACGGGAAATATAAGTATTATACCTGCTCATAGCTCACCGTTACGAGCCATGGTCCTGAGCCCGGACGGGGAGGTGCTAGCAACAGCCAGTGAAGCAGTAAGATTCCTGGTCTTTGCTATCTGGTTACGTTTACTAATGTTGACTAATGTCCGACCAGGGTACCCTGATTAGAGTATTTGCTTCGGCAAACTGTACGAAACTAGCGGAACTGCGTCGAGGCGTAGACCATGCGGTGATATTCTCTCTCTCGTTTTCTCCATCAAACTCCCTGCTAGCAGTAACATCCGACAAGTCCACCCTACATATCTTCGATATCCCCCATCCCAAAAAAATGATTCGCCGCAGCCGCAGCCAGTCTCCAGCCTCAGCCACAGAGGAAGGGACTAACCAGAAATGGGGTATCCTGGGCAAACTCCCTCTTCTTCCGCGAGTGTTCTCGGATGTGTACTCGGTTGCCAACGCGCATTTTGAGATTGGCGAAGAACTGAACTCTGGATCAACGCAGCCTAATGGAACTCTTGGTCGGCCGCTCAAAGGCGTTATCGGCTGGGTCGACGAGCAGACACTCCTGGTGATTGGATCCGGTAGGGATGGACGATGGGAGAAATTCATTCTTCGAGACGGTGATGATGGAAAGCGGCATTGCATGCGGGATGGTTGGAAACGATATCTCGGGGGCTGAATGAGATATGCAATGTCTTGAGAAATTTGAGGGATTGTTGCAGATGATCGAGCATCACATATGCCAGCACATTAAGGGCAGCCAGCACATTAAGGGCGGCCAAGTCCAAGTCAAAACTGCCCCGCTGAGTCCATTTTGACCTGGCCAGGCGAGGCGATACCTGAGCCAAATCCAGCTGAGAAACTTTGGAGCCCTGTAGATCATGTCGATAGCTAGCAATCTTATTGGAGATCTTTCAGCGGCGACGATCATGTCTGTCTCGTTCACTGCGTTCACTGCGATGCCTCCGAGATTCAGGCGAGCGAGACCTATCTCCCGAACGATCTCTTTTAGACCTGTCTGTGTCCCGATCTCTCCTAGACGACCTTTCCTCCCTCTCTGTCGAGCGGCGCCGAGGTTTCCTCTCGCGGTCCGGTGAGCGATCGTCCCGATGTCTGCGTTCGCGCGATCGAGATCGTTGCCGACGATGATGTCGACTAGACCGCTCTCTGCTATCGCGTCGCCGGGAAGACTTTTTCTCGCTGCTTTTGTACTTCGCAATCGCGAGCGCCACCTCTTCTTTCTTTTCCTCGATGAGGAACTCCTTCATAGGATCTTCCTCGTCGTGATTGACGATCAGGTCCTGGAGTTCCTTCTCCTCCTTCAACATAGGCCGGGGCTCCTCCCTGCCAGGGCTGTCTCTTCTGCGCCTGCGGTCGCCGTTGTCACCTCGTTTGCCTTCTTCGATAGCGGTATCGCCCATCAGCTTTGCGACGTTGTTATCCTCTTCCTCGTCGTCACGCCGCTTGTAACGTGTATGGTCGACTCGTAGTAGACGACCCATGACAGTTGCGCCTCCGAGGTTGTCGACTGCAAGGTCTGTGCTGCGCTGGTCCTCGTATTTGAGGAACGCGAAGCCACGGCTCTTGCCAGTTTCCTTGTCGCGGATCAGGTTCACGTGCACTGGCTCTCCATATTGAGAGAAGATTGTCGCAATATCACCCTCAGACAGCTCGAATGGAAGTCCGCCGATATAGACGTATGCTGTGTCGCGGTAGTCCGCATGCCATGATGCCTCTGGAGGTCTGGACGGCGTGTCAGTACTAGAAATTTGAGAGGGAAGTTGAAGGGTAGATGACAACTTACATAGCATTTTCAAGCTCGCGCTTGTTAAGCTGTTGGACCTGGCGAATGCCGTTCATGGTGGTGTGGTGAAGAAAGCGAAGCTCGACGGCCGCGCTTGGTCAAAAAGGGTCCCACCCGGAGCATCTGCGGAACCGTAAAATCGTCTGTTTACTCAACCCCCTGCTACGACCCTCCGTGACGTCGTGCATTTTTCTCGTCAGGTGCTTTTCAAGAGTCCACGATCGAAATCGCCTTCTTCTGCGGTAGTAGGCATCGCGTGTTCTCTCCACCTGCTCATCTCCGTATTCCCCTGACCGCGCTTGGCTTCACCCCCTCCGCCCCGACTTCGATTTGCCATTTTACGCGCCTTATCGCTCGACGCTTGAACACGAAGTGCTTGGAATGGTGCGTGCAGCTTAACGCATGGTGGGACTCGACCAGATAATGTCCTCCAGTCCGAATCGCGGATCGAAGGCGGCTGGTACGAACAGTCGGCCGTCCAGCAAGGATGGTTCTAAGAAGAATATTTGGTCTTCTCTGCTAGATGGCGTCGCCAATGGAAAGCGCTTGCCTGAGAAGAATCTTTTGATTCTAGGTACGTTTTCGAGCTCGCTAGCTCTTATACCGCTTGATTGCGTGGCTGCATTGTACTGACTTGGACTATAGGAGGTACCCCGGAAAGCCAGAGGGAATTCCTGGAAACCTTTTCTGCAGATACCTCGGCAGATCCCAGCTTAGTGAATGAGAAACGGAAGGGGAAAACACCGCCAATTGCCAACCAATTTGCGCTGGGATACACATATCGAGATGTACTCGACGCCGACCAAGAAGGTACAGCTTGCAGTTCCTCTATAGCTTTGCTAGGCTAACGATTTTTACTGAAGATACACTGGCGCGTGTCTCGGCCTACCTCTTGTCCGAACCCTCTCCGTCATTTGCTCCGCTTCTCAAACCGCTCCTAACCCCTCAATCCGTCCCGGAAACACTGGTTGTCATCCTGATGGATTGGTCAGACCCCTGGACATGGATTCGCAGACTACGAGAATGGGTCCGTCTTCTTCGTTCAGTCCTTGTTTCGCTCAACGATGATACAAAAATCGTGATGGAAGAGACTATGACGGAATGGCGCGACCGCAAACGAGGAATGGATGCTAGCTCTGCTGCGACGGGAGGTCTGCCAAATTCTGGTGGGCCAGTCACAATACCCTTGGGACCTGGCGAGTGGGACGAAGGACTCGGTATCCCAATGTGTGTTGTTTGTCAGGGAGTATGCAGACCCATTTCAATTTCCGCTTAAAACATTTCTCGCTAACATGTTTCTTTCAGGCCGATAAGATCGAGAAACTTGAAAAGGATCACGGCTGGAACGAAGAGCAGTTCGATTTCATCCTACAGTTCCTGCGCACAATTTTGCTGAAGCGTGAGCTATCCCGACCTCCATATCCCGAGATGTTTGACTCTAACATTATACAGATGGCGCATCGCTCATTTACACTACACCTTTCCTTGCCAACTCTCTCCAGAGCTTGATTCACTCCTCACTGGGAATTCACTCTCTTCTGAAACGCCAATCATTAAAACATAATGTCATCGACCGAGACAAGATCCTCGTGCCCGCAAACTGGGACTCCTGGGGTAAGATACGTATTATTCGCGAAGGATTCGATATGGAAGGAGCCTCGACCGCCTGGTCAATCGAGATCCAGGATCCCCCCAGCCGCTGGATCAACCCACGAACATCAATGCGGACGCCGAAGATGATGGCACAAGTGCTGTGACGGTGTTCGAACAAACCATCAAAGATCCCAAGCGCGACACTTCAATCGCCAACCCCACCGCCAACCCCCACGGCTCCAAGATCGAAGTCGAGACCAATGATATGCAATTTTTCTTTGCCGATCAACTCGACCTCCTGGAGAAGCTCAGAGCCGACGACGAGAAGGAGCGCGCCAACCAGCAAGTCCCGCAGTTGGAGATGTCGCCAATGGACGAGGGAAAGGTCAACGAGCACATCGGTCCCGTCCAATTCAATATGGGCGGCATTCAAGTGGACGCCGAGGACATGCTGAAGAAGCTTCGCGTACGTGCCACCACTACCATTGAAGACTCAAACAACTAACAACCCTACAGGACCGCGAAGCAAGTCGCGCCCAAAAAACCCAACCAGTACCCTCAGCCCCCGGCGACGAAAAAGCTCACAACCAAGCCTTGGCCAACTTCTTCGCCGGTCTCGTCAAGAAGCCCGGCAGCAGTCCTCGTGGAAGCCCTTCTGCGTGATTCCCGCTCAGACTGTATTTTAGTTATGTGAGCAGCGTACACACTAAGGCGATTGACCCTACAATTTTGCCCTGGTATAGGAGGATAAGGGAGGACGGCCTGTTCATATCTCGTTTCTCTTTTCCTTAAACTCTGATGGCTTTCTGCGGGATGTTAGATAATGATACCAAATATGAAATCGTCTTTCTGATCTGTCTGGCTGTGTATGGGGTTGAGATAAGCGATAGACTGTACCTCTCAAGTGCTAATACCTAGTAGTTAACAGAAGTATACTCCTGTTTTCATTCACATCCTATATGTAACATGGAAGGCAAGCCAATAGAAGGACTCGGAGTCTGATTCCTCTTTGAAGTCCTAGACAACGACAACATCAAGTTGAGGAATGAAAGACAACGAAAACAAGACAGGGAAGGCAAAGGCAGAAGATGATATGCATGGTAGAAACAAGTTTTAATTGACTGGAAGTGACCAATTTTGTATAGATAATACAGGAGAATAGAATAGTCTTCCAGCTCTTCCGAGTCACAACATATCACCAGTTTTCCCAAACAGCGGCGGGAATAACCTGTCTCATGATCGACCAGTGCTCCAAGGCTCCGCGATCCTGGTACTTGTACAATCTCTTGACTTCTTTATCGACAAGAAGGCGTCTTCCGCCCTTGGGGATAGGGTCGAACATGGCAGGGTCAAGCTCATACTTAGGAAGAAGGTAGTTTTTGCGGGAGTTGCTGCCCAGGAAATCAGCCCGCTCGGGAGCCCTGAACTGGAGCGGGGTGCCTGTGCTCCTCTTGGTACAGAAAATAACCATGTTGGTGAAGTTGGCGTTCTCATCGTCGGGCTTCGCTTCAGACTCGCGGAAGACGCGGCAGGTTGGGAAGGTAGCCAGGATGGTGCGGACGACCAGGCCTGTGGGGTAGAGCTCAAGATCACCAGCATAGTTCTGTGTAAGATGTTAGTTGAGTTTGATGAGTGGGATTGATAAAACTCACGATGGCAATGACACCATCATCCTTGAGCAGGGTTTTCAGATCGTGGAGGAAATCAATGGTGAAAAGCTCCGCGGGCTCAGCGCCGCCGGTGAAGACATCGTGGACAATGTAGTCATACTGGTGAGCAGCTGGGTTTTTCATCGCCTTTTTGACAAATTTGGTCGCGTCATCGACGGTGGCCGCATGGTTGGATGGGAAGTTGAAATACTGCTCGGCAAACTTAACCACAACAGGATCCAGCTCGACGACTGTAGTGTCGATGCCGTGTTTCATCAATGCGGCAGGTGTGGTGCCAACTCCAAGACCACTAGTTCACACTCGTTAGCTATGACCGTAAATGTGAATGCGAATACTTACATGACCAGGGCCTTGCTGTCCGCGTCCACACGGTGGCTTCCATGGATGGTCTCGACCAGTCGGACGGATTCAAGCATGGTGAAAACAGCATAGATAGGATCCTCAACCTCAGGGTTGTAGCCAGGAGTCGTCTTGGTCCACTGTCCACCTAGGAGGCTGTGGTCACACCGCATCACCCGGAATCCGTCATGGTGGTTCTCCAAAACGGAGATGTAGCCAGTGTAAGACTCTTGGCGGGCCAGGAGAGAATAACCCTCACCCTGGATAGCAGAGTTAACGCCGCTAATACCGCCGAAGTGGACATCAGATGTGATCGAGAAGAGCACAGACGGGACGGCGAGAAGGAGCATCTTAGAGGGGACGACAGCAGCGTACAAGACTGCAATGACGAATTGCAGACCAGCACGGGAGAAGAATATAGTGAAACCGATGAAGTGAGACAAGACAGCCTTTGCGAAATGCTCGCCCGCTGAGTAGATAAAGTATGAGCCCAAAAGGGGTACATGCTCCCTCGCAACGTCACCCATATCGTCAAGGTGCAGGGAGTACTGGATCTGCTTACCCGCAATAGCGACAGTCAGAAATGCTAGCGGGTAGTAACCGAACAGCTCTGTGATGACAGGGCCCAGGGGGTTTCCCAGCTTAGAGCTCTGCTGCATCACAAAGTACTGCAAGGTAGGCGTCCAGAATGCAAGAACAGGAAGCATGTATGCGGCGACACGACCAAGACGCATTTGAACTTGATCTTTAGAAAACCATCCAGCTGCTGCGAAAGCGCCCAGGCCGTAGACATGGAAGATATGCGCGGGCAGGGCACCATACGTAGGGGACAACACCATCAGCATCACAGGGGAGTAAAAAGCCAGCAAAGCCAGCAAAGCCGCACCACTACCGAGACGGTAGAAGTCGACCCGTTGAATCCACTCCTGAATAGACATGGTGGCCAAGCTATCAAATCTTTGGTTCAATTGATGCGGGAACCTGAGGCAGATCTGCGAGGAATTGTTAGCAGAAGCTCGGAACTGGTGTCAAGCCAGACATGACACTAAAGCTGAAACAAGGGATTTGCATCCACACAGGGAAACAGCTTCGAATACGACTTACAGACTCAGTTCTCCAGCATATCAAACGGGAGGAAAAAAAAGCGCGGAATGGCAGAAATAACCCTTTTGCCGCCCACTTCCGCGTTCCCAACATCACCTCCCTCACACCGCGCTGAACCAGCTCAAGATGCCACATTTCCCCATGAATTCAGGTTTCAACTCCAGCGATGCATCTGGCAACGCGCATCCTTCAGTCCAAGTGAAGAACCGTCGGAAGCGGTACCTGGACCTGCACCCAGAGTACTTCTCGGCGGATCTTGAGCTCGCCGGTCCGCTTGCTCTTTCCTAGCTACCAGCTCCCTCCTGGATAATGGCTCCAGTGCTGTGACATGGTAGCAGAAAGCAAAACTTCAAGCTAATCGATGTGGAACTACTTTTCTAGACCCGTTGTTGTACGATCGCCTTATCCGCCGCTTTCAGACACCACAGGAGAGGGAGGCCCTGGGCCGTGAAAAGGGTTTCTCGGGCGTCCTTCAGGCGGATATGCAACGCTCTGAGGCGAAGATGGATGCTCTCGCAAACCCGGATCCCAACGCGATGCTCAGCTATACTCGGGGTCTGGATGGAGAGATCCTGGCCGAGGACCGTGACGACATCCCCGCTAGCAAAGAGGATGGAGAGAAGGCCTGGCAGTGGGAGATGGGCTTGCGGTTTATGAGAGGCGATGACGATGATTTTGACTACAAGACCGTCGATGAGAATGATGAGTACGATGATCGGACCGAAGAGCAGGACGAATACTTTGAGGATGAGGAGCCTGAGTGGGTGGTTGGCGATACCCGTGGCGAAGACGCCCATTCGAGTCTTCAGGGTGAGACAGGCGTGCAAGATTTCTGATGGGGATATTCTTCCGGTGATGCTTCAACTCTTGGGGCATTATTTGCAGATTCTCTTAATTAACTTCACGCTTTCCAACTGCGCTAGTGTCTGAAGCTCGAATACACCCACAGAGCTTCTGCATAAGACACTCATGATCCCAAGCCCAGATTCATCAGGTCAGGCCTCGGCTTCTACCTGTCAACCCCTGTAACAGGGATGTCCTAATCGAGCCATAAGCCGACAGGCATACTTCTGGGAATGGACTGCCTTGCTTTCTGAATATGGTTGATATTGGCCCTAGAAAAACTCGAACTCCGAGCTGGCTCTTTTGAGGTCCACTCTACAGCAGAACTGGCTGTGGGAAGGCTATTATTCGGTTGGTAATATTCCATGTGCCCATACTTTAGGAGCGCCTGCTCCTACCAGAATAGTTTTACAAGAAATTGATGAATCGACTTGAGATGGCCAGGCTGCTATGTACATTACCACCAGCCCTGTCGGGTCTGCGCTATATGCTATCTACATGTCGCATAAGTAAACACGGGGAAGTCTACTGTCATTTCCCTTCGGCCAACAGCTTGAGTACCTGCTCCTTAAGTTTAAACTTCTGAATCTTGCCGCTCGCAGTCTTAGGGAATGTATCTAATGGCCCCAAGAAGAAGACATATTTAGGCACTGCCAGAAAACGTTAACAATAGTCTTGGGTTGCACCCATGGGTTACAAGTCTCAACCTACCGAGATGGCTGCTCAGTTTCTCGCGAACCCATTCCTGGATTTCCTTAGCAGTGATGGATTTCGGGCCATGTTCTCGCGCAATCACAAAAGCGGCGACTACCTCGCCATAGCGCTCGTCGGGAACACCAACGATGGATACGTCGCCAACGCTAGAATTCCCTAGCAAGCAATTTTCAATTTCTAAGGGGTGGATGTTCTCGCCACCGCGGATGATCAAATCCTTGATACGGCCGGTGATGGTGACATAGCCATCTGGGGACATGGAAGCTTCATCTCCAGTCTGATATCACGCATCAGAATGTTCTTCAGTGAAGGTCAATAAAGTCAAACTTACATGCATCCAAACCTTTCCATTATCATCTGCGATCATCACCTCTGCTGTCTTCTCTGGATCTGCCCAATACTCCTTCATAAGGAGATACCCGCTGACTGCTAGTTCGCCGCGCGTGTCTATTGGAACGACCTCTTTCTTGTTCGAGGGATTCACGATTTTAGCCTCTACATGCGGCATCAATCTTCCCACGGTATTGATCCTTCGATCTATGGGATCATCCGTAGTAGTCATAAGAGACACAGGGCTGGTCTCCGTCATGCCATAGCATATTGTCAGTTCAGTAAGATTCAAGACTCTATGCAGCTTCTTCATCAGCTCGGAGGGAATGCTGCTTCCGGCTGCGATGCCTGTTCTTAAATGCTCAAAGCCTTCGCTGGGAACCTCCCCCGACTCAATCAGACTGAGTTCCTCAAGGAACATTGTTGGGACGCCGTAGAGCGCAGTACATTTCTCTTCTTGGATTGCTTTGAGTGCAGCGCGAGCGTTGAAGGACTCGGTTGGGAAGACTATGGCTGAGCCGTGTGTTGCTGTTGCCATGTAACCTAAGATACTTCCGAAGCAATGGAAGAGTGGCGGTGGACAGCAGACGATGTCGCTCGGAGTGAGGAGCATACGGTCTCCGATCTGTGAGCCGTTATTCAGAATAGATCGATGACTTAAACACGCAGCTTTTGGCATAGCTGTAGTGCCGGATGTAAATTGGATGTTCAGAATATCGTCCGGGGAAAGGGTTTGCTCTGGTAAAGCACAGCCATCCGCCGGAATGTGGGACATGATAGATGAGAATGGTGTTAGGCTTTTGTATGCAGACGAAACCACGCGACCGGAAGAGTTATCCACAAAGATGACCTGCCTCAGCGAGGGAACAAGAGCAGACTGCACTTCCGGGTTTGACAGGTCTGGAATGAGGTGCTCAAGAAGAGGTACATTGCTTCGAGGATCTTTGCGAGGAAGGTTGGACTCGGCGCTGATGATGAGATGGCTTGTTTCGAGGTGGCTCAGAGCAGCAACTACCTGCATGGCGTTGAAAGAGAGATTGAGCGGGACCAGTATAGCACCGAGCTTAAATAACGCGTATGTTGCCTAGAATCAATTAGCCCCCTCTCTTCCTGTACTGCAGAGGCCAATATACCACTGCAAATTCCATCGAGTTCCCAAGCATGACTCCGACTCGGTCCCCTTTCTTCACACCGACTGATTCCAATCCACGCGCGAGGGCATTGCTTCTGGTGTCAAGCCCAGAGTAGGTGACCCGGTCATTTTGGTGTTTGGAGATGACCCTAGCAGATCAGCGGTAAAAATTAGTGTCCGTGGATGAAGCCAGTATTGAGGTAAGAGATCGAATATACTCACGCGAGTCTATCTCCATACTGTGCGACTATCTTTGAAAAATGACCGCCCACAGTGGACTCAATCAAGGGCGGCTATGGGCACAAACACGCGTTAGCTATCAACTTGATCCTTTGTTCCAACCTCATCCCTAGATTGATAAGAATCGGCGTACCTCTGAGGGACCTCGTGCAATACTCGCTGTTAAAAGTCCTCGTCTCAAGCTCGAAATCGACGCATCATGAGAGGATGTTCGTCTCAAAAAGAGACCTGTAGGAACGGAGTGACTTCGGACGCGAAGAGCTCTAAAAAACCCGCTGTACACACGCATATTTGCTTTCCGATCCCTGTATGCGATCACTGAAACCTCATGACGTTCATTAACTCCCGAATGCAAGTGTCAACAGAATATATGTAGCGACCCTTGAGAATGACCAATTGTGAAAGGGAGAAGCTCTTGGATCGCGTGAACAATCGCGGAAGCTTCCCCGCACCTTGATGTGCGGGGTCGGGAAGCCCCGAGGCACCGACGCCACTTGGCTCATGACTGTGACTATATTAGAGTATCAACAACTAAATCATGAAACTAACAAGATTACTCATGGGCAAGCGACCATTCCAAATAGTACGAAAAGCAGGTCGACTTGAGCTCCAGACCTAAGAAATCTATAACAGCTTACGGAGCACGGACTATGGGAGCACAACTCAGATTATGCCTCAACATCTGGCTATTGGGGCAGCCCCTACGTAGCGCCATCGACCCTGAGCCCTTCCCCATCGAGTATAGTTGAGACTAATATCGATCCTTCGAGTAACCCTGCCCCACGCTCTCTCAAAACATTTTTAGCTGTGTGAGTGGGAAGAGGGGAAAGCCTACGACGAGGACCCGCTAACGTGCATTCACTACCGTAGAGTGGCGAGTGACAGTTAATAATAGGGAGGTTTCAAAGAACACGGAGAAAGATGTCGTTTTGGCACCAAGCGCCTTTTGGCAGCTGTCCTTGGAAAAAAATAAATAGGAGCAACTCATTGTGACATTGCAAAAAGTCAATCCGGTCTAAAACAAAAAAGCAGACCTCGTTTAATCTTGAGCCTCTCTCTTTCCTTGCACTTGTGGCTGTATACAGTGAGAGTCGAAAACAGATTCCCCCACGGACACAGGCATTGTTTCTCGGCCCGTATCCAGAACCACGCTAGTCCATATCAGGTTACTTCAGGGAACATCCCTGTTTAGCCGTATCATCACTTCGAACGTTTTGGATTTTGACGTCTAGTGAGTCATTGTAAATTACTGTAGATTTACATGGAATCTTCCAGGCCGGTTTCTAGAATGGGCGGGAAGAGTCTGGCGATCTGGCCTGGTCCACGCCCATAGTTCTCCCCATTGTAAAGAGCGTGAGAAACAACAGGTATCCATTAGCCGAATTAGATGTGGTATTTATTCTGAAAGTATATAGCCGTACCTAATTATCCCCTATGCCCATTTGCTAAGCCTACCAAATCCCCATACTTCAATGTGTTCATCGTCGCCGCATATTGATCTGCCCCCGGCGAGACAGTCAGGATCATTGACGATTGAGCATCATTTGATGCCTCGAAGTGCTCACGTAGCACCATAGTCAATGGAGAGGACCGGTAGGGGATACGCGTTCGAGCCAGTGATCTGGCTCGGATCACTTCCTTCAATGCGAGAAGGTCTGTGTTAATTTGCCTCCCTTGTTGTTTCTCCTGAGGAGTTTGTCTGAGCCCAGTTCCAGCTGTGCCAGAAAGAAACTCGGCACCGGCCAAGTCCACAAAAACAAGCTTTCCGCCGGTACATTGATGTGCACGAGCAGTCACAGCAAAAACTTCTTCTTCGTGCTCTTCTGCCTTTTTCACACGAGATTCAAACTCGGCCTTCTTTGTCTCCGCAGCATCGATGCGTTGCTGGTTCACTTTATAGTTAGGATTTGGGATGTATTTCCCATCTTCAGTCTGAACCACTGCGCGACTTTGCTCCTCGATATACACATCTGTCGCATGTTTGCCGACAGGAACAAGCTCTGATTGCCGCTCAACCACCTCGTTACGCGCATTGAGAAGATCTTTGGTAATAATTTCCATTTCAACAATTGCATGCGTGCGCGAGCTTTGGTCATGTACCGTTGATGCTGCGGTCTTGCGGTGCTTCAGTCCTTCCTGTAGCTCCCTTTGTAGCTCTTCAAATTTCCAGCACGCCCTGGTGACAATTGGTCGGACCCTCACTTTCCCATTTTCTAGTATTTCTGTATCGCCTCGGATGTAAACCCGTCGATCGGCACCCTCGCGTATAAAGCACTCGTTTCGATTATTGAGTAAATCAAAAGCGCTATTCTTTCGTAATTCGTACACTCGGAGGCCAATGCCAAATTGGTAGGCGCTATCCTCTGCGCGGATTTTATCGAGCTCGATAGCCAGATGGCGTGCAGCTGCTAAGCAAAGGCCAAATTCGTCGTCATGTTCAAAGTCGTAACCGATCATGGTATGCGTTTTGCCGCTGCCTGAGTGCCCATATGCAAAAAAATTGTAGCACTTGCCCTGCAGCACCTCGGATATGATTGGTGCAACAATGCAATTGTATACTATGTGATTGTTCTCATCAGGTTCAATGACTCCGTCAAATGAGTAACCACTTTTCCAGGACCGTTCACGGCTTGAAAGTGATTGGGCTTGGACGGATGAGGCGATCGAGATCCGAGACTGTTGATTATTACGATCCTGGTCAGATTCGCGCATAATTTCTCCTTGTTGGGATCCACTCGGCTTGAGAGGTCGCCATCTCGCCCATACTTTGATTGCATTCATTTTAAGGTCAGCCACAGAGGGAAGAAGAATGGAAATTTCGAGGTCGACACCAAACTCTCGTAATATAAGGACTATGTTACCTTGGCAACAAGCGTAGCCCCGCCTAATCTTACTGTATCAGAGTTTCATATAATATACAGTATTATACATGATGCAGTAGTCTTAGAATTGAGAAAGATTTATTTTTGGAAAACGATTATTCACAGCTTGTACCCTGGCGCGGTTTCGGCCAAGGAATATTCAATACGTATCCGTGGGGGAATCTGGTTTCGACTCTCACTGTATAGAGTAACATTTACCGACTGTCGGGATTTAACAACTCAACCACCTAACACTTCTATTTCCAATCCCGCATAGTGAAAAGGGCCTCTAGCACTCTCTTATTTTGCACCCACTATATTTATACACTATTCGAGAAATTTATCAAAACCTTGGCTGGGTCTCTCTTATTGCGACTCCAGTTATGCTTGATGAAACTTTTAAGCTCAGCCAAAAATTCTTCAATTAGGTTAAGATTAGGCGAATAGGGCGGTAAATTAATCAGTTTTACCCCAGTATCCGAATGTATTTATACGAGACGCTCTAAGTGATGAAACAATGCGTTGTCTATCATAAGAACGGATTTAGGCTCTGGCTATCTTCTGTAATACTAGAGTAGCTAATCTATGAAGTCTTTAATATAATAGTATCCGTAGAGCCGCGGAAAACTCGCAAGAGGACGATCCCATCTTAGGAATATAAAGGTAGTATCTGATATCGATAGTCGCGGTGGAACTGTATTACTTGTAGGGGAGCTATACTAAGAGGTACGTAACCGATTCGCCTAAATCCGACCCTTTTATCGTAACCAGATTCTGACCGAGTCCGTTACCAAAAGCTGCGATTTTGATCTAGATGCCGTTCAATCGGGCCATGACCCCCATACCGCTTCGAATTTATATGAGCAACGGAACAGGCCACATTGTCCCCTCCCCGCACGGGCAGAGCGTTATTTACCTCACTACGCACATAATCGGCACAGTGCCTGAATGGAGGTTTATGAACCCAATCGAAGAAAATCTCTGTTGAAGAATAGCTTCAGCTGAACGGCCCAGTCTGACGTTAGAAATCAGAAGTGAGGCCCGAGTTACTGACCCGATCGAGTTAGCTCGCACATAGATGATCTACACAGCCAGCACTCGAGCCCAATCTACCGCGTAGCTTTCACTAATCAGGATACTCACATGTCAGGGAAAGGGATGTTAAGCGACAAAAGCTCATGTATAAGAGATAGAGCGATCCCATGGGAAGGATTTCTCATTCATCTTTGGGCTTTCTCCTTGGGCTTTCCAGATATCAACATTTAACTACCCTGTGAGATAATTATGTGTCTTCTCATCCCCTTTTTCATTCGCAAAAGAAATAAGGCGAAGGCAGAACAATCCCGGCAAGAGTCCGAGCTAGCAGTACACCCAGTGGCAATTGGCAAATTGAACTCAGCTTCGACGCCGTACGAGCAGAAGATTGGGAAAATCAATCCAGCGAGCGGGCCCTCGGGATAGAGAGATATCTTCCAGGTATTGAAATTCTCCACAGCTAGCAAAAATAGACATTCTAATGGGTTTTGGCAGTCTACCATGAATATGACTTCTCCGTTGGATTAATACAAAGGAGACTCGATTACTAAGGGATGTGAGCTTGAAGTGGGGTTAAGAACCGCTGCATTGCATTATGTTCAGAAAGCCAGCTCTTTGTCTCCTTAATGCCCTGTGATTCACCCCATTTTGTCCTCTTTATATAACTCTTGCGTTACTGAATATGAGTCCCCTGCTCTGGCAAGTTTTGACATCATAAATGCCTGTTGGATGCCCGTGGTGTACCCAATTCTGTCCAGAGTTTGCAAAATCCACTTCTTCATCTTTGGCTCGGATTCAATACAGTCCGATGCAACAAACAACGGCCAGATAAGCCGCATCAATCCCCCGACAGCAATCTCGTCAGATGCGAAATGGTACGGCACACTTGCACACACGCCTTCTGCCATCTGCTGAATAATGATGATACCCTGAGCTATCGTTGAACGGGTCTCAGGGCAATAACCCTGTTTCAGCTTGCTTTTACATGTAGACCCGATGATCTTGCGTAGCATTATCCGTATGAGGCGATAATTGTTCCAAAGAGAGGCAAGACCGAGCGTTCTGTACATATGATATGTATCGCCATATATGTTGTGGTAAATTTGACCGTCGTCGTTGATACTCACAGGAGAAGCTTTGACAACAGTATAGTGCCATGTAGGGTCAATTGACATGGCCCAGGCAACCAGATCTGCATCTAAATGAAGTGCTTTTTGTATGAAGAGCGCTGGGTTGCTGGAGGATGAATTTGGAACAGAGTCACTGATCATAGCTGAAAGGTCTCCAACTCGGGTTATGATATCGTAGAAACTATCCGTAACTTGGGATTTGCGGTCGTGGTAGGTTCTTGCCACCTTTGAAAGTTGAATCATGATTTGTGAGCTGTATCGTTTGTAGAATATGTTGCTGATGGCCTGCGGTATTTCTTTCGTTAAAAGGAATATGACAGATTTAGGTCAGAACGTACAATCTGGATTCGTATTTGAGAGAATAATTCCAGTCCAGCCGGTGTTTCTAATTGCTTCGATCCCCGCAGCTCGATAAGCCTCATCGCACCATTGATGTGGTTCGCCCAGCGATCCATGAGATCTGTGCCACATGCATGACATGTGATCACCTATTTGGTCAATCGAGGCTCCAGAAGCGCGCGAGGAGAAGAGCCTCACCTCGTACATACTGAGTAGCATCACTGCTGCTAGTGTGGAGTCTGATTTATACCTGGCTGGATCCTGCAATGCTCTATTCGTGGCAAGTAACGCTGTGCTATACTCACTATATGCAGACTGCATTAAATCTGGTGACATTTGTCTGTTGGACATGACTGCCAGCCCTATAGCTTTGATCGAGGCTATCAAATTTGGAGATGGATCTGAGTCTAGCAGCTTTGGAATATACGGAAGCACGCCCCAATTTGTGTTCTGACCAACAAAATATTTGAAGGTGTAGGATGTAGCTCGATCATCGGCTGATATCAAGATGGGTGCGAGGGGTAGAGATATTTGTTGGTCCTCAGGGGACATGTTCGATACGCCTGGGGTGGCGGCGGTATGCCTGGACTTGGCTTTCCCGATTACCTCCTCGCTTTGATCATAGAGACGCAGTGCTGTTAGATCTCGATATCCGGAACATTCTCGGTCAATTCGTAGACACTGTGAGCAAGATGGTCGTTTTCGATCACACTATTTGAATGAGTAGGATTTTCCCAAACGTGGAGCCAGTTGCACATGCCTTCAGACGCCTGCTTCGGCACAAGGCACAGCCTGGGCTGAGCCTCCCTCTATACACCATAGCAGTGCGTTCTCCAGTCTGGATACTGAAAAGGGTAATCAGTTCGGGGGGAAAGTCGGTCGAGTCTCACACGTTGAAGTGAAGGGGCCTAGGCTCACTTAAACCACTCAAAGAGCTCCAGCTTTTCGATTACCTTGACTGCTCACCAGTGGGGGCCAAACAAGAAGGTTGTCATTGGACAGATCAGCCTAAAAAGTGGACTTTTCCGAGCCATATACCGAATCAGGTCAAGCGGGGAGTTGGCGACTCGTCACGAAACGCGATCTCGTATACGTTTAATGCGGGCTAAATGGCTCGAGCGACCATTAGAAGCTTGATTATTGATTAGCCATCTCAGAAATGTGCTGGCAACTTTATTTGTTGGTATTTAAAAGTAGTCAAAACAAGTCTAATGCAATTTTTGCAAACCCTCCAGAGGGGGCAAGGTACTCATAATTCATATTATGTGTCTTCACCAAGATACACACAGAACTGCAATTTTATTCTCAAAGATGAGCCGGAAATGGAGATCGGCAATTAAAACCTTGTTTAACGCTGACCACATCTTTCGGCACTCCCTTAAGCAAGCTGAGCCCCCTATCTCCAGTCGGGCACCAACCGAGTTCGATAACTACATCGTGGCTGAACCAGCACAAGGATCAGCCTTAATTTCCGGGAAGGCCAACCAGCGCTCAGTGGGCTTTTGGTTTGGCTACTCAGACGCTAGGGCTTAAAACTTTTTCTCAGCTGCACACAGCCTATGCTGATCCTCTCCGAGGAGTATTCCAAAGAGAGTATGAGGTCTAGGGCAGTGTCAACTTTTTGAAATGGCGTCGGGGGCGCAATTATGGTGAATTCAAACGCATAAATAAAGCGTCTCTCATCTTAAATAGCAATGAAAAACCATCTCAATAAACCCGATAATTCTTCTTTCCCTTCCACCCGTGCATTCTTTCATATTTTCTAATTTCTTCTCTCTCGACGGGACAGGCCAGGTTCAAAACATGAACGGGATTTTTCCAGCCGATCTTGCAGTATACCTGCTTTTCACGCCGATCGTGAATTATCTTTTCTTCGCTCATAGATGGACTGGCTTCTTACCATGGTACTACCTATCGGTTTTTTGCCTTGCCCGAATCGTCGGCGGTGGTCTCGGAGTTCATGACAGCAACGGTCTACCGGCGAATATCATTCAGAGTGTTGGAATTACACCCTTGATTCTGGCAATTGATGGGTTGGCCCACGAAGCGTAGGCTCTATGATCTCGTTGCTGTCTCTCAAAGCTAATGGGAATCAAACAGACGATGCTATCGCCATCCCTCGCACAATCGAACTCTCGGTTGGTCTGTAGTCATTGGTACCTCGGGCCTCATGATCGCAGCCCTAGCCCTCTCCATTTCGGGCTCCCTGAATATCTTCGAAGGCACTCCCAAGTCGGATAGTTTGACCGAGTGGAAAGCTGGAACAGTTTTGATCCTTGTGACATGGGTTCTACAAATAATTTGGTCTCTGTTTTCTCTCATCTCATCTCAAGGTGAAAAGGATGCACCTGGTTACCACGGTGGCACTGCTGTGAGTTTTATATTCTTTGCTGGATATTAATAGCTTAGCGCTGAGATGGCTGATGATTTTCAATTTTAAAGCTTCTGCAAGGTGCTCTGGTCGCACTGGCGTTTGTTGGTATTCGTGTCATCTACGGAGTCATCGCGGTTTTTACTCAAAAGAGAGATCTCAGCCCGGTATATGGAACCACAGCAGTGCGAGTGGTTCTTATGTTTCTTCCGGAGGTCCTGGCGACCATGACAATTATTGCCGTGGGGCTTCGTACAAGACATATTCGACATGTCAAATAAGCCTGCTACCTATTGGGTGATCTTAGTGACGCAACTCTTGGATTGGGAAGATAAAGCAGTGATATGGGATTTCTAAGATAATGTTAACTTTTGCTGGCTCTCACTTTGAGATTTTGTTTGTTTTCCGGATGTAAACCTAGCAGTGTGGCCGCGAGGATTGGAGTAATGGTTCAGCGTGTACGTTCTTAGGTCGTTCATGAAGCGATCCAATTCTTTCTCTTCCATCTCTACGAAGCTCCAAGTGTTTCTGAAAGCAGCATTGCTATATATTCTTTCCTGGATCTTTACTTCAATCTCCTAAACATTATGTCCAAGATTTACAGCGTCCTGAGCGTAATTGGTTCGTTTTTCGCATCAAACCCATTGTAACTCGTTAACAATGCGATGATTTCACACGTTCTCACGGCAGCGCGAAAGTTGACCTAATGCAAATTGAAGGAGCGTTCAATGATACTGTGACCACAGGGCTAGATAGTTCTACATTCTCCCAGATTCGGGCCCAGGACTCCAAAGTCGACAAACACCATCACCCTCGCCAATGCCACTCGAACGGAGACCGCTACGATTGTTAAGTAATTATAGATAAAGGAACCTGACTAAGACTTCTTGGAGGGCCCTATATAATGAACTTTTTAGTCCTTTCTGGCTGTCTTTCTACGTGTTGTCTATTTACTTTTTCGAGATATCCTTCTAGAAAGCCTTTAGTATATCTAGGAATAACAATTTATAGCCGCATGTTTAGAATCAGTTATTTTTATTTCCTAGTACCGCCATATTTGAGGATCTAGTCACATAACACACCTGTGGAACTAAGGGTACAACCCCAGGCAGCAAGCTTAAAAAGTGTATGAATCGAATGTCTCTGTCGGTCGCCGTAGAAGTGGCTATAGTTTAGTACTAAGGCAGCAAATATTGAGGTCATATACATGTATCATTATCACAACCAGTCTAATTGAGACAAAAGTAGGGCCTAAAATAAATGCAAAACAAGGGTATTGGATAGATATGGTCCAACAGATCTCACAGAGCCGTCTGGCCATCAGAGTGGGGAGATGTGTTCCCATCTTCCACGGCCTTGCCCCAGGCCTCCTCAAAAGCTGATTCTCCCGGTGTCTCAGTCTCCAGTCCCCTCTGTGCACCAGTGCTCACAATTTCTGCCTCAACGTCGTCATCGAGGAGAACCGGGGCGCTTTGGGACAAATCATCGCTGGTCTCCGGTTCTTTCTCAACCATAACGGCTGCGTATGAGGAGGAGCCGAGCTCCTGCTCTCCTTCGGCTTCGGCGGCGGCTGCGGCCTTGCTGGCTCCGGGCAGCTCGAGGTCAAAGTTCGAGCTGTAGATCACGGCTGAGAATGCCTCTAGCTCTCGGACGTTTTGGTCCATGGCAGCTAAGTACTCGTTGGTTGTGTGGGCTCCGACTCCAATGACGTGGGCCTGGCGAGCCATCACAGCTAGGAGATTGGCAAGTTTTGTCTTGCGCTCAGTGGTGATTGGAGGAACGACAGTCGCCATTGAGTCGAATGATTGAGGCGTCGTCTCAGGGACGGGCGATGCCTTGAAAGCCTCGTCGGTGCATTTCGAATCAATCAGGGTTGAGAACCCTTCGTTGTTGAGCAATGTCAGGACGAAGGAGAAAGAAGGTGAATCGATGAGATCGGCGGTTTCATCGAGAAGGTGGCGCAGCTTAGACGCAGTCTGTGAGGAAGATGGGTCTGCTACGCCCTCGACACCTGATTCACGTAGGACGTATTCTTCTTCCTCTGCAGGCGGCAGTAAGCAGGACAGCCATTTCTTGGATCTGATAATGCATCGTCAGTCATCTGGTCATCATGGCAATCAACGGGTCACATACCGTCGCTCCTCTTCCGTGTTTCCTTCGACCTTCTTCCGAATCTGGAGAGTCAACTCTGAAAGCTTAGACAAGCTAATGTCCTCACGCGGGTTCAAAGGGCCGAAAACTTCTTCCACGGCGGGCTGGACCCGCGCCATTAGCTCTTGCCATCCACGGTGGAGTAGCCACCAGCTGAAAGCAAGGTATCGCCGGTTGGTTTCAAAGTCATCTCCCAGAGTCTGTGTCAAATCATCGTCGTGGTCTTCTAGGCTGATAGTCGAATCGGTCGGAGGGGTGGCAAGAGAGATGACGCTGGAGAGGTAGTTTCGACGGCCGAGTAGGTTGAGTTGGACGCGGGTGAAGATGGTGAGCAACGAGAGAGTATAGATCAAGGTGAAGGATCTTGTGATAGCTGGAAAGATGTCAGGTATCCATAACAAAGCGAGATAGGATCGCTGATGAGCACGTACATGTGATCTTGACCTCGTTCCACAGCTGTGTCTTGTTCCGTTTCACTCGGGGCTGGCCCTCCGCATCCCCAGACTCCGCCTGGCTCGCGTGCATATAACCCTCGCTCTGGAAGCTCGAAAGACTAGTCCGATCATCATTATTGACACTAGCTGCCACCGATGTCATGTCCGAGCCTGAGCCTTCCTCGGGATTGAGGCGCGCCAGCCTGTCCGCCCGCTTCTTCTGCAACTCCTTCGTCAGCTCCTCCACAGGAAGCGCTTCGATGATGTTCTCTGTAGCGGTCGGGAGCAAAGCTTGAACAGTATAGGTGCAATCGGTCTGATTTTGTTCGAATCGTCGGCGGAGACTATTGTCGTCATTGTCAGCCCAGAGGGATCCAGTCTGGGGAGTTCAAGCCTGTCACAAGCTCGCGTGCCAACAGGGCAGCAAGGGTAACCAAAACAGGGAGTCGGAGATACTGACTTTTCGCGGGCAATACGGTCACTGCTCATGCGCTCGCGTGCCTCGGAGATCTTGGATAGCACATACTGGCCGGCCAGGTAGCCAGCTCCTAACACGCCAGCCCCGATCGCGAGACCTTTGCGATTGCGCTGGAACCAGCGCCTAGCGGCACCGATCATGTTGAAAAGATATGAAGGAAGTCTCTTATCGGAGCAACGAATCAAATCAAGTTCATCGTAGGTGCAGTTGATAGAGATGGGAAGTCGGGCAGACGAGGCGGGAGACCCTCGGGCGCTGATCGTGGCCGGGGATTCAGGGCCTCGGCTAGCCTGCTCTATCGAATGTGAACTTGCTTCTGTTTCTGCATCACCATAAAGCACAATTATCGAAATCTGACTACCTCAACAATCAATACATGTCTATTCAAGCACTCGGCATCTACGAACAAGGTCCTAGGTACCTTCCCAGGTACCTGAGAAGGTACCTAGAGTGCAAGTCACTGCTGCATTCGGCGCAACCGGCCTTGCCGCAACCACTAATCCCTTGTCTATGGTGAATCCAGCTGGTCTCTCAATTCTAACATTCATAAAGAATCGCAATCTTCAAGAAACAAGATTCTTTTTACTTATTTTCGTCACCTCATAGAATCAGTTACCCCAGCCAATGATAAGGCGATAAGCGTCATTCGGCCCAGCCCGAAGGCCGATAGAAACCGCCCTCATACCATCATCACTCCTCACGTTCTACCGTCAACCTGTCCATGATCCTCAACTATCTTGTTCCAGACTCTAACTGAGTCTCCTCTCATCCTTCAATCTACCCACCCACTCTCCTAGACCAGCGCCCGGTCGTGCGCTGGTTCATCAGCGGGCGGGGATGGAGCCCCGCAAGACCCCTCCGGAGTACTTCCTGGAGATCTTCGCCGACACCACTACAGTGCGCGATGTACTGAAAGGTACGAGTATGCTCCGAATCTACAAGGCATTCAAATGGCATACATAACTCCCGAGTTTCGACTAATACACACACTCCCAGGCGTTCTCAACCTCATCTTCTTCCACCGCTACTTCCCCTCGATTCGCCCCGTCACCTTTGATGTCTTAGACTTCACCCTCCCCGCGATCAACGATGCAGACCTCGAAACACTGATCGAGTCTCGTGTGAGCGCCCTCGTGCGCCATCACCTTTCCTCAGCTGCGGGGGCGCAGGATGGCAAGGTCGGTGGGGGCGGGGGTGGAGTACGCGGTCGCATCGCTGTAGAGTTCTACGAGAAGAAGCGTCGTCGCTCGGGCCTTTGGTTTGGCGGATTGGCTGGAAAGGGGGAGGAAGAGGTGTGCTGGGAGATCTGGACGTTGGATGTAACTATCGCTACGCCGCGGACCGAGTCTGGTGAGTGCCACATGTACTGTGGGCTCTAGCATTCGTCTCTCTGGAGGGACTTGATTTGCTTCGAGCTGTGTGATTGAACTTTACTAAATACTTCGACAGAACGAGCAAAAGTCCGCAAAGCCATGGCCAATATGCTCCAAAAGGCCGCGCTGAAGATTCTCAACGTCGTCAATCGCGACAAGGACCACATCCCGCCCATTACCACCAGCGATTCAAACCCCTTCCCCTACCGCATTGTTGTCAATCCTCGGACTGATGGCTGGGGTAACCGTATTGGACTGTACTAAAACAGTGCGCTATCAGCCATTAGCCATTAGCTATGAGCCATGACTCATCATGAGGATTGTATTTCTCCAGCGCAGGCTTTGTACCAAGCGCATGATACGAATTTCTTTTCTGTTTCACCCTTAGAATACGAAGGATGATGAAATAGTGGCGTTGCAATTGTTTTCGTGGATCTATCCTCTCTCTCAGGGTTCCCAGGGTTCTAGTACGGCGTCAATAGGAGGCGAGTTTCTCATTCAGGTTGATATCCGTTTTACATCTAGCCACATACCAGCTAGGAATCAAATGCAGAACATATCAAAACTACAAGTTAAAGTAAAGGTTATCGTACGTACGGGGACATGGGAGGGGATATGGGACAACAACTGTATGCAGGCTCCGCGCCCAGATATTCAACATTGATACAGCCGATGCAACAGACACGCCATCACAGGCCGAGAAAAACTGCTACAGAGTAACCAACTCTACCATGTAGATATGTGATGGAATAAAGCACAAAAGCAAACGTTAACAACCACACGACCGAGACTCAACCCCGGACACGGCCCACGGCCTCCAATCATCTCCCCTCTATTGTCATCCTACTTCCAATTGCACTATCGTAGCGAGAGTCCTATCCTCCAAATGCACATCACTAGAGCCCAAAGGCACTGAGAATCGATAGATCCGTGACCTATCTCTAAACTAAAGTCATAGATAGACAGCGTTATCGAAGCGATTCTCTGCTAAGCTATGAGTAGGTCACTCTTCAGGTGGAGTGGGCCTTGGCAGCCTCGGCCTGAGCGCGGAGGTTGGCAGAGGTACCGGAGCTGGAGAAGAAGCGGCCAAGAACGGGCTGGATGAAGGAGTTGAAAATAATTTGGGCACCGCTGTGATATGGTCAGTACCATCTGAAGACAATTTCTTGGCGGTGGAGCTTACTTGGTCTGGGGAAGGGCCATCCAGAGAATAGCGACGAACTTGAAGATGTAGTAGAAGGCTGTAATGGGGTCAGTATGTCATATGGTAAGCTCGCGTGGCAGTTGAACATACGGAACCAGTAGGCGGCGTTGATGGCGCTCTCAACAACGGTCAGGAAAGCGAAGACGACCCAGTACTGTACAATTATCAGTCAGATGAGTGTTCATGCGCAGGTAGGAGAGTTGTCACGTGGCGCCTGGTAAGCCCGAGCCAGCATTGTGGCTTGAGCCTGAAACGGCAGCGAGTCATGACAGAGATGGGGGATGATGAGGACATACGGTGAGCCACTGCAAAATATAGAGAGTTAGTCAAGAGCTTATCGCATATTGGGACAAGGCTCAACAGCCTGAGAAGTCCTTACCTGAGTGTCATCCGAGGTACCCGAAGTGAAGAGGGCCTGGAGGGAGTAGTAACCGGGGAGAAGGAAACCGGCGAAGTTGACGAGGAACTCGCCAGCGATGTTGAAGAAGACGAGGAAGAAGTAGACTCCGACCAGACCCAAGATGGCATAGACCTTAGGAACGGAGGTCTGACGCTCAAGGTTGTTCAGGACAGGGTACTTGGAGAGCTATCGGATCAAAATGTCAGTCAGGATAGAGCTCAAAAAGCAGTAGCAATAACAGGGAATCGAGCTTAGATGATATGAGGCAATCATAGAGGCTCATGCTGCTCGCACAAACTGCGGGCTCGGAAGCAATGCAGCCGCATTTCCGTGCGAGGGCAGAAGCTGGCGAGGCACCAACAGAACACACAATCGCGGAAAACGTACCTCCTTGTCGAGCTGGGCAATGGAGTGCTGAGCACGGTCCTGGAAAGAGGCCATTTTGTGAGATAGGCTTGAATTTTCGCTATTTCTTTTGAAGTGAGAGCGAGAGCTGCAATGGAGCGAGGGATGATGAGAATGCAACCGGTCGAGCTGGCGGTTACGCTGTGCCCGTGCGGTATCACGTGATGTTATGACGTACTCCGCCTGCTGTCAGCTGCGAGATTCACATGGCTGTGTTAAACCTAGGCCTAAGTTGAATGATATGAATGGTCATTCTGATCTATCCTACACCTGCATCTCCTCAATGGTGCGTATTTGCGATCGAAACCTCCGGTATCCCGAATTCCTATTACATACCTAATACCTCATGCATCGATGATGTGAATAGTTTTATTTTAGAAGCCTATTTGCCGATGGACCCAAGATAATGAGTCGAGCAAGATCTGGATTCTTAGTGGTGCGTAGTGCTCGCGTGGTATCAATTTATGACGTATAGGGCTAGACTGACCAAATCAGGCGGAATGCATCCGACACGGCATACATTGCCCTATCGGTACTTTTTCTTTGATCTATCAACAAAAGACTAATTTGGCAAATTTCCCTTGCTTTACACATTAGTCGAGTGTGTATCTTTAACTATTGATGATATCCACAACAACTTATAAATACATGCGGGACCACCTATGGAGTTGATCTGATTACTCATCTATGCGAATATTATGCCCGTTGGAAAATGACCCATAGTCGACACTTCAGAGAGCGTAGAGGAAGTTGGCCGAAGCTTCTATCGTCAATACTTCAGTCTCAATGGTTGTCCATCATATGCATATGAAGAGGTGCTTGCCATCGGTTCCAATTATGTCGCCTTTTACTTGTATCAGACGACACTGCCCCTAAAAATGACTCTTCGCAAATATGAACTAACTGAATGTATAATATCCATTCAATTCAGATTACTACCATAAACGGAACACAAGATATAAAGGTAGGTGGCTAGGACTCTACCGGGGTAGAAGGGTTCAGATCAAATATCCCTGTCAGCCAAGTGATTTGAACAAAACTCCGCGGTGCTCACACTGCCCGCGGGCCACGGTAAACTGGATTTGGTGGGTTAGATCCCCTCAGATGAATGAGCAAAGAAACTGTTAATTTCAAGCCTATTCCTATAAAGCCTGAAGGTAAAACTTGATCTGATCATCTCTCACCATCTTTTTTTTCCATCTTTAGAAACATTCATCAAAGCAACATGGCGCCCGGAATAACCACCGACAACACGAAGATGACATTCGTTCCATCCAGGAACGATGAACCTCCTACTTTGTACCAGGGCTTGAATGAAACCGAACTTCAAGCCAAGACACAAAAGTTTCTGCTAAATTACGGCACCAAATTCAATAAAGATGTCATCTGCGGCAGCAAAGGTCTATACGTCTACACTGTTTCAGGACACAAAGTCTTAGATTGGACCTCAGGCCAGATGTCTTGCCTCCTTGGACACGGACATCCGGAGATCGTGAAAGTGATTGCAGACCACGCAGCATCCCTGGATCACCTCTTTTCTGGAATGGTGTCGCCTCCCGTTATCAGCTTAGGCGAACGACTCTCCAGCCTGCTTCCGCCAGGACTGGATAAAGCCTTCTTCCTCTCCACTGGCGGCGAAAGCAACGAAGCAGCAATTAAGATGGCTAAAGTTTACACCGGAAAATTCGAGATCGTTGGTCTCGGCGCTAGCTGGCACGGGGTAACTGCGCAGGCTTTGGGCACGCAGTATCATTTCGGTCGTAAGGGCCAAGGTCCCTTGATGCCGGGTATGTTGATGCTTCCTGCTCCAAATTCATACCGTTCGATTTTCCGTCGACCAGACGGCTCGTATGACTGGGAGGCTGAGATGGAGTATGGGTGGAACATGGTCGATATGCAGTCTTGTGGCTCGCTGGCTGCTGTTATCGTGGAATGCATCCAATCATCAGCTGGAATGCATGTCCTTCCACCTGGATATCTGGCTGCTCTCAAAAGACATTGCGAGAAGCGTGGCATGCTTCTGATTGTCGACGAAGCTCAGACTGGTGTTGGTCGCTGCGGCGATATTATGGCTATCACTCATGAAAATGTGGTTCCTGATATTCTAACACTCAGCAAGACTTTGGGAAATGGTCTCCCGCTAAGCGCGGTTGTTACCAGCGCTGAGATCGAACGTGTTTGCATCGAACGTGACTACTGCTTCTACACTACTCATGTCAATGACCCTCTTCCCGCCGCAGTGGGTGACAAGGTTCTTGAGATTGTGGTACGCGATCAGCTAGTCCATCATTCACGGGAAATGGGTGTTATTCTTCACGTAGCACTCAACAAGTTGAAGGAAAAATACGCATGTATTGGAGATGTCCGTGGACGTGGACTTATGGCTGGCGTGGAGATTGTCGAGAGCCGCGAAACGAAAGCTCCCGCTATCGCCCTCGGAAAGGCCATCGGCGATCGAGCCTATGAGTTGGGTGTCTGGGCGAATCTGAGCAGCCACCCTAGCTTTGGTGGTACTTTCAGGATTGCGCCTCCGATCACTATCACCAAGCAACAGCTTTTGAGTGGGTTGAAAGTTCTGGAGAAGGCGTTTGCTACTACTCCTGGCACTATGCCTCTTTAATTATCCTCTACAGTAGATATGATAGTACAAGAGTTCTGATAAATTTCTTCCGCTTCGACAATCACATGCTTTGCAACGTATCCCAAATACTCGGAAACAAGGCATCTATAAACTCGGTATCTGGGATGAACTGTTGCCGCGTTTCTATAGTGGAATCATCTAACGGCACACTCGTAGGTGGAGCAGCCCGGAGTCTTCCAACCAGTTCCGAGTGCTGCGCTAGACAAATATCCACAAGATCCCACCCAAAATTCTCTTGATGCGATCTCAGAGAAGACAAAAAGTCATCTGCCATTTTAAGAGAAGTACTTTGGGAAAGCCCAGTACCCGACTGTTCCGTTTCAAGAGCGCAGCGTATCAAGAAAGTGACGGTTGAAACGAAAGTAAATGCAGACACCGGAAGCCAGAAATCCCCTAATTGAGGCGGCTCAAGTTCCTGAACCAAGATCACAATGTCTTCTGCTATACGCCGAGCATCCATGATTTGATTTGCTAGTTTCTCGGCATTGTAAGCGGGGTTTTGTCTCTCTCTGTCTAGGTAGATCCTCCGTAGAAGAAGTCTGACAGCGAGATAGGCGAGACGTAGATTAGAGGCACCTGGGATTCTGAGACCTATCCCTCGAGTGACGATCTTGCGGACGTCTCCTGTCAGGGTATCGATCCATTTGTTCAGCTCTAGATCAAGGTTTCGCTCCGGTACATCCAGACTGATGGCGTAGACGTGCTCGAGGCAAAGATCAAGAACTTCCGTTAGACAAACGAGAGCTATGAAAATATCGTGCGCCTTTCTGTGTTGTTCACGAACAGGGAGATGTTCTTCTGTCGGGATGGGTACGTCGTATTGGGTCCGTCTGATGTGAGGTGGTGTGCCATATGCAAGACTCGACCTGAAGAAAATCATTATCAGCTCGCATGACCATTGATGACCATTGCAAACAAAAGGATATAAAAGCGTACCAGCGATCATGGATGAGCATCGACCACCAAATTTTCATCCTCAAGTGTTTCTCCGCTTGTGGTATGTCCCACGGGAGTGGATTTCGATTCAATCCCAGTGAATAGCAAAGAGCGATTGCCGACCCTAGTTGAATTCCATTCCCGATCATAGAAGTAGTCGGGCGGCCACCGATATTGAGAAGAATCGCAGTAATGGTAGACATTCCAGGTGACAGATGTAGTTCGGAGTATAGAGCCTCACAAGCCAGGTTCCAGATGAACCGAATGTCTGGATATCGCACCTGAGATAGCTCCGGATCATGCCTCCAAAAAACCAGCATATGCCCATATAAACAGGAGAGCAAAGCAGGAGAGATGCGGTCTCTGGCATTAATAAACTGTTCGCGGAATGTATTCTCATCCAGTAGAGGAAAGCATGGGTTGACTTTCTCGAGATACCTAGTGGTTGCACCCTGTTACTTTCAAAAGCGTTGGCTGTTGGAATATCTTAGATATCACATACATGTCAACTAGGTGTAGATCCCAAGGCTCAATGAGCTTCTCGATTACCTGCAGCTTATGCAGCGCAGGATTCGAGTTGAGCATCATACCCAAAGGCCGCTTTTGCACTTTTGTGAAGACGATTGGAAATGATGAGCTGCCAAGCTCCACTGGGCGAATGGCTCGCATCCCTCGATTTCCTGGAATGCTGGATAGATAGTCTGCTAGGATGTGGCTATCGCCCATGACGGCCGGGCCAAGAATATGTGGGTTGTCATCGTCTGCTTCTAATGACATGGGCGTACCTTGCACAGCTTGACATTGTTTCCAGTCGAGATTAATGTGATGCGAGGATGTGCTTGTAGAAAAGGGAATATCAGAGACGGGGAGCGGTTGCACGGCGGTGATATTAGGGGATAGTATGGCATTTTGAGCTGGGGGTTGGCTGCTCGATTCCACCGATAATTCTGTAGCTCTACTAGCCTGAGCTCTTTGAGGTGCCCTGTGTGATGTTTTCCGTCGCTTCTCGGCTGGGAATGAACACTCTGTGCCGTGGGCGCGGCAGGTCATGCATGCCGACGAGTGGGCTTCGATTGTGCAGCGCGATTTTCGTCGCCGGCAAGCATTACATGCTGGTCTGACGTGTGATCGGTAGGGTCTTTCTTCTCCACCTTCACCTCCCATGAGAGTCTTGCCGATGAGCCGACGTGGATAGAAGCGCCGCGGAGGTCTGACAACCCGCAGAGTTGACAGAACGCTGAAATGCGGACGGATCGAGAAATCAAATGTTGTGTATATTGTAGCTCCCAATACAAGTTGCAATATTTTTGTCAACAGCTGCTTTGCTGCTCAGAGTGTGGTAATAGGAAGTACCAGGATGTCAGTTTCCCGCGGCGTAATGGGGACCCACTCGCCGACCTCCTTATCTACCGAGGCGGGGTCATCCAGTGCCTCGTTATAACCTGGTTCTGGACCCAAAAGATGATGATTCCGACGGAGGGACTAAGGTGGCCCAGATCAGTGAAGTAGTATTCTATAATAGAGAAGTGATGGGTGGCCGAAAGTTTGATTGAAGGGAAATGGCCGTGGTGAAAGCGTCCTTAGATACCCACACATAGTATATCGATCTACCAATCCTGAGATTTTTCAAGAACTTAGAGACGTGATTTTAATATTCGTAGGAGAGTAGAAACAAATATTTACCTGATTACCAATAGGAAGCAAATAAGTAGCCTGTAAACTGGGCCTGACCTAGAAGGTTCAAAATAGCCAATGTAATAAATCTTCAACAACAATTTTTGGATCCTTCGTATATCGATTGAACTCGACATTCCGGCTTGACGTGAGCGTATTCATCTTGTAACACTGGTTTCACCAACAACAATATCCCCTTTTCTGGTATTATCAATAAACTTCTCAGGGTGCTCCTCTTCATCATGAAGATGAGTCAAATTATCATCGCTTCTGTCATGTTCGATGGGCTGGTGGTCTCTGAGAACGAACCAGGTAGGCAACACTGCAAGGCCTGTGGTTTTTTTCCATTTCAGTTAGTCGAGCCAGACTATTTGCACGCGCTAGGAAGCAAAGATCTGTAATAATTCAAAGACTTACCAAGAAGAATTGTGTTGACTGCAAGGGGAACTCTTCCCCCATACCAATCCCTAGTGTTGAGTCCAAATGACACTGCCTGAGAGAAACTTTCTTGTCCACGAAGGATACCTGAGAGTCGAGCTAGATGTAGTAAGCATGTATATCCGACGTAGAAAGACACATGAGTTCATACAGAGCTCGGAGATATTGTCCGTCATGGTTGAAAGGAAATAGTATAGCCAATTCTGCAATGCCTGTCGGGAGAATTCTGTGATCGGACCAGTCAGCTATCTTCCATGAAAAACATGTTTATTAAGAAAGAGCCTCACCCCAGAGAATGACCACGAACAGCCCTTTCGTAAACCCCTTGTCGGACCAGTCATACGACGGTGACATTTTAGTAAACTGCTCCTGAACGACCCAGCCGTAAATCCAAGCAAGTATGTGCAAGAAAATGACATAGTAAAATCTGATGAAAAGTGAGATAGAGTACGGCGAGTTGTGATGGCAGCGTTTACTTACGTGTATGTGAGTCGGCTCTTGATTGATAGCATTCGATAGTCCAAAATCCGGCTGATGCTCCAAGAAGAAATGAGTGTTCCAAGGTATGCTAGTAACATAGAGTAAGCAAACCCTCCAATTTCCTGGATAATGGTGCGCAATTACTTACCAACGAACCCAATCAGTGCACGCGCTCGAACACCAAAGTAGTAAGTCTCGAAGTCTTTGTTCACATGTCAACAATGGAAAAATACGTTTTTTATAGTTGTTGAAAACTTACTTCCTTCGTATTGATTGAAATAGGAAGCCCAGAAGACAGGAAGAAGCAACATGATCTGAAGATAGCACGTCAGTGACTGCGATTGATACCGAAGCATTGCAACCTACATCTTTTCGGTGAGAAAGCTTCCAGAGCTCTAGCATCTCGGCCCGCCATGAGTCTTGAATAACAATCTTGACTTTACTTCCATCACTTCGCTGGACGTTTTCGGGCCGGGTGAGGAAGATTGCAAGCGGAACGGCAAGGCACTGTAGGGCAACGAAGATAAGATAAGTTTCTGTTTTTCAGTCAGCAACAAGCTCGTTCTGAAAAAGCAGCGAGAGGTATACCTGATCCGACCTTTCCTTTACTCTTCGAGCTCGCTGAGCTGCTTTGGTGTAAGCAATCACTTTTGATCATGAGTTGATGGATTCTTACTGATTTAGCCCAAGCACAATAGCACTTCCCAATAGAGGACCGCCAGTCCTGAACCAAAGCCAGATGCTAACGCTAGTCAATACCGATGTTGCAGGATCGTTTACCATGTATAGACTCACTTCATATACTGACCCCGTTTAGCAGGTTCGGGGTAGCCAAGTGCCACTGCACCCTCCGATGCCCAGAAAAGACCAGCTCTGTGATTGAAAGTCAGTCTCTGGTTTGATTAGAATTTTCGTTGAACTCACGATAAGCCACATGCGATGGCACCGACTAGCACGAACCACTCATTTCCCTGAAAAATAATCAATGACTGTCACGTAAAATGGACACCGGCGATGAGTATTCACAAAGCGATTATTTGTATATAGCGCAGCTCTGGAACATAAATTAATAAATAGAAATTGTCTGGACAGCATATAAAAACCCACGAGTAGACCGGATAACCGACTGCGCCAAGCAGAAGAGTCCAATTCATGCCAATGCGGTTCGCGATCGGGCCACCGAATAGGCATAGAAAACCCACTGTTTGATGTGCTTGTCAGGGAATTTTTTCATCTATCAACAAATTGATTTGACATACTCAGACTAAAGACAAGAGCATTGGCAGCATTGATCAGATATGGTGATTCTGCACCACCCGCGCCCAACGAGTTCATGGCATTCCATAACCCTGGGGCCATGAAGCCAACGCCACCAATAATGAAGGCATTGAAAAGCGTTGTACGATACCATATGCGCTTCATTCCTCGGGTAGATCCGTCGTCGGATGATCCCAGTGTTGGCTTTGAATCGGTCATACTATTTGCAACGACTTTTAAATCTCAAGACTTGGCGGGAGGCTGACTTTGCTGTTTACTACAAAATGCTAGATACAATTTTTGTGGATTTTACGGTTTCTATATGCTGAAGCATCAACATAAGCTCATCTATGAGCAAAATTGCGTGCTAGAGAAAAGCAAAGATCTCACTGTGTGCCAATGCATGTCACCATCAATAACCGACTCCACTATGGACCCGCAACTTGGAGGATAACCAATCTTCTCGTGAACTAAAAGCACGGCGTCTTGCCAAGTTGTTCGTCAATTTCCTTTCGAAGTTTAGTGTTCGGTCTGTGCCGCGTTCCTTCGGTTTAATAGATCTAGGCTTCAATTTTTAGCAGGGGTAGGGGTCTGCGGGAGGCAAGTCGTAGCCGACTTTTTGTGGATCAAGTTGCTGCGACCCTAGACGCGCGATATTATTATTCTCCTCTTCCCTGTTACCCTCAACCGCTAGTATTTCTTTGTCCCCTACTTCACCTTCTATGTCTATAGCGGCAGAATCCAGTACTAGAACTATCCTAGGGGCCCTGTATCTATTATAAACTATACAATCTTAGTTCTAGTGAGCGAGCTTTTCAATAGACTATCTAACGTAGATAGATGCCTGCCTTTCCATGGTCATTCCCATTTAGGAATGAGAATCACATTTTGGGAAGCATTCTGGATTTCTGGAGTCGCTGGTATCCAGCAGATTATCAATGCTTTAAGGTCGGGATCTTCGACCACAAAATTTCATTTTGTGGTGACTCGCCTTCTTATGGTAAATAATCTCCCTAGGCCACATCCCTTCTTATACTGAGCAACAAGATGATGCTGTCACATATAGAGACAGCTGAGAATGTCTTGTGGGCAATAAGCGATCAATTCCTCGTTATTTTGAAGACATCTGAAATACTTTGTTTATCTAACTTCCTTGTTTTTCTACTATTAGGTTTTATTGACCCTTCAAACTGAGGGCCATCGAAAGATACCCATCACCAACGGGCTGGTCAAAGTAGGTGAAATATGGGAATAAGAGCAGCTGAGTTGAGAAAGAGAGAGGAATAATAGTGAAAGCCGTGAGATAACATGATTAAGATACAGTTTTGGGGGGTACTTTCGGTCCCAGTTTGTGCTTATTTTTTCTATAGGAGCTCCCAGATAGTGGTTCCGAGAAGAGTGGATGCAGGGGCAAGAAGGTAGGGTGTATTGGGGGGTTTCATAGAAAACTATCTTACATGTAATGAAGTGTTGCTTTGGAATTAAGGAGATAGAATTTGCCGTATTATCAGTCTACGTCCATGTTTGTGACTCTCTTTTCCGCTTCATCCTCGGATACCCATTCATGTAGAAGGCCCAATTTCTGCTGTGGAAATGCCGTCTCCTCCATGCTCGCGCACCGATTGCTTACTCTAATTGGCCCGTAGTCGATCCAACAGTTCTGCACCCACATCTCCATCGTCATGGCCCTCCTCGCTAGCGGTGAATATATATGACGGTCGCTGCTATCAATGTGGCAGTCTACATCTTCTGCATCCTCTTCTACTCCAAGGGCAAGGAAATCAGGCTCTGGCTACAACGCAAAACCTTGCTTGAGTATTTGGGACTTCTGTGATACCAACATTACAACAAAATTTGGTGCATTCTGATCCGGTTTACGACAAGAACCGTGAGATCAGTATCGATAATCACTAGATAACTGAGACCACTTCTTTAAGGTTTATCAAGAACTCTTCTATTTTATCCCTGGCCAGGCCGCCTTCTATGTATGTAACATCCTCAGGGCCCAGCGTTATTTGGACTTCAGAGTGGAGTGAGCCGTGGTTTGGTTTTCACCGACCAGAGGGCAAAAGACTGAGACCCACAATATTGGCGATTTCTTATGCGTAAAGCTCATCAGGTCATCAGGTCGTCAGGGCAACCACTGAATGACCTGATGAGCTATATACCCTGATTTCTTCCAAATTGGGAATCGCCATGTTGAGAAGTTATCCCTGGGTATGTATTGCAATTCTACCAGATACCATTCCGTTGACTGGCCTTCGAATGAGAAACATTCAAAGTTCAAACGAGGGAGACCCACCTTGATGATTCGGTGGAGTCGCGTCTTTTTTCAGCTCCGGGAACGCCGTCCCCAAAAGCCTAGTCAATCATGAACTCGTGGTAGAGGGGCCGCAAATGATGGGGCAATAGATGTGAAAAAGTCCTAGTGAGGTATCTTCTTGTGAATCTGATCTATGTGACAAGCTAATATTCCTTATGGCGGGGTCTGAAAGGGGGTTGATGGTTCAGGGTTTCTTCGGGCCTTTCATCGCCCCCTTTCAGGCTAGTGAAGATTATGGAACTTCCCCTATCAGAAGAACGTCCGGCCACCCCACAAAACAAGTTTTCTTTAAAAGATTTTTGGCATTCAAGTCCTTAAAACATATTTGCAGATTTTGAAAGCTTGCTTTGGTCTTCGTATTGATTTTCATAATCACATCCTTTGACCGAGACATTATGTACTTCCCAAGGACGAAGAATGAATGGTGGTTCTCCGGGACAATAACTTTACAGGCGGCTTTGATTGTTATTCTTGAAGTGTGAGTTCTTCACACCTTTAGGTTCGGTAGTTTTGATCTTCTGACCTTGAACAGCTACATCCTGACACAATGGCAATCGTGGACTCTTCCCCATGCAACACAGGTCCAGATTTCCTACATTGTGCCCGTTAGTTTAGCATTGCTCATATTTGCCTGCATCTACGCCGCTATTCTTTCGTTAGATGGTATTCACTGCAAGAATAATATCTTGCTCTTTGCACTTTGCGGTTGCAATGTCTTGATTTTGATTTTCTCTGCCATGCAATATGGGCAACTCAGAGATGCGGTCAACAACCTGCCTCTCCAGCGCGATTCCCATTTGAACCCGCTCGTGAAACTGGACATGAATATCTGGTCTTATATTCAGCCTGCACAGCTCGCGGCTATCATTTTCATTGGCCTTTGCAGTCCCATCACATGGGTCGCTGCGTATTATCTACACAAAGAATATGCATGGGCTCTATACAGACAACTACATGGTGACTCAAGTTTTAAAATCCGCTATCTTGCATACGAGGTGAGCTTCCATCTATAATGAATCTGATATCGACTAACTCAATTTAGATTTTCCTCGTTCTCATCAAACTCGATTTCTTCTTTTTGGTCGGGTTCATCGTCCAATATGACCTAGTCGATGTTCACTTTGAAGAGCCGGAGTATTCTCTCACCTTGGCTCTGATACCAGTTTCCTTCATTATCATGTTGATGGGGATCTGGACCGTTCGTTCAGAATGGAAGATTGCCACGTTTAGCGTCATTGTAAGGAACTTCTTCTACTTGGTAAGACCATCACTAAATCTTTGCAATTAGGTTTGCCTCATTTTGTTGATGGCATATTTGCTAAGCCGGATCATCATTCTCTGCGGGCACACATCCCGCGCGAATACTGCCGGGAAGGACACGATGTTGCTACTGGCCATTACGTCGTTGGTCCTCACATTCTTTACCGTCATTTGCGTCATTCAATGTTTCTTCAACTTCGGTCATGGGCTGGAGTCAATTATCGGCAATAAGAAGCAGCCGTCACGGGATTACGGTTACGATTCCCAAACCATATCAAGTTCTATGGATGGTCATTCGCTTGAATTTTCGAAGCCAAACGCTCGGTTGTCAATTGAATAAAGCATATTGACACCGAAATGTGACAACGACCAAAAGTGTACGTAATGAAAGATGACTTAATATAGCTACAGCGTTACTTTCATCACTACACTCATGATAATTCTTTCTTGCAACATCTCTGGCTTAGACTTGTACAATTAAACCATTAGACAATTTACTTTCATGCGTGTTTCCTCCGTCAAATCTTCCTTTGTGCACCATCTCATCATTTACTGCTCCCCCAACATCGCTTTCTTCCCAGTGGTTCTCAGAAATTCTTTCTCCATATGCTCCCATATCTTCTCATCTATTCCATCTCGTCTGAGAGTGTTCAAAACCCTCTGCACATCTGCATCACCACTCTCACAATTCTCATCCACGATGTAGACACCACTTCCAACAGCTCCATCACTACCAACAGCAATCTCCACCACATCTAGCAGTGTAGAGTTATTCTGTAATGACAAAATCTTTGGCTTCTTCGATGAAAACCTCGCACTTGTCGCCAGATAAACATGTCTTTCACCCGTCTCATCGAGAGAAACATACTCTCTCGTAGAGAAAAGACTTGTAACCCGAAACACAGATTTCATAACAGCTCCTAAGACCCCCTTCATCGATTGTGAAAGGGGCGTGTCCACGAAACCGGGGTAATCATGTACAAAGCTTACTTCAGGAGCCAGTTTTGCAAAATGTTCGAGCGTCAGTGTGATCATCGAACAAAGATGACCACGCGCTCTCCAGGGTAGGACCCTCTTTGCTGGTATATCGTTGGTGTTCACAGGTCCTTCTTTAGTTCCTGCAAGAACGATCACCACTCGACTTATTGATGAGTGTTGGAGCATTGGAAGTAAATTGGCGATGAAGCGCATGCGAGAGTAGTAACCGAGAGCCATGACGAGAGACAATTTCTCAGTTGTTTCTGTGCAGCAATTAATTATCTGCAAAATGTCCTTGATTCACAGTGCGTCTCCAAAAATGTACCTGTGCTTATGTCTAGAGTGCCTTGGCTCTGGAACAGAATATCGATCCGTATCTCCTTCTCGCGGATCTTCGAGCAGACTTCGTCGACGACATTAAGCAGACTCACATCGGCTTTGATGAACTCGTACCGGCCATCCATATTGATACCCTCAAGCTGCTTTAGGATATCATCGGCGGCTTGCTGCGAGCGACCGATAAAATAGATTCGCGGTTGTCGGGTGTGCTGCGCAAAGTGAAAAAGAGACGCTTTACCAATTCCGCTGGTCGCACCAACGAAAACAGCCACTATGTCCGGTTGTAGCGTCTTTGGAATGGCCTCATTCGATGAATGGACCTCTGATAGAGCAACCATGGTGAATCGGATATGCAGTAGTCGACGGATCGGAGAAGAGTTGGTAGCTATAGCTTCAAACACTCGCAATTCTTGCAAATGGCATACGTGGCATGCTATACGCGATAAGGAAGAGGAGAAAGAGATGTCAGACTGCCACCTTTCTCTAGCAAGTCCAATAGCACACACTAAGGATTCGAAGTTCCGCTGCGTGGATTACTCATCACCCATATCGGTCGACTCGACAGACTGATCGGGCTTTATTGAGGAGGATAGCCCGATACAGACTAGTGTGATTCTAACGGCAGGGCGAGAACAATGTCTACGAGGGAACTGGCTTCGAGACACCAATGATGAGGATAGGAACAGCAGGGTGTGTCTTCATCTCCATCTTGCGGCTGGGTAAAATCTTCCAAGTTTGAGAGCTCATCTCAAGTCAGTGGTTGGATTGCAAACCTCCTTGCCAACCGGAATTCGGGTATCAGAATCCCCGAACTGCGTACACCTGTTTACTTTCCGGCAGAATCCCAAGAGATACGGGGTCTTTGTCTTTAATAGTATCGTGACGCCGAGGCTCAATTTGAGGCTACATCAAGTAAACAAGTTCCAAAGATCAAGTATGTTTCATGATAATTAAGTAAAGATAATAATGATGAGGTATCGTGACGCCGAGACTCGATGAACCGTAGCGAACGTAAAAGAAAGGTGCATTTTAACATACATGACGGCAACAAAAACACCATATATTGCTGTCACGGATAATACAATCCAGTCACAATTTTGTGATCTACAAAGCGAGAGCAAGGCCCAGGATGCCCGCAGCGCCGGCAAGGCTCATGGCAATACCGCCAGTAGCAGCAGGGGAACCAGCAGTAGAGGTGGAAGAGCCACCAGTAGTAGAAGCGGAAGCAGAGTCGGAGGAGCTGCTGTCAGAGTTGGAAGTGGAAGTGGAAGTGGATGAGGTAGTAGTGGTAGTGATGGTGGAAGTAACCATGGAGCTCGAGCCAGAGGATCCAGTGAGAGGAGTAGACGATCCACTTGTGCTGCTGGCGGTGCTAGAACCCATGGAGCCGGTGATGGAGCCCATGGTGGGCATGGAGCTTCCGTAGAGGCTAGACATCTCCGAGGCCTCGGCCATAGCAGCGGAAGTCTCCCAGTCCTTGACACTCTCGGGGAGGCTGCTGTACCATGCGGGATAGGTGCCCTCTGCGATCTTGCTGTACTCGGCGGAAGCGTAGGCCGCGTCGGTCTCCATGCTCATGAGCCAGGAAGTTGGGATAGCGGTTGACAAAACAGCCAGAATGGAGCTGGGAGGGACGGGGACATCGATGAAGTCGTCACTCGACCCGTCGTCACTGTAGAAGTCATCGCTGCTAGAGCCGGAGCTGGACTCAGTAGTCTGAGCAACAGCCGCGGTAGCGAAAAGGAGAGCAGCGAGAGTCTTGTACTGCATGATGGTGGTATTGAGATTGTATAGAATAGATTCTCAAAAGGGCCGTGTCAAAGCTGTGACAGTAAAGAGGATGAAGAATTTAGAGAATCCAAAAAAATCACTGGGGGCAAAGAGTCATTAAATAGCAAGGCAGCAGCTATGGCGCCTAAAATAACCCCAAACCTCGTGAGGCTCTGGTTTTTCTCAGGGCAGGGTCCAGTGGAGACGGGCTGAGTCCGAGACGTTCTTTCGCTTTCCTTTTCACGCTATGCGCCCTAGCTCCACTCCAAGGCCAATCACTGTTCGTCCGCCCCCAAGGCCGAGAGTTAAAGAGAGTTTGAGGGTCGCAAAAAGAGAGGGAAAGCGCCCCTTTGGTCCCTGCGCCCCATTTTCACGATGAGCTCCGTCGCCACATCCACCGGCTTGATCCGAACGAGTTAGCTTGCTAAAACGTGCCTAAAATATCCATAGGTTCCGACTCATGGCTCAGGATGCCTTTTCTCTAAAGCTAAGAGGTTTCTATCTTATTTCAGGCACGTTGGCAGCGAACACGAAATGGTACCGTCGGGATTCGGCAATAATGTCCGCGCACGTAAACTTTCAGTTACCATAATTTTGCCCCCAACCTTGAATTACCCACCCTGGAAGATATCCCATTGGAGTTCAGACTTATGGTGTTTGTTGTTCATGACATCACGTCTGGAGTACCGGTCCGAGAGTTCCCCAAATAAGATTCTGCCTGGTCACCGTGAGATGCTAAGGACTGGCCCAAGTTCCCACGTCTTCTCATTCACGATTCGCCAGACCCCACCATCAAACCTGCACTGGGCTGAAATGTCCTCGCTTTGTTCTCCAAGTTCTTTGTCTGTGACGCCCCGCTGTCGATCGGATGGTAATACCGCTGCCTTTAGCTTCAGACTGGGGCAAGCTTGGGGTAAATCATGTAACACTGCTATGGCGGTCAATTTTCGTAATGCAAACCCCTCCCCGCACTGTATATCGCAACTCTCTACCATAAAGACATGACGTGGACCCTCTCTATGTCTCTTGGCAAGCTTGATTTCGAGGATAACTCTCCCCATCCTTCACAAACTGACCCCAGATGGGCTTACGTGGCCCCGCCTCGTCTGACACCGTCGACCGCACTGCCTGCATCGATACGAGTGCTGCGGCAGTCATGAATAACACGAGCGCCAGAAATAGTATTTTTGCCGATGCGACGTCGAAGAAGCGAGTGATTTTTTTCGGTGGCTTAGTGTTTGGGTTGTATAATAGCGATATGTCCTGCATGCTGTGCTTGTCGCTCAAGTGCTTGGAAAAGCTTCTATGAAAAGACGTATGCATGTTGAGGGTGGACTATGCAGGGAGGAAATTTTACTGATGTTCCTCGTTTTCCTCTCTCCAGATAACATATGCCTCGTGTCGTGACATGCATATTCATGGGGCATGGAAACAAGCTTCGGAAGCAGTCGAATTCTCAACTATTGCCCAATAAATATACCAAGCCGAAGAATTATTTGCGTACATCACTGTTCATCAAGTGCCTCTATTTGCGATATCCATAATGCCAATCTGACGTCGCCATATCCTCACGAATCTTGTAAACATCCTCAGCCTCCTCCAGTATATTCATATCGACTTCCACAATCTTCATACCCTCCTCAGCATCTTTGAACCTCTCAATGCGTCCTAAAAATGGCATTGCCACCTGAGAAAGACCAGCGTATCCACCATCTATCGGCCCCGCAACATTGCAAAACACTACTGCTGCAGTATTCTCAAAAGCCCGACTTACAACAGCCGCATCAACAAAATCGCCTTCAGACTTAGGATTGCGCTTCATTCCCACTTCACCCGCATCGCTATACTTCCAGAATGCAGGAATAATAATCATCTTTGCTCCTTGTGCAATGAGCTCTCTGAAAGCTTCAGGGAATGCCAAGTCCCAGCAGATCAGGAGTCCGACTTTGCCTAGCGGCGTATCGAAAGCGATATGGCGAGTTTCGTTTTTCGATCCCTTGACATAGCCACGTTCTGAGTGCCAGAGATTCTTTTTCTCGTATTTTCCACAGACCGCGCCCGTGTTGTCGATGAAGTAAGCAGCGTTGACAATGCTATCGTCGTCGTGTAATTCGCCCAGGGATCCTGGGACGACGCAAATATTGAGCTCTTTGGCTATTGCGCAGTATGCGTCGAGATATCTCTTCCAATTTGCGCATTTTTGCCTGATTGAGGGGTCGTAGCTGGGAGAGAAGTCTGCGAGATGATACTCTGGAAGAACGGCCAACTGTGCGCCTGAGGCTGCTGCTTCTCTGATGAAGGATAATGCCCGTTGGTGATTGGATTCAATCTCGTTTTTCTTGATGTTAATGTGTCAACTTTCGAAAATAAAGAAGACTAAGCTGGGATATGGAGCACGCACTTTGGGGTGAAGTTGGATGACAGCGATCACGGTTGTCTTCATTGTGAAAGTTCGAGAGCAAAAGTAAGCACTTGAGGCGTTGCAGGTTTTTTATTATCGATAATTAAGTGATAGTCAGGTAAAGGCTTGAATCGATAAGTACCAGGATGTTCAACTTATATTTTATCGGAAATCGGAATGGTCAATAGAGCCAGTGTTACTCTGCCTTCCCCGCACGTACTGGACCTTCCTCAAAGAGAAATGCCTCTATCGCTTGCCTATTCTTTATCTCGGAAGCCTAGCCAATGTCAGTCAAGCACAGGCTGTTTGATTTACTGCTATAGCGCTTAGATTGCCCCGCTGCGATGCTTCTAGACCCAATAAGGGTCGGCGGGTGTCCGCGGGCTCCGAGAGCGATATCGACACTATTGATACAAGAAGCGGGTGTCTCCAAATTTGTCTCCAAATCCCTAATTTTGGAGCATTGAACAATGAACATGAGGATTTTCTTTATAAAAAAATAAAATGCCTAATTAGGACTAAATATTCCCTTTCAACTAATATTAGACCGTTTGAAGCCAACATCAAAAGGCTTTCTGAGCACTGAAGTGCCGATACCTGCCTGCACACTTCACTCGGAAAGCCTTCCCATAATAAATGAAAACAATATTTCCAAGCATGATCACTCCCACAATCAAGCCGAATGTCACATAAAACCACGTCAAGCCAACACGGTCGCACCATGGCGAAAGGGCAAAAACAAACATGGTAGAAATGAGATTACGAATAAAAGTGACGCCGACAATCGAGTCCGCGATGATCTGATAAACCCCAGATTAGTGGCACACTCTCAAAAGAAATTTCAAGACGGAAGAAGCTTACATCAGTGTACGAGTCGGTAAGATAAGTCAGTGCAGCACTGCTAGCTGGAACGACTCCAAATGCGCTGATTCCAAGCCCAAATGCCGGAAGAAGCCAGTGCGATCCATTGTTCAGACCGATTCCAAACATGAAAAGGCCTGCTGGGACAAATGGAGTGAATGCTAGGCATAGCCAAAGGCGCATCTCCGGTTCAAAGATGCCTCCGTTTCTTTTCGCAAGGTAGAGGCCAATTTTGTCACTCAAGGGTCCACAGATGAGGGTAGCAAGGCTAGTTCCAATGAATGGAGGAAGGCCCATGAGCCCAATTTGAGCAGATCCGAAGTTATAGGGCGGTAGTGTCATGACAGAAGATAGTGTGGTCACGGGGACTGTTGTGCACGCAGTCATGATACCGTACTCGAGCGCCATATAGAAGACGGCGGGAATGCTGAACATAATTTGGAATGGATGGTAGCTGTGTTTGACTAGTTGCCCGAGTGGTAGGGGTGAGTTCGACCATAGTGCCAGTTTCTTCAACTTGCTTTTCTTGGGAATGGAGTAGTCAATCTGGACTGCTTCAGGTTGATGTCCATCGTGGATGTTATCAATGACTTTCGGGGGTAGTGCTTCGGAGTCATGCTTGTCGCAGTTGGAAGCTGGAGCCAACTTGTCTTGGACAGCAACACCATCAATGGCTTCGGCGTAGAACATAGTTTCTTCGTAAAAGAAAAACAGAACGACCAGGCCGACTCCAAAAAGAATGGCCATCCACCACCACACCCACCTCCAACCTTGAGACAGAGTAATGTAACCGCCAGCCAGCGGTGATAGAGTAGTTCCGAATGTCATGAACCAGAAATAGATAGTATTCATCATACCACGCTCATGAACAAAGTAGACATCTGCCACAGTCATCTGAGCCAAAACTTCTGCCAAGGCTCCAACAATACAGCTCAGAATATTGACCAGCATCAGATCTGCGATATTTTGCATCCTCGCAGACCAGACGCTGATTCCAAGCTGAGCGGCAGTGCTGAGAACATACACTGGTCGTCTTCCGAATTTGAGGGCAAAGGGTACGAGAATCACAGCGCCGATGCATAGTGATCCGCAGCCGGCGGCATAACTGTCATTTAGTATGGCGAAGCTGAAGCCCAATTCTGCATTCACTGGGCCCCAGGTGACTGTTGCGACGTCGATGCTGAGATTATTAGTAAGGTCTTTTCAGTTTCGAAGAGCACCTGTATACTCACAATGCCAGAACCATCACAACGTAATAAGAAACGAATCCAAAATTCAGGTGCTTCCTCCATTGTGGCCAGTTCTGACGTTTGGAAATGTTAGCAATATGGAACATAGACGCCGATCAAATTGCTTCCATCACTCACTAATGGGTCGTTTGGATCATTCGTCGGCTTGGGCTCAAGAATCACCTCTGCGGAGTCACCTGAGGGGTTGAGCTCTGTTAAAGCCCTGTCAGTCCGCCGCACAAGTAGTGTTCGAACGATCCCTCACTTACCCTCAAGCCGAACCGTTCCTGGTGGCCAGGAAGGATCTATCGCATCATTATGTGAAGACATTGATTGCATTATCCAACCCCGCTTGTCGAGGACAGTCACACGGAAGAGAAGAATGAAGAAGCTGGGTCGTAAGTTAAGTATGGACCCGGGGCCATTTATGACCCCTGTGATATTCGTTTACCCATGGCCACACAACGATATTCAGTACGTGCCTTATCATCATCGGCCGTCGAAGTTGACGCTCTGTGGCCATTCACGATCGAAGATCAAGCGGCAATGTGGAACGACGCTTTTCTAAAAAGGGAAGTTTGAAGCAACGGCCAATAAAGGGGCTAAATGGAGACAAGCTTATCGTCTTTGTGCCGGCTTTTAACGCGGGGAACTGGCCTTGTGATAAGCCGGAACTGGGGTAATGTGATTTACCTAAGCCTATCGAGCCGATGATCCGTGGTCCTGTCATCGGCAATGGAGCTAGAAGTGCTGGTATATTCCAGAAGACAATTTAGCAATTTAGTCTACTGCATACTACAATTTAGATCGAAATAGCCTCTCTTTAATATCATCTTCATCATAGGTAATTTCACACAATGGAAATAGATGCCGCTTCTTCGATGTTTAGCCATGGGCGTTCTCGATGCCCTCCAGGTTTGAGGTGCACTCGTATTGCCATATCTCAGCCAAGAACGGGTGAAATGAATATCCTCCAAATTGGAGAAACTAGTTTGACCATCATAGCAGGTAACCAATATTATTCCATACAAGGACATCATTGCATAAAGATGGCCTTCTTTATCTCTCATGGCAGCATCAAGACCCACTCTTCGCTGAAAATCGACCAATTGCGTCAAATTGCGCCGCCAAGCCACTGCCACATCGGCTAATGGACCTTGGTCAATCAGCACGGAATGGCCCGGTCTGCATCTACGATAATGCTGCTCAATCTTCGTCGGCAGATAGCCAAGATCATTCCGCAGGTCTCCTAGCTCATGATTGTGGTGATAATTCAGGTCTACTTTATCCTCACGTGCCATTTCGACCCCAGGCCTCAACTGGTCACAATAGGAAAGTCCTCCCGAATACCCCACGTTCTCATCCCTCTTTAAATATCCTCACAAATCACCGAATCGTTCTTCACTCCTCGTACGATCAAAAACATTCCCTAATTTGATTATGACATCCGTTTTCCGTAACGGCCGGGTCTTCGTCCCGGCGTCATCGGCCATTCCCGGCGATAACTTCGCCGATTGTATGATCATCAAGAATGACCACATTGCCTATGTCGGTCCTGAGACTGAGATCCCGGAAGGTGCCACAGTCATTGATTTGAACAACCGTATTGTGGTTCCTGGATTCGTCGATGGCCACGTGCACATTTTGCAACACGGCCAGTCCCTCCGCAAAGCGAACCTCATTGAATGCACATCACTCGAGCAGATCCGAGAAGTGATCAAGGCATATGCCGCGGAACATTCCTCTGCACCCCGACTTCTCTGCAGAGGATGGATTCAATCGTCTACCAGCGGAATTGCTTTGGCCAGCATGATCGACGATCTTGATCCGCGACCCATCTACATTGACTCCTTTGACCTACACTCAATGTGGTGCAACCAAGCCGCTCTCGATGAGATGGGTGCTGCGACTTGGGCTGATCTCGCAGGTGGAACTATCCACCGCGATGAAGCCGGGAAGCCATCGGGCCTCCTGGATGAATCCGCTGTCATCAACAATGCATGGCCTTTCTTGGACAGTCTCTACTCGACAGAAGACAAATTGAGCGCCTTTGACATCGCCGTCAACGGTTACAAGGCCGCCGGATATACCGGACTGATCGACATGGCCATGGACGACAGCACATGGGAGGTGCTGAACATGTATCGCCGCGACAAAGGAATTCCATTCCACGTCGGAGTCCACTGGCTCGTCCCATACTCGGAGGACCAACAAGCCAACCTCCGGTACGTCGACCGAGCCATCGAGCTGAAGAAGCAATACACAGACCCGACTTTCACAGTTGTCGGAATCAAACTTATTTGCGACGGCGTCGTCGACGGCTGCACCGCAGCTCTAATGCAACCATACTGCGGAAAATCCTCGCTAGTCGACCCAATCTGGCCCGAGGACAAACTGAGAGAAGTGGTCGAATACGCCGATAAAGCTGGTCTCCAATGCGCCATTCATGCCATCGGCGATTTAGCAGTGCACCAAGCAATTGACGTTCTATCACAAGTCGGCACACCCGGCCGCCGGCACAGAATTGAGCACCTCGAAATGACCACCTCCGAAGACGCGAAGCGACTAGGACAACTAGGAATCACCGCCTCCATCCAACCAGTCCACTCTGACCCAATGCTCTTCAAGGCATGGCCTACTCTAGTCGGCGAGCACCGCTGCAAGCGTGCGTTCGCTTACAAGGAGTTCTTAGACGGAGGCGCTCCTCTTGCCATTGGAACGGACGCTCCTACTGCGCGCCACCTCCCTTTCCCTAATCTTTACAATGCGACTACTAGGCGCTCGGCGCTTGAGCCGGAAATGACCAATACTCTTAATGCCCAATTTGCGATGAGTTTGGCGCAGGCTGCTACTGCTGCTTCTAATGGCTCCGCTTATGCGCGATTTGCTGAATCTTGGACGGGAAGCTTGAAGGAGGGGTTGAGTGCGGACTTTTTGGTGGTTGATATGGATTGGTCACCGGAGAAGTTACTTGAGGCAAAGGTTTGCCAGACCTGGTACCGGGGCAACAAGGTCTTTGATTCCGCTGCTGAGGCTTCATAGTTGGTGTGTTTGTGAATGTATAGAAAGGCGCTGGTATTGTACATTTAGAGAGATACTGAGTAGCGACGACGATTTTGGGACCCTTTTCACAAACTTTATTCAAAGTTGTTTTTTCTAATACATCTTGTAGTGGTGAAGCGGTGACATGGTACATAGTGTTTCTAAGGTGTCTTACATGCCTTGGTCTGTCTGCATTCTTCTCTCCTACAAGGAGGAACACACGAGAGAACAACTATTCGGAATATGACTGCACTTTTCGGTTTATTTGCCTCATGATTTAGCTTCAAGGATAAAGCGATACCCACCTACAGAGTATGTCCCCTACATCTCCCTGAGACCTTGGGAGTGTGTATGTGTGTGTTGCTGGCGCCCAGTCTGTATTGCCAGACAGCCATCGAGCCATCCCCTTTTAAATATCTGAATCATAATGGAGCATTATGAAATACACCACAACCTTAATCGACGGTAATTCGAGCGTCAAAAACGGCAGGTTTCGACGCTATGTAAAGCAACCAATCCTCTTTATCAAAATCTAAGTTTTATGTATTCGGCCCACTTTTACCACTTGCTTTCGCAGGGATTCGCTCACACTTTACCAACGCCACTCAAGGCAGACAATCAGAAAGTTTGTTATGCCCTATTACCAACTTGTTCCAATTATAGCCGCTTGTTGCGCAAATACAAAGGTTAATTAGCCACTCCAAGTCATGTTCGATTAATTACTTCGACCAATAACCTGTCAAACAGTCAGATGTGTCTTTCCAAAATTGAGGTCTCCGGCACCTTCGAAGACGCAGCCAGGATTTGCGCCAAGGCCAAGTACCGGGGCCCTCATCTTACTACTGTATGTAGTCCGCCTCGGCACGTCATGATTGGTGGAGTTGTCAATGTCTCAGGTAGGCCAAGATCGACTACCTTAAGCGATGCGACTTTGCTCCACCAAAGCTAACCGCCATAATCTCCTCGCAGGTCAATGGCCCTATCCATATAGCTCATTGGGCAATCAGTCGCCGATGCTGATAGGGCTGAGCACCAGGTGATTTCGAAGACCCCCTAATTCCAGACTTGGCAGAGCCTCAAAAATGAGAGTCCAAATTATCTTTTGTTCTTTCTATCCTCTCTGAACTCTTAGACACACACGAAGATGATCCCTCCCTTAGTGTATTTCTGGGTCCCAATCTGGATATTGATCCTGTCCAGTTCGGGCTTTGCAAAAGAAGACCCCGAGTACGATCCTGCGTCGAACTTTCGCCCGAACAATGTGACAGATCTCAGTGGTCTCTACAAATGGGTTGGATCGTATGTAACAGCCAAGTCATCCTTGTGTACGGACCTGACGCATGACAGTTATTATAATGCGACACTCGAGATCGAACTCACTCCGATGGTGGGCAGGACCGCGAATGATTCCGTCTGCCCAAGTAATAGGAATCTCACTACTATTACGAGATGGGATTCAATTCTGTTCATTACTGAACGTGGAACTTACAACTCAGGATCCAATCCAGTCAACCTGTGGCTAGCCATCGTGCCATCGAACTACAATATCTCTTCTGTGAATATGGTGTATGGTCAGGAGCTTTTGATATCAACACCACTTAAGTGGCCTTTACATTCCTCAACGTGAGATTGACTAAGGCCTGATAAACATTTGGACGATGCTGACCCCTTAGGCCGGCCTGGAATAACCGGACTGTTGAGCATGACACCTTCGATATGACGGCTACCAAGAACTCAAATAAGTCATTTTCCCTTTCAGGATCAGACTTCGATCAGTACGAGACCGCTTCATGGCCAATATACAACGTATCGATGCCCGCCTGTAATTCCTCTGTGGATACTGGGGACTGGAGAGTCCGTCTGTGGGAAGGACCCTGGTGGAACACAGAGGGGTGGGATGCTTTCAGTTATCCCGAATTCCGTGCTAACTTTGATGGCAAACATGCCAACTTGACGCTTGACGGGTCATACTTTGCGAATTCGATCGTGAAAAATGGAATTTCTCCTGCTGCGGATCCGGGTAGCATAATGGGACGGATTCAGATGCGATTCAGTGGGATTTTGGATGCATATCACTCGGATGTCCTGGACGTCAACTCGTCAACCCCGACATGGCTTCGCACAGTTGGGTTCGGGAATAATTCCTTAAACATTGCGAATGACTCTAAGGGTACCAGCCTGTCAAAACCACACCAGTGGATACTTCTTCCTTTCCTTTTTGTTCTGGCTTTCATGCTTTACTAGACGAAAATGTTAAAGACTCAAATGCAAATCACTATCATCTTCCTTCTTGCAGTAAACTAACTCGTCCTGTGCTCTGGGATCCGATCAATTCCCGATATGCTATTTTTACCGTCACATAGAGTAGACTTGCTAGAAAATTAAGCGTAATTAAGCTATTTAGATCCCCGAGAATAAAAGTATCACGGGACGGGTGGAGCATCACTCTGACATCACGAGTCAACTTCTCTCCGCGGGGCAAAGAACAGTCCGATTTACACATATTTTATTCAATTTCGTTCTGTAGAAAATACAATTCATCACCTCCATTTGTTCTCACGATCAAATTATGGACATTTCATAGCTGAATTCGCAAGTTTGCATTTGCACATCATCAAGCAGCCGCGACGGTTGTACATGTACATCCATAGATGGATTTGCTTTCGAATTTCAATTTAATCTTCCGGTCGGCGGGGCTCATACTGGGTGGCATGGTCGAGATAGTTCTCTGAGTAAACGGGGCCTTTAAAGTCTCGTGTTAGTCGTTGCTCTCAAGACAGGCTATAAGGATCGGCCACGAGGCAAGTCAAAGATAAGGGTAGCGAAAACCTACCTCGCACTGGGTTTTGCGCGTTACTGTGTTCTGTAGAGCTCTGGAGGTCTTCTAAAGCATGTTCATGGGCTAGCTCAGCGCACATGGCTTCGGGGGCGCTGAATGATGGTGCGAGTCAGAAAAGACCTATGAAATGAGAGTATGGTAGATGCGCATTGACTGACGGAGCCACATTTCGATCCATGATGATTTCCAAGTCGCTCATCTTGCGAGTTTGTGTTCCCTTGTCGTTGTTTCCATCGAGTGAGTTGCGCTTTTGCAAGATGCTGGGATCAAGAGGATTGTTGTCGATGTTCGAGCCGACCATCTTGGGCGATTTATTGTGAGAGGATTGAGATACAAGTAAGAGTTAGTGAAGTAGCTCAAAGCTATTGTGTTCAGTGAATTTTATAGTGCTGGATTCTTGAAAGATAGAAAAAGCTGAGGGAGAGTGTGGTACTTTAACTCATGATCAAGTGCGGGGAGCCTGGAACATGGGAACGTATGTGGCAAAGCTATGATATAACCACTGGATTGTGTGACCTATGAGGCAACTTTGCGTTTCTTATCTTTATTTTCGCTAATAATAGACAACAGATTCCTTTCTAAATAACAGTTCATTTGTGAAGGAGTGATCTCGATGCCTTTTTGCTGTCGCTATCTCATTTGCGACACTTTAACGATCTAAGTCCATGATGTAATGCCTGTAATCGGCTTCTTGCCATGAGAAAATTGCCATGAGAAAATATGGCAAAAGCTCCAAATATATATGAGAAATATTAGTATATTTTGTAGTTTGTTCAACATATATTTAATGAAGTCTTAAAGAGCTTCCTTGATATAAGTCCATGGCGGGCCACTGCAGAACCGCGATTTCCGCGCTGTGCGGACGAGTGGAGTTAGGTGAGACAAAAATCTGATTTCATGTTAGTTTTCTTTCAAGTAGAAATCTAGTAATTCCTCGATTCATCGAGATCAATCGATCATAGCTTTGTTGGCTCTCTCCTGGTGCAATAGAGGTGGCTCAGAATGTAGATCGCCTCCGATCTCTGCAGGGTTCAGGTCGCTCATCGATCAAATGGTCTTTTTGAGCCCTTTCAGACGTCAATAAACTTGAAAATGGATTTTCAAATCGGTAGGGAGGTCGGGCGAATTTTCCACTGGCAACGAGGACAGTGTTACGCACTGCATCGGAATATATTTATGTAGGCGGATCTCGGTCAAGAGCTTAGACCTAGGTGCCAGGTCCTCCTGGTGGGCTCCAGCGTACTCGTGCACTATGCCTTGACCTTCCTATAGAATCAGGTACATGCAAGGCCAAGAGGCCTGGGTTCATTCAATTTATGTTCCTCTGGAAGCAGTATTCGCCACGTTCTCGGCAAATTTCAGCACGAGGCCCGGGCTCGCATTGACAGCAACAAGCGCAACATCCAGCAAAGACGGTCTAGAACTCATTCTTGACACCCAAGATCCTCTCAAAGAAGACCAGAACCGGAGAATCCATTACTAAAGGCTACACCCAAGACCACCATAACACACCAGTCAGACGGCAGCAAAGGCCAAGCACATACCAAGATCTGTGCCTCAACGCCTTGGCATCGAAATGCGGAGTAGCGGGGTGCATACAAAAAGACCATTTAGCAAATCGATTCTTCTAAGAAATTTACCCAGGATCGACTAGTCGCGCTGAACCGACGAACCACACAACGACATTATGATGAAGGGCCTTTTCCGGGGCCCATCCGCGCTAGTCCCAAATTGGTCATTATCGTGAGAGAACTGGCAAGGTGGGTTCCTGAACCCAGAAAAGATCCGATGGGGTTGAAATACGTTGAAATGGTGCAAGTGAAAATTTTTCTTTCGTTTGATACTCTCTGTTCTATCTGGATGTGCTGCTCGAAGTGTTGTTGCTCTGGAATTAGGCTGGTGGATCTATATCGGCTGTGAGATCATTGACGGAGAGGACGGGTGACCTCATCTTTTGAATTTGCCGCTGGACAAACAACGGAACTGAAAGATATCACAGACCCTGAGGGGCAGGGTTAGCATTGAGTTGCTTCGTTGAAGCCTTGAGAAGAAATGGTATTCTTGCGAGGCGATGTCTCTGGCGAGCCGGATCAGACAATCAGTATGGAAATTGACATGCAGTGTGTTTAGAGTGAGCCGATGCTAACAACGGACAGACCACCACGAAGCAAGCAGAAATGTCGAAGTTGTCGACTGGGATAGTCCGCGAGACCGTGGAAACCCATACAACTGGCCTCTGCGACAGAAGTGGACGCTCACGATGCTTGCCGTTTTCGCCACCTTCATCACGATGGTGAACGGTACAATCATCACCGTTGCACACGCCGTCATTAACGATGAGTTTGGCATTTCTGATGCCTCTTTCCCCAATTCATATTGGCCTGTCACATCGTGGGCTGTGGGCGGTGCCCTCTCATCATTTCTCATCCTTCCGCTTATGGAGGACTTTGGTGTGCGATATGTATTCCTGGGCACATGGTTGATCTTTATCTGTTTTGTAATTCCTCAGGCCCTGGCACAGAACTTTGCCACGCTGGTAGTTACTCGATTTTTCGCTGGGAGTTGTGTCGCCATTCTGGCCAACACTGCTGCCACGGTCATTGGAAATCTCTGGGACACGGAGCGGAATCGCAATGTGCCCGTCAGCCTGTACATTGTGTTTTATCTGGCCGGTGCCAGTGTCGGTCCCGTCATCGGAGCACCTATCTTCCAGTTTCTGGGATGGAGATGGATCAGCTATCTGCAGTTGATCTGGTTAGGGGCTCTGTTCCCGGTTTATGCCTTCTTATTCAAGGAGTGCCGCGGGATTGCCATCCTCGGACAACGTGCAAAGAAATTGCGGAAGGAAGGACGGATGGCGTACACCCAGCATGAGATTGACAGCGAAGGAACACCACTGTTGACGATAGTGATTCGCAGCTCATCGCGGCCTCTGCTGATGTTTTTCACCGAGTCGGTAGTGTTCTTTTCAGCCTTATGGTCTGCCTTCACCGTTGGCACGCTGTACCTGTTCACGCAATCAGTCGAGCAGGTTTTTGCGGGAATTTATGGCTGGACTCCCGCACAAGCCGGATACGTGCAGGGCGCCATCGTCATCGGGGAATGTGTGGGCTGGGTAGGGACACTATTCTCGGGAAGTCTCTATTTCAATTCTGCATCCCGAAACAAGGAAGTCCCTGACACCCCGATCCCGGAGGCAAGACTGTACCTCGCTATCGTTGGTGGCGTGTTTGGGATCTCGGGAGGAATGTTCACCTACGCTTGGACATCTTACCCCGATCTGCCCTGGATAGCACCTGCTATCGGCCTCGGCATGGTAGGAGCGGGCAGTGTTATCGTTGTAACAGGGATTTCGGATTACGTTGTTGATGCATACAGCAAATACGCCGGCAGCGCAGTTGGGATCATCGTCACCGGAGAGAACACACTCTCGGGATTCCTTCCTCTGGCTGCGATGAGCATGTACTCCACTCTCGGTTTCAACTGGGCCAGCACACTGCTGGCTTTCATTGCATTGGCTCTCTCTCTGGCGCCCATATTGTTAATTGTCTTTGGACAGAAGATCCGGGCAAGAAGCCCGTTCATGAAAGAAGCAATGCTGGAGAAGAGGCGAAAGAGCATCGACTCGGTCTAAGAGGTTACCCCTCCCGCTTGCACATGTGTACATATATTGGTAGATTGATAGTATAATAGAAATGACTCATGAAACAACTCAATCTCTAAAAACAGGACATGGGAGGTTCCTATTTTCGGCATTGCCTCGCCTAAAAACTCCCCCGTGTATCAAGATACAGGATTTCCCCGTGCTCATGTGAAGCCGGATAGAAGAAGGTTCACGGGGCGTAACAGTGGATTCGGATTCCCACAATTTGAAAATCCGGTTCATTGAGGCTCGTACAAATGATTTGAGTTGTTAAGTGTGGATACCCGCGTGCTATATCCGAGACCGAGGTTGACCATGTTTGGGAGTGAACACCTACAGAAACACGCGATCTGAACCTTAATTCATTCGTGATTTCCCATGATTTCGATTTCCACGAGTTCCGCGACTTTCATGACTCGCTTTTACAATCTCATTGTCCGCAATTCGGACCATCAACCCATGCTTACCGAGACCCGAGGTACACTCCGAGCCCACTGAGATTTCAAGAGTGGACCATTCGGTCCATGATTTAATATACTTTCAGACTATGGTGGTGAGCGGAGGCGACGGGCATAAAAACGAGAACCGGGCGGAGCTTTTCCAGAATGCGGTTTAGAACGCTCTTTGCATCCACTAGCTCGGGCCGCCCTGCACTCCCTAACACCACGTTCTCGACGGCTTATCCGCGTTTTTCTTTTTTACCAGAGGGCTCGTATTTAAGTCTGTTGACGGGAATGTGGCCCCATTGTCGATCACGGTGGGAGATCATCTTAACCCGTCGGCTCTGCGAATACGAGTCTCCGGTAATCTTGTAACAACCGCGACACCTAGACAAGAAAAATAGACCAGGATCATCTCTTGACCAGGATTGACGTTGGGCTTTGCATGCTCCGTAGGGCCATCTTCTCGACTTTCCCAATGGAGCGCGGTGCAGCATGGCTACTCTTCCAGCCACAGGAATTCAGAGGACGGAGACATCAAAGGCCCACAGCCTGGACAGGGCAAGGAGATAGAGCTTCTAGATCGTTTCATTGTGGACGATCAAACCAGGCACCATGCATCATGTGCTCCGTGCTCACCCCCTTTACTCCGAATGCTCCAGGGGCGTCGCTTTCGAAACCTAGATCAAGAGTCTATTCCGTGGCCAGTCCACCGGGGCAAACGCATTGCACTGTGCATTTTCCTTGATCTGGTAAGAGAGAACAAGGCAGTTTGCTATTCCGCGAGGCAAGTAAGACACGCCTTGGGGCTAGTTGGGCTAGCTCGTCGACATGATAGTCTGCACAAGTCTGCACAGGACTCAATCAGGCTCGGGCCCAGCCCGGTGATCGTGTTGGAGGATGAAACAGCAAACATCTCCAGCACCTCCGCAATCCTTGCGAGCTCCACGGCATCAAGATCCGAAGGACTGGAGCAGATCGCCTCGCCAGTGTGGAACCGGTCGTATTTTTGGTCGGTCACAAAATCAGGCAGGTTGATAGCAGGCTAAGAATGTGCCTAATGAGCCTAGGTGACTAGTGCGAGAGAAGCGAGAACGCAAGATTTGGTAAGAGTCGGGCGTTCTGGGCCGCTAGGACTTTTGCCGACCCTGGTGCACGTTATTACCCATGGCGACCGGTTGCCAAGCTTTTTCCTCCGACTCGTTGTTCAGCCTCTCGACCACGGGATGGATAACGAGCGGCGCAGTCTAGACGTGCAGATCTTCATCTATGACATAAACGGTGTGGGTCGGGAAATGAAACAATCAAAACAATCATTCCATGCAGAATTGGATCTGTATAGGGAGGGGGCAAGATGGACAGGTGGGCATTAAAAAAGTACTACTGCATGCACTCCAGATCGTAGCGCAACGGGTCAGGTACAGTTCTGACGGGAGAATTGGCGAGGCCAGCCACAAGGGGGGGATGGATTAAAAGAGCATGCCTCCCGAACATTGACACCTATTTTGGACTCATCCGTTCTGATGTGTCGTGCAGACCAGGGTGTACGGAAGACCCGGAAAGAGATCAGCTCCAGCCACAACCGTATGTACCGGCGGAGCAGGGGGAAAAAGAGGGAAGGGAGAAGGATTCGGAGAAATAATGTTAGAAGATGGGACGGGAAAGGGCCCCGGTTTCAACAGCGTGAATGGCCAGAGAGGATGCATGTAAGCGCCCACCAGAGATCTGAAACAACCAGCCAGGTGCTTCAGGTCCCCGGCGCCAGTTTGACCTGCGAGCCTGTTCTTGGCGCCTCGGTTGGTCTCCACTGAGAGAGCTGTGGTGGGAGGAGAAGGTGATGCCCTCGAAGCACAGACACCCTGCAGTCCCATCACCCAGACAAATTGCAACCCCCCTCTTTGTACTCTATGAGTGCCTTGCAGATGGGGGAGATGATCACCACCACTTAACGGTGATTCGACGTGTAGCATGTCTGATTACCTCTTTTTTACTGGGGGGAGGGAAACGGATAAATTGCCCTTGTTTTTTTTTTTTTTTTTCTTAGTCCCTATTCTCCCTATTCTGCCATTATCTCGATTTTCGATTTTTCGATTTTTCCCTTTTCGACCCTAATTTGTCTATTTTTCTATTTTTCTATTTTCCTGGTTTTTTTTTATCCACGATGGCTCCGAGCACGAATCATAAGGAACCCCGGTACAATCCACAGGGACACCCGAGTGGGACCAAGTGGTAAGACTTCCGTAATTTGACTAGAACCTAGCATTACCTGTAAAATATGACCAGTAGCGTAGATTCGGCCCCATCAAGGTAATATATACTTGTTATGACTGCCGCCCTCCCAGCGGTTCTCTGCTCTAATAATAAGCACTGACGTTGTGTATCTTCCCCCCTTCTTCTTCTCTCCTCCTTCCAAAACTTCTTCACACCTTCGTTTCTTTCTTTCCGCTGTGCGAATTCAGAGGCTTAGCCGGCTGGTCCAGTTCAATCTCTGACGTCCTTTCTTTGCAACTCTTTGTACCCGACTGAGGCTGGTTCCTCCGTTTCTCTCTCCTCCGAATCCTCATCGCGTACGATCGTTGTGAATCACGACTCCTTTGCGCCGTCAATCGCCTCCTGTCGCTCTACTCACTTCCCCGAGCGGCCACTCCTATCGCGCTTCGCATCCGACACCCGTCAAATCACCTCAACACGGTGAGTCGCTTTTGTGACTTGTTTGAATGTCTCGGCGCAGAGTCAGGAACACGTCTGAAGCATTGCTTTGACCCTCCTTTGTTCGCCTTCATTCTTATCTATATGCCTCTTCCCAGTCGGAACTGATCGATTATCAATAGAGCGCGTGCAGAAATAATGTATCCCCATCATGGTGCCCCCATGGCACCGCCACAAAAACCGGAGACTTTCATGCTCTCGACCGAAGCCCAGCAGAGTCTCCCGCATGATGCGCAAGTCGCTCTGCAGCAAGTGGACAACCGTGCGTCATCCGCCCATTGTTCGGTGCAATCTTGAAACTCGTGTTGACAACAATGCAGTGAAATACTTTCTTCTGTCAGCCCCCGTCGACTGGCAACCTGATCAGCTTATCCGTCGCTTCCTTCTTCCTACGGGCGACTATGTCTCTTGCGTTCTCTGGTTAGTGTGATGGTCGAACCGCCTCCAAAGGCTGAACTAATCCGGATCTCCAGGAGCAACCTTTTCCATATCTCAGGTACCGACATCGTACGATGCCTTGCTTTCCGATTCCAGGCGTTCGGCCGCCCCGTTAAGAACGCGAAGAAATTTGAAGAAGGCATTTTTTCCGATCTGCGCAACCTTAAGGCCGGCACGGATGCGACACTGGAAGAGCCCAAGAGCGGGTTCCTGGACTTTCTGTATAAGAACAACTGCATTCGCACCCAAAAGAAGCAGAAGGTCTTTTACTGGTACAGCGTCCCGCACGACCGATTGTTCCTCGATGCGCTGGAGCGCGACTTGAAGCGCGAGAAAATGGGCCAGGAAGCGACCACCGTCGCCGTCAGCGAGCCTGCCATGTCCTTTGAGTTTGACTCGTCTCAGTCCCTGTATGAGCAATTGACCAAAGCTCAACAAGCGAACTCTTCCTCGTTTGCTGCCCACGCAAGTACGACATATGGCCAGCCCAACTCTCCTGTGGTTCGGACCGTTGACGCAATGCCTCCTCCCCAGATGGCTCCCCCAGCGATTCCACTACTCCAGGACGATTCGGGTCACCCGAACATGTACAGCCACCCGCCGATGCCGCTATCGAACAATCTAGTCCAGAGCATTATTAAACGCGAGCAAGACTACGGGCCTATGCAGTATGACCGCCACGGAATGCCCGTTGGTCGCCTCCACCAGCGCCATTCTTCCATGCCCACCTTCTACGAGTACTCGCCTGCTCCGTCTTTCGTCTCCTCTCAGTACGAGGACTACAGCAACCGTGGCCTGTCCTTCGAGCCCGTTACACCACCCCAGCACTCCATTGGACTCGGAGCAGAGCCGGCTTACATTGCAAATGAAGATACCGGTCTTTACACCGCGATTCCTGACTTGTCTAGCGCGGGACATGCACCATACAACCCAATGATGCAGCTTCCTCCGTCCAACTTTGCCGCTGCCGGTCACTACCCTGCCGCTTCGCGGTCGTTTTCTTCCAACTACTCTGTGATCGAGGGGTCACCAACCTACAAGCAACGCAGGCGACGACCGTCTATAACCCCAGGTCCCTCCAATGGCACTCCCGGTGTCATGGGCACATCCCAGCCTCCTTCCTCACAGCCTCCTACTTATGCTGCTCACCGGCCCAGCGACCTTCGACGCTCCGTGTCCAGCTCAGTAGCTCCAGTTGCCGAGGGCGATGAGTCTCACCATGATTTGGCGCGAACGTATCCAAGTGCAATGCTCCCTCAAAAGGATCTGCTTCAGGAAATTTCTCGTCACGGAACTCCTTTGCGGAACATGGACGACAATGTTGATCATCATTCAGTACCGATGAGCCATGCCCCAGATGATCTCGCAGCACTCCCCACTAGTGCAGCCATCGAGACGAGCGTTCAAAACAGTACCAGCAGATCAGATCGTTCAGGCCCTGGCCCCGCTCGTCGGGCCAGAAGCGCCACGATGATGGAGTTGGGCCCGTACCCGCAAAAGTCGCATTCATGCCCTATCCCTTCCTGTGGTAGACTCTTCAAGAGGCTAGAGCATCTCAAAAGGTAAGCTTGTCAATCTTTCTGAAACCGGTCCATTGTGGGACCGTCATCTGCACAATACCTTGGTGTGATGGTTTCAATTGCCGCCGACTAACATGGGCGCTTAGGCACGTGAGGACCCATACCCAAGAACGCCCGTACCCCTGCCCCTACTGCAGCAAGGCCTTCTCGCGTTCCGATAATCTTGCACAGTAAGCTTAGTCTCCCAAAATAGCGATCTTTATTCAGACTAACTTTCATTATTAGGCACCGTCGTATCCACGAGGCTCAGCAAGACGGTCATGCGCCCATTGCACATGACGAAGACCTGGACGAGGCGAACGACTTCGAGTCCGACGAGGAATCATCCCCTCCCGCCCCCACACACGCCATGGTCAACATGCCCATGACCTCGATGTCTTCTTCCATGAGTATGCCATCGGCCGTGCCGAACATGGTAGCACCCCAGATGATCGCACCCCAACTTCTCCAGCATATGTAAGCGTATTGCCATGATCTTCATCTTGATTTCAGGCGTGTCCTGATCTAGTGGTTGTAATTTTCTATTTTCTTTATGCGACATCTGCATGCCATCCTTCCCTGTTATTTTTTTTGTTCTTTGTACTTGGACATCGGCTGCTTTTACGGATCTTCACTCGTCTGGTCTTTGCCACCCGTGGTCAGCGATCGAGCTGCCTGGCGGGTACGGGCACTTGAGACTTATGCTTCGGAGGCTCCGGGAGCACGTTAGGGATATGGACATATCTGGAATTCGCTTTTCTGGATTATCAGGTATCTTTCAGGAGGTGACTTGTGTGCCGTCATTGGCGGCTGGGAAATACTATAGACATCTAACGAATCTCAATTGATAAAAAAAAAACCGTCTATCTTGTCTTCTCTCCTCTGATAGATATAATTGTATGTAGTTGACGTATGACCAGCTCCTCTCCAGATACTTTGCGCACCATACTACCCTTCTAAGAAAGGGGTGTATACGTGATCATCACGTGTGCTGACGTCGCACCGATCTCGGGTCCCCCCAGCTCAAGCTCCAACAACAACTCCAGGAACGCCTCCTTCCCTTGTAAGAGAGCCAGGCAAATGGTACAATACCACTGGCCATAATCCCATCGAATCGCGACCTCGTGCGCCATGTCCGAACATCCGAGCAGGACCCCATGACTGACGTCTCGCTGTACAGTTTCCCAGCTGCTGATTCGCGCAGCCACACCCAACGTTGCTGATCTACGTAACATTTACTGCATGACCTGAACATCATACTTATCTTCCATCTGATCCTTGGAGTTCAGGCCTTGGGGCTTCATTCATATGCGCTTTTGTTCCTGATCTCCCCCGCGTTCGGTTCTAGTGGGTCACCGCTTATCGCAGATCCAGACCCATGGGGGACGACAATCGGGAACGCGTCCATACCGGATCGCCGCTGATGGAGGGGAGGCGGGAGAATGGATATCTGGGAGATGTTGATGGAGTTGATGAGTCGTCGAAAAGTGGATGGTATTTGTTTTTGCTAACGGTGTCTATTGGAGGGTATGTTTTGTTCTGTTCTGTTCTGTCTTTTAAATGAGCTTTCTAGCTCTCCCAGCTTACCACATCTTGCACCGGTTGCTAACTTGGTTTCGGGGTTAGACTACAGATTGTGTGGTCTGTGGAACTATCTAATGGATCGGTGAGCTTCGGATCTATAATCCTTGGATTGGACTGGACGGCATACTAACATGTCTTTTTTGTCCAGCCCTTCTTGCTCTCTCTTGGGATGAGCAAGTCGCTTCTTGCTTTTGTTTGGATTGCCGGGCCCTTGACGGGGACATTGGTGCAGCCTTATATTGGCATTCGAAGCGATAATTGTCGCATGGCCTGGGGGAAAAGGAAGCCGTTTATGGTTGTTGGGAGTGCTGCGACGATTGTTTCTTTGTTGTTGCTTGCGTGGGTGAAGGAGATTGTTGGTGGGTTTTTGTCTCTATTTGGTGCTGATCCGGCGTCGAGTGGGACCAGAATTATGGTCATTATTGCGGCCACAGTTCTTATGTATTGTCTTGATTTTGCGATTAATACCGGTTTGTCTCGTCCTTTTTTTTTTGTTCTGTTCTGTCTTGAAATTGCTAACCATTGATACAGTGCAGGCTGGGATTCGAGCGTTTATTGTTGACAATTGTCCTGCTCATCAGCAAGAGCTGGCTAATGCTTGGGCTAGTCGATTGACGGGCGTTGGTAGCATCCTAGGGTATATCTTCGGATATTTGGACTTACCCAGGATTCTACCATTTCTGGGAAATACTCAGTTCAAAGTTCTGTGTGCACTTGCTTCTATCTTTCTGATCGCCACTCTGGCACTGAGTTGTTCATACATTCAAGAGCGGGATCCCAGACTCGATGGACCTCCGCCCTCCGACGGACTTGGCCTCGTCGCGTTCTTTAAGCAGGTATTCAAGTCTATTCGAAATCTGCCACCGCAAATTGCCCGTGTCTGTGAAGTACAAGTGGCTGCGTGGGTGGGCTGGTTCCCATTCCTCTTCTACTCCACAACATACATCGGCCAGCTCTACGTCAACCCGATTTTTGCAGAGCATCCTGATCTCCCAGAAGATCAGATTGACAAAACATGGGAGGACGCCACTCGAATTGGAGCATTTGCTCTTTTGATCTACGCTATCATCTCATTTATTGCGAACACTATCCTCCCACTATTTGTCGTCCCCACATATGATTCCAAGGAACCTGTTGTACAACATGATGAACACGAAATTCAATTCGACGAGGAAGAAGAGCCTACTCCACGCCGCTTATCAATTTCAAGCATGCCAACAGGCACCGCGGAGGAGCCGCTCATTGACGCAGCAGCCGGCAAGAGTGTCGATTGCGGGAAGCCGACGTGGCTGTCACGATTGCAGATACCAGGGTTGACTCTCCGTCGAACCTGGCTTCTATCTCATATTTTGTTTGCACTCTGCATGTTCAGTACATTTTTTATCTCCTATTATCCAGCAGGGTCTGTTGTCATTGGATTCGTTGGCATTTCATGGGCTGTTACTCTCTGGGCACCCTTTGCATTAATTTCCGCCGAGGTGTCTCGCATTGAGGTCCAGCGTCGGTTGAACCGTCATAAGACTACGCACACAGCGGGCGCCACACAACACAATGGCTCCTCTGGATCCTACGCACCCGTCTCGGGCGAAGACGAACATGAAGACCATGATACCAGCGAGAATGATCTCGAAGAAGGCCCCAATCATGAACCACACGACAATCTTATCCAAGCTGGTATCGTCCTCGGAATCCACAATGTGGCTGTTTCCTTCCCGCAGATTTTCTCCAGTCTTGCTTGCAGCGCCATTTTCAAAGTGGCTCAGAAACCGCGTGGGGCACCCTGGGATGATAGCGTGGGCTGGGTCCTACGATTCGGTGGATGCGCAGCATTGGCCGCAGCGTGGCTCACTAGGAGATTGGGCGAGGGATCTCGTTGAACCTGATCACACCTCGATGGACTTATCGGAGTCCGTTTCGGCAGTCCGTTTCGGCCCGTGTCCGATCCTCATCCTGTAGGGCATACCGATGATGTAGTACGGCTAGAGTGGGTCGGGCCCTATAATTGCCAGTCCGAGCTTGAACAATGAAGGGGGGCAGCACTATGAAACAACATTGACGTTTTAATAGTATTTCCAATGAGGCTTAGCATTACCCATAGCAGGCGAAATCCATAGAGAGAATATACCTCTGTCGAGTCGAAAGATCCAGAAAAAAAACAAGCGCCTCAACCCGCTTCTTGGCAGTTGCGCGGCTTCAAAATGGCCCACGTGTCAGATTCACTGAATTACCGTGACGGTACGGCTACAATACATCTGCCTTCACCGCCTTCACGCCCAGCCCGCCATGTAAATGTAATATTCGTATTACGTTCTGTACTTCGTATACGCAACCGCATCCACCATCCCTCCCGTCCGCGCAGATGCAACTTACACTCCCAGCCCTGTTACCACGATTCCTGATTCAACATTCCAGCTTCCCTTCACACTGCTCCTACTCCCAAACGGTGGGATTATGTGTGCGCTGTGTTCTGCCCGTTCAGACTAGCGAGAGCTAAAAGCCAGGTTGTCCGCGTTGCTCGACTAGTCCAGTCGCGATGGCTGGTCAATTGATGGGCGAGGCCTTCCACGCTCTGCTACGTATGTCTCCGTGCTTGATCTTGTGAATACCTGCTAACTACTGTGTCTGTAGGGCGAGCGTCGGAAGATACTGACCCCGATGGTACGCGTGAGCCGAGTTTCTCTTGCCCCTCTCCTCTGTTGATGACGCTATATCCCTGTTCCATGCGCGGCGACCTGACTATGATTCCGGACAACAGATTCCCCTGAAGCAGGCTCGAAGGAGATCACCAGCTCCTGGGCGCTGTTTATTATGATCATGCTATTGATGTTTGCCCTCTTCACAAGCTACATCCTGCAGCAGAAGAAGATTCAAGCTGTGCACGAGACGGTGCTGTCCATTTTCGCAGGTATGTGTCTTGGAAACTACCAGAAACACCATTTTTGTGGTCGCAAAGATCATGACATATGGCCAATGCATCTTACTGACATTCGGACTACCAGGCATGTTCGTCGGCCTTATCATCCGCCTCTCCCCCGAATCGAACCTCCAAGACAGCGTTGCCTTCGACTATCAATTCTTCTTTAACCTCCTCCTACCACCAATCATCCTTGCGTCCGGCTACGAGCTTCACCAAGCAAACTTCTTCCGCCACATCGGCACAATTCTCACCTTTGCCTTCGCCGGCACTTTCATCTCGGCCATGGTACTTGGCCTGATTCTATACCTGTGGACGCGGATCCCGCTGGACGGGCTGAACATTTCATTTGTGGAGGCAATCTCCGTCGGTGCAACGCTCTCGGCTACAGACCCCGTCACTATCTTGGCGATTTTCAATCTATACAAAGTCGAGCCGAAGCTGTATACCATTATCTTTGGCGAGTCGATTTTGAACGATGCTATTGCTATTGTTCTATTTGAGACGGCGCAGAAGTACGCTCAGAATGATGCCGGCTCGCTAACTTTCCTTCATCTATTTGAAGCTACCGGGCTTTTCTTGCTCGTGTTCTTTGGTAGTATGGTCGTCGGTATTGTTGTTGGCATTGCTACGGCGTTGGGTTTGAAGTATACTTTGGTGAGGCGCATGCCTAAGATTGAGAGTTGCTTGATTATTCTCATCGCCTACGCCAGTTATTTCTTCTCCAATGGCGTACATCTTTCTGGTGAGTTGTTCGGGTTTTTTTGTGAGGAAAGGCGCGCAGGCTAATTCATTTTTCTACAGGCATTGTGTCTCTGCTGTTCTGCGGAATCACTCTTAAGCATTATGCTTACTACAACATGTCCCGTCGTACTCAGCTGACTACCAAGTACCTTTTCCAAGTTATGGCGCAGCTTTCGGAGAACTTTATCTTCATCTACCTGGGCTTGGACTTATTTGTCGAGTCGAACCTTAAGTTCAACCCACTCTTCATCCTTGTTGCTGTCTTCGGTATCTGTCTTGCCCGATACCTGGCCGTGTTCCCGCTTTCCAAGGCCATCAATTGGTTCATCCGCTACAAGGCTCGGCGCCGTGGCATTGAAGTCGCAGATGAACTTCCCTTCGCCTACCAAGCGATGCTCTTTTGGGCTGGTCTGCGTGGTGCTGTCGGTGTTGCACTGGCTGCCGGTCTTTCAGGAGTGAACGCACCAACACTGCGTGCTACAGTCTTAGTAGTGGTCGTGTTAACCGTCATTATCTTCGGAGGCACCACAGCCCGCATGCTAGAGATAATGGGTATTCGGACCGGTGTTGTCGAGGAAATAGACTCCGACGACGAGTTCGATATCGAGGTGACCCACGGCGGCACCTACTACAAGCGCTCTGGTACTGCCCTGGGCTACACACCGCGCCGCGGAGACTCAACCATCCCTCTCGATGGCCTCAACCACCCCTCTCCTCAGCGAGGTGGTATCGGCGAGCGCACAGATAGCTACTCAACTGGGAACAGCCGGCGCCCCAGTCCACCTCAAGGCCACACCCGGATGTACTCAGACGCCTACGGCCCCAGCGACACAGGATCGCGACGCGATCGCTCATCGGCAGCAACTCTCCTCAACGGTGGCACCGCCGGCCCCAGCCTCGGCGGTGGCGACAGCGACGACGAATTCGGCCTCCCACCCTCGGGCAAGAGCCGCGCGAACCCAGTCGCCCACCCCGACGAGTTCGATCTTGACCTGGAAGGAATTTCAGACGATGACCTCCCACCAGTTACCGGCGGCCACCGCCTGCGCCGCTCCGCGTCCCACCCCTCGCAAGGAGCAACACACACGCCCTCCTCCAACGCAGCGTCCGCGAGTGTCTCACCCGCTCGCCGCGAAGCATCCAGCCTTAGCGCGCGCGAAGCACTTCGGGATCTATTCTCCGGGGGAGCAAGCGGTGACCACGCGGCATGGTTCCGCCAGATCGACGAGGACTACATCAAGCCTAAGCTGCTGCTTGATCAGTCGAATCATAAGGGACCCGGGCCCGGGGCGGTTTGATGATATGATATTCCCTGGGCTCTTGCATGGGAGGGTTTCTTTCCGATATGAATGTATATTTAGCCTTTGTTTTGGGTGTGCATTATCGTGGCCAAGAAATCTCGTTGCATGTTTTAGCATGACTTGTTGGGTTTTATGTGTGCTCAGCCCTGGTAGCTGGGTTTGACAGCTAAGACTTGCTTTGTATAACATTCCACTAGAGCTGCTACATGTATGTGTATGAATTGCTGAGGTCTGCCGTTCCATGGCCGAATGGAATTTTGAGTGCTGAATCAAATGTTGAATCACATTCAAATTCCATTAAAGCGTATCTTCGTCAAAGTGAAGGCCTATTGTGGTAGAGAGAAAGTCCCTAACTCTACTTATACTTGTGATTGAAGCAATACAGATTCTCGCATCGAGATTTGCGAATATAATTCCGATCTGGCCGTTATCCTTACGAAGTGGAGTAATCTAAGTCCGGGTTTGGAATCCCGGATAACCCTCGATAGAAAAACAATTGCAGTTCATGGGACGGTGGTCAAGTGACACTTGAACTAAGTGGCACAAGAGAAAGTCCGCGGGTCTGTTTTGAAAATGCGTCGCCTCGGTCGTTGGAGGCCTTGCGGTCTTGCAACATTTCCTACCACAAAAACTAGCGATGCAAAGAGCGTATGCGCCAAACTCATTTATACATACCTATTTCATATCTGCCAAATGACAGTCCTCGAGGAGTCATTGATTTGCGCCATGAGAGGCACGAGCTAAGACGAAGGTGGTTTTGGACTTGGGAGAAAGGCTGTCTATTGAGCAGAGACGCTGCCTGTTGAGCAGATTGTGGCGGCCTGAAGTCACTATCTGCTCTCCTCGCTCTTGCCTAGTTTTATGCCAAGGCATTCACACAACTGCAGTGTGGGAGGTCCTGTACTCCTTCTTGTAGGCGGTGGTCAGAGTTGAGGTAACGGTTTTGGTATTGGCGTGGCCTGGGTGTGAGTCCCCACGGTGTCGAACTAGAGTCAATGATCCTCTGCAGGCATAGGCATAGATAATAAATGCTTTGAGTTTCTGTCAATATCTGTCTAGGTATCATTCTGGCCCTTTTTAAAAAAAAAAAAAAAAAAAAATCAACTATCTGTCCCTCTCTCATATTTAAAAGGTCTATTTGAAAATCTTATAATTCAAGGGAGGCAAGTCACGGTTACCTGATTTGAACCTTACTATTCTTCTCCCAGTCCGGCTATACGAGATATAAGCGGGCAGGCTTAGGGATGGCGAACCGATTAGGATTATGAGCCCGTGGTCTGTCGGCTGCCGTGCGTGTCTGCAGACTCACTTTCACGAAACAAGCGTCATAGCATGTACATAACTCACATGTAGATAGAATACAATGCGAAGACCCTGGTTGCGATCTAAATAGCTTATACAGCCGAGTAGAATCATAGGCTAGAATGAATAGAAAGAATAGTGTATCAGGCTCCACTCCAGATAACCCCACTTCCCTGAATCCGGGGTTAAAACCCGTAACCTATAACCCGTGCCAGGACCCCAACCTAGAACAATAAACCCCTATAATGACGAGCTCTGCGTGGGATTGAACCAAAATAGACTAATTTGGAATGAAAAGCGAGAAAGTATATCCTTCAGTACAGATACGCATCCAGATAAGCCACAATGCCCCCTGCCCAGCCCCATCGCCACATTCGTGTCCCTTATCAGCGGCCTGCCACGCCAACCGGAACCAGCACGCCTATCTCTGACACCGAGTTATGCGGAATCGGTGCCCCGAGCTTTCTATCCACTCCTGGAATTGTCTCTTCCACTCATAACCCAAACTTTGTCGCGTATTCCCCGCTTTCTCTTACATCCACCCTTAGCCTAGGCTTATCGGGTGCCCGTGTTGGAGTCGTTGGAGAGGCGCGCCACATGTTAGATAGTAGGGAGATTGTTATTGGAATGCTAGGTCGAAGGGATGGGGCCTTTTTAAAGGGACGGTCTGTGGCAGAGGTCTGGCTTCTTATCTCCTATTGTGATCGGAACGGAAGTTACAAGGTACCTAGGTACTTGCGTGCTGACTCCAAGCCCGAAAGAGATAGGATTGTCGATGGTCTGACGTCCGTAGCTAAAGCCGCTCCTCCGATCTGAATTTTGATCTCATCTTTTTTTTTCTCCGCCCTTTATACGAGATTTATTATAATGGCAGACGAGATCAAGTCTCCGTCGCTCGATCACAAGATGCCGCAGCGGGCGAGTCTTGGTGAGGTTGTTGATACGCAGACTGGTGATACGGAGTTGCTGGGTAGGCCTGTTACATCGCGAGATTGGGACATTTTCTGATGGGTGAATAGCAACGCTGGGTTACAAGCAGGAATTGCGTCGCCATTACTCGACTATCCAAATCTTCGCCGTTGCATTTAGTATTATGGGACTTTTGCCATCCATTGCGTCGACGCTTTCTTTCTCGATGCCGGCTGGGCCAGTTGGCATGGTTTGGGTGAGTGTTTTTCCTCCCGCTTCAATTAAACGTTGACTAACCGGTTCCCAGGGTACGATATTCCACTAGATTGCACATTGGATACCATATTGACAATACGCTTTAGGATGGTTGGCCGCGAGTATCTTCATCTTCATAGTCAGTCTTGCAATGGTACGTAACCGTCCACTTAACCCTTCATCTATAAGAAATTGACACCTGACTAATTTCAAAACAGGCCGACATGGCCTCAGCAATGCCAACAGCCGGTGGCCTCTACTTCTGGACTCACTACTATGCCGCCGACAAGCTGAAGAACCCGCTAAGCTTCCTAGTCGGCTACAGCAACACGATCGGCCTAATTGGAGGCCTCTGCTCCATCGACTACGGTTTCGCTAACATGCTCCTCTCAATGGTCTCCATTGCGCGCGATGGCAACTGGTCTGCCACAAGACCTGTCATCTACGGCACGTACGTGGCAACTGTCTTCGCACACGGATTCATGGCCATCTTCTTCGCGCGAGTTATGCCTCGTATTCAGTCTATTTGTATCTTCCTGAACATCGGTCTTGTCGTTGCGACTGTGATCGCGTTGCCGATTGGAAAGGCGCACAATGCACCACCGGTTAATTCGGGGTCGTACGTTTTTGGCGGCGCAGAAAATTTGACTACTTGGCCTACTGGGTGGGCGTTTATGTTGGCTTGGTTGAGTCCTATTTGGACTATCGGGGCTTTTGATTCTTGCGTGCATATGAGTGAGGAGGCGACGCATGCTGCGCGGGCTGTGCCATTGGGTATTATTTCGAGTTCTGGGTTGTGTGGTATTTTGGGATTCTTGAGTCTGGCTGTGATTGCTGCATCGATGAGCACGGATATTGAGAGTATCCTGAATTCGAAGTTTGGGCAGCCTATGGCCCAGGTATGTTTTTCTCTTAGTGACTAGTTTTTCTATAATCACAGAGCTAACCACTGTCTAGATCTACTATGATGCTCTTGGCAAGCAGGGTGCCCTCGGTTTCATGGCTGTGGTGGCATCCGTCCAGTTCTTCATGGGACTTAGTATCGTGCGTCTCCATCTCTTTTTCACAATCATCTGTCTAATACAGTTCTAGGTCCTCGCCGCCTCTCGTCAAAGCTGGGCCTTCTCCCGTGACGGCGCCCTCCCCTTCTCCCATTTCTTCCGCAAAGTCAGCCAGCACAGACTGATGCTCTACCAGCCCGTGCGCATGGTCTGCGGTTGTGTAGTTGCAGCCGCAGTCATCGGTCTTCTATCCTTGATCGATAACGCCGCTGCTAACGCATTGTTTTCTCTTGCCGTTGCTGGTAATGATCTTGCGTGGCTGACACCTATTTTCTGCCGCCTGGTATGGGGCAAGGACAAATTCGTCCCTGGTGAATTCTATACTGGAAAGTTCAGCAAGCCGATTGGTTGGATTGCGGTCATCTATATGGTCTTCGCTATTGTGCTATGCATGATTCCTACTGGGGGACCTGATCCTTCACGTAAGTCCAACCTCTATTATGACTTGCTGTGGATGCATTCTTACTGACTGGTCGAATAGCGGAGGATATGAATTACACCGTTGTTATTAACGGCGCTCTTTGGCTCGGTGCGCTTTTGTATTATGCTGTACATGCTAGGAAGACGTTCACGGGCCCTCAGACCACTGTTTCACCGGAAGATGTGGGCAAGAGAATTGAGGTGGAGGGCAAGAGCTCGGAAAAGAGTGGACTTTAGGTTTCCGTACCTTTGCATTACTTTCTCACACGTTGTTATGCCTAGCCTATGTATGATGCAAGTTGAATTGACTGCTACTGCGGGCCGTTTCTATTCACTGTAGCTGAAGGAACATCTCGTTTCTCATAAAGTACTTCGCTGAGCTTCGGTACACGTTGTAGGACTCTTTCCCATCTAGAAAATCCCAGTAAATCATCCAGTCGGGTTGTTAGGTCTGACTAAGTCTACTCGGGGATTTCGAGCACATAGCGGCCGGCAATCTTGTCTTGCTCTATATCCATCGTGTTAGTACTTTTTCAATACCTGGTTGTTCAAAACTATCTTACCCATAAGTTCAAAGACTTCAGGCAACTTCTCCAGCGGGACGGTTTTGAAAGGTGCCTTGATCAGACCGCGAGCAAAGAAGTCCACGGCTTCAACACCATCCTGTCGGTTGCCAACATAGCTACCCTTGATGTTGATCATCTTGACAACGCTGTCGAAGACGGGAGCCTTGAGGAAGGCGTGTGCGGGAAGACCAATGGCGACAATCACACCACGGGGACGTGCGTAGTCCACAGCCTGCTGGAAAGGTTTCTCGGAGGCAGCAAGCAGAATCACAGCGTGAGCGCCCAAGCCCTCAGGGGTAGCGGCCTTTACATCAGCGACAAGATCCTTAGACTTTGTAAAATCGACGAAGGTCTATCAAGTGTCAGTCTCATAGCCAACCAACAGAGCCAAGCAGTGATCGAACATACCTCTGCGCCAAGACTTTCACACATAGAACGCTTCTCATCGCCACCATCGATTGCAATCACGCGCAGCCCCATAGCCTTAGCATACTGCTGAGCCAAAGAGCCAAGCCCACCGCCAGCACCGACAATAGCAACGGTCTGACCAGGGCGCGCGCCCGACTCCTTCAGACCTTTGTAGACAGTAATACCGGCACACAGAATAGGCGCCACGGCGTCAAGTGGAACATCCTTGGGCAGCTTGCTAACATGAGCTGCCTTGCCAATAGCATACTGCTGGAAGGTGCCATCAACCGTGTGACCTGAAAGCTGCTGACCAGCACAGAGGGGCTCATCACCAGTCTTGCAGAACTCACAGGCCAGGCACGAGCCATTGAGCCACTTGATACCTGCATGATCGCCGATCTCAATTCCGCGGGCCATTTCGCCCTTGGCGACGACTACACCGGCGCCCTCGTGGCCACCTACTAGGGGCATCTTGAGGGGAATGGGCCAGTCGCCCTTCATTGCATGGAGGTCGGTGTGGCAGACGCCAGTGTAGCGGATTTTCACGAGGACTTCATCTGGGCCTGGCTTTGGGACGGGAATTTGCTTGTAGACTGGGGGGCCGCCTTTCTTTTCGACGACTTGGGCCCACTGCTTCTCGGGAATGCTGGGCGCCATGTTGATTGATGGATGTAAATGTGTAGATGTATGGACGTGTGTACGTGTAGACGTATGTATGTGTAGACGAGTGAATGTGTAGATTTTAAAAGGTTGAGGTATGCGGTAAAAGTGGTGAGAGGGAGAGAAGAAAGGAAAGCAGGAAAGTGCAGGGGGTATAAGTGAGTGAAGTGCCAGCTACAAAGAGCGAGTTACGATCGCTTGGCTATGTGGCACCATCATCCTCCACGCCGGACTGGGAGATTCTGCGCAAATAACAGGCTCATCACCTGTCATCGTCCGGTTTTCCCCTTGGCCCATTGCGTTGTCCAGTTCTATGGCCCGATCTGTTCTCTGGTCTTGTCTTGCCCGATTCGAAGCTTTCATATCTGACGGCATTCCAATACATCTGATCGCCAACGGCAGTTGACGCCATGACTGCAGGCTTCTCTACACACAGTAGCGCAGCGCGAAACAAGGCTTCAACCCGCCGCTCAGCCGAACAGGGGAGCTCGGAGAGGGGTAAACCTGGAACAGCAATTGGATACGCCTATCACATCTCCAGCTCCAATCTGAAATCGAGTTTCCCCTCGAAGCTGCAACCATGATGGGGAATAAAGAGTGAACGACGTCACTACGGGATCCGTCGGGATTCGCCCGTGCGGGACTTCGAGGCGAACATCATACGATTGTTGACCCAATCGCCTGGGGTGCATCGCGAGAACATGTTCCTCTCTGGAGAATTGAGGCTCTGATTCAGGGTCCATGATCTGAATGTCTCCAGGACCGAGCTATGAGCTACCTTGGGGGAATCGCAATTCTACATGAACGTTGGGTTCTCGGCCCCACACCGGCATGTACCCTTTCCGTTGGGCTTCCGCCGATCATCCGGGTGAGTCTGCCATCAACGCTGGTGGCATTCATCGGGGTATTCCCGAGCTTCGTGGGGTGTTCTCAAAGTGGCATTTTGCAGCCATAAGGGGCTATCTAGATTTTAAAAGATGTCATGTATACGAGGATCCTCCAGGTTCCAGTTTCACCCCCTGCTCGATAGCCTAGAGTTGAGGCGTGGGGATTTGCAGGAAGGATCTCACAGACACGTACTACCACACAGCAGAGGAAGAAAGAGGGCACATCGGGTGGAACTACTGGCAAGGGTCGAAAGCTGTTGATCGTGAGGCACGGGGTTCTCCGTCGACACATTCAATGATCTTCTAGCCATCCGATACCTCGCTCAATGCATCAAAGGGAATACCCAAAGTTCTCATTTACCATATCCGTCTGATCCTTGAATCCCAACTCCCGAGCAGCCATCGTAGTAACAACTCCAAACTCACGATCCCGCCTTCTATTCTCCCGAACAAGGTAAAGCCTCAAAACAAGCGCCCCACAGATCGTGACTGAGGCATTCCCAATGATGGCGTAGAAACACGTCGGGTAATGTTGCCCAACCTTCCCCTTTTTGATCGTCAATGGGGAGATCCCATTGCTGAGCCCGTAAGCACACCACAGGATACCGAACATGAACATCTTCTTCGTGTGCCCGGCAACGCTCGCACCGACCAATGCAAGAATCATCATATACCCGCCAGCCATCCAGCCGCACATGATGAAACCGAAAATGACATCGCCTCGCTGTGTGCTCCAGTCGAGTCTCGACACTAGACATGCTCTGAGGATTACCGGGATCTCACAGGCCATCACAATCCAAAGGCGGGCGTTTTTGAACATCGCGCCTAGTATTCCTGCTGTAATGCAATTGAACAAAACGCCGCCCCAAACTGCCCCATTCAGAAGAACGGAATCAAAGTGCGAAAACTCAAAACTATTGATAATAATACTTCCAAATCCAGTAAGCGCCCCATTCGTAAAATGCAAACAGAACACAGTCGCAAATAGGATCCATGTTGTCGGATCACGAACCAGTTCTCGAATCTGATAACTCTTGAACTGCTTATTCTCAATGCCCGTTTGCTCCACTCGCATCCTTTCAACAGCAAGAACCCGCCCTTCTGGTTTAAGAAAGCTCGCCGTGGCTGGGTTTTGCGGTAGAAGAATGACCAGAATAATGCCCCAGACGACGGTGATAGCGCCCAGAATAAGATATTGATACCGCCATAGGTGAAGCTTGCCGTAGATATGACCGATTCCGAATAGCATGAGAGAGCCTAGGAGGTTTGCGAGTCCGATTGATGTGTACCATAGGCTATAGCGGAGTGGTTGCTCGGCGCGCGTCCAGAACATGGTTATCATTATTGAGAAACCGGGTCCTACAGCACATTCAACCATTCCGAGGAAAAATCTGTACTTCATGGGAAGGCGCTTTCTTAATTGGACATGGGAATCTTACCGCTGGGCCAAGAGGCCACTGTAATTCTTCACTGCCGCTCCTAGGAGGGTAATAGCTCCCCATATGACTGCTGTGCTTGCGAGGTATTTACCTATCGGCAGTTTCTGGGCCATCCATGCGGTGGGGATTACTGGTACCGTTAGCTGATATATTCAAATCTTCAGCGGTGTTCATACATCCCACTAGCCAGCCCCAATAGAAGATGAGGGTAGCATTTGAATATCTTTGTAAGTTTTGGGTTGGCTCCGAGGCTGAAGTCGAGTATTTGAACGTGTATAGGTGGAGGTCCTCAAGAATGCCAATTTGAGATACGCTGTTTAACATCACCTTGTCGATGCATTGGAGTAGGAAGGTCAAGATGAGAAGTGGCATCAAATAGAAGTCCATTTTCCGACGAACGCGTGCGATGTCTTCCACTGTTATTTCGCGATCTGGGCTCGCATCCTCGGCTCTGGTTTTAAAATAAGTTGAATCACTCTGGGATTTCATCTTGAACAGAAGCTACGTCGTAAGGTTGTATAAACTAACGGACGGAGGGCGAGATCAAATACTTATTGATGAGACGCTCATGTAACAATATTAAGTTCACCGCTCCTTTATCACCATCTGGGAAACCGTCTTCGCTCGGACAGACTGTGCTATTGCAGTTTGATGCCCACTAGCTGTTGCAGTCTTTGTGTATGGGGACGTGAGACAGTGTGCTACGCTCTGTTTTGGGAAATTCTGCAGCATGAGTACCGATCGTGAGCCCTGTTTTCCTACTTCTCCATGCATGATGATCGGAAGAAGATGTTTTCATTGGTTTATTTAATCTGCGATGCAAGAATGCGGACCGTTCGGCCAATTATGTAGTCTGTTGTGCAGATCTTTGACTTTTCGCGCGTCCACTCCGGGGGCTGCTTCTGATATTCGTCGTTTCTTTCATAGCTCGGATGTCTTATACTGGATAGGAATGTTCTCAACCAACCGTATCTAAATCAGATCTTGCTTTCTAAGGTTTGTTCTAAGGACCTTCAGAGGTAATAGATCTGCGCCGCTTCTGTGGACGGAGACTCTGAGCGACAATTTAAACATCTCTAGTGACAACCGACACTCGATATCTTGTGAGATTTCTAGCATGGGAATAAGGAGGGCTATCGATTGGATGATACATAGACATACGATTGTTGGCTTGTATGCACCTTCAAAACATCCTGGCAGCCCGCAATATAGATAGATCCAAGGTCACTACGACGCTACCTGAAATAAAGCAAAGACTTCCATGAGAGTTGTACTGAGCTTAGTATTTATTAAATGAGAATCAAGGTACTCAAAGTCGAATGTTAGCAACTGCTTGGTCGGTGCATGTATCCCGAAATCGATATTATGTCCACAGCTGGAGTGGAGTACGTCATCGTATCGGTCCCCACACCTTGAGACTCCTAGGACGGACTAGACTAGGGAGTACGGACTAGGGAAAACTTGAGACGGCCTTTGACTATCGTGCATTGTATTTGTTTCATCTCGTTCATGAGATTATTCTTGGCTAAACCTAGAAAAAGACGAAGATTGGTCGAGGAAAGGAATGCTTGCCCACGGCAAATATGTCCGTAGGAATCTATTATTGATTAATGTGTCTCTCGACATTAATCCGAGCTGGTCGATAGCCGAAGTTTGAGGAGAATTCCAGCAGATTTGTGCTAGGGAGAAGTCAAGGTGGCTTCCAGGAGACCAGTCATTTCATGGATCCGTCTTGGCAGCCCCCGGCGTACTGCATGACCTGATCATTCTGCGACTAGTGGCATCAGTAAGATGGTGCTAACTCTCGTTGAGTTTGCTGCTTCATTATCTATCGAGTTATCCCCTAGAGACATAAGGAGCAAAAAAAAGAAGTTGAAGTTGGTAAAGAAGCTGCGTGCCGCGAAGTCAAATCAACCGGGATCGGCCGCGACGAAATCTTCGGATGAGCAGGAAGTCAGCCGGCAATCGGACCCAGAAGAGCCTGGCAGTGGCAGAAATAGCAGAACATATTCCCAGTGACTATGACTGTCAAGATCCAGCATGAGCCCGATTTGTAGCCGGTAAACACCTGAGACCATATATAGGGTCGCGTCCAGTACACGAGTGTTTGTATGCGCCTGGCCTTGCACAGCACAGGATAGGACTACGCCATCACGGAGTCTTTCAACAAAGACAAAACTCGACTAAGACTTTGCAAAGAAAGGATCGGATGATTTCAATCGACAAACACGAGTAAAGACGGAATCCGACGGAAATAGGACCGAGGTGTACAGGGCAGGACCTCGACGCCATCGACGGAGCAGGTCAAGCAAAAGGAAGGGAAACGGCCAGATCCTACTCTACTCCCCTTTCTTCAGTCACGACTGCCCCCCTCAATCTCACCACACCATTCCCACCTTTTACCCTTTACCCTTTACACTTACTCTTCCTCAACTCGGACCTGAACACTCATCCGGGTCACCTCCCTGCATCCTCGCCTAGCCCCAGCGCATTCTCTGCTTGGGTCTCCGCGGCCACAAAGATCCTCCTTCCTGCATCTTCCCACCACAAACGAATCCATCCTCCCACCAGGTATGATCATCATCCCTACTTTCTCTTCTTTTTCCTCACATCGCTCCCCCGTGTCTCTTGCGATTCTATCCATCTAAACTACCTCGCTGACGTCGCGTCCACGCTTAGATCTCCGAACCCCCCTTGACACCTCTCCATGGGCTTCGTCCTCGGTCTGTGACCTGGATCCCTTCCAATTCATTCCGCTCCATCTCTTTCAGAGCATTTAGCCCCTGTCGCGCGCACCCGGCGCCGGGGACACGGCCATCATGACGGGCGCTCCGCCATACAACGCCCAGTCCCCGACTCAGCAGCATCGGTTCCCTGCCTACGAGTCCCCAAACAAGAACCGCCCGTTCTATTCCAACAATGAGCAACCGGCTGCGCAACAGCAGCAACCGCAGCAACAGCAGCAACCGCAGCAACAGCAGCAACCGTACCCACCACAGACACCCCCGGCCTTCGGTCCCCCCTCCGTGGCGCGCAGTCCTCGCTTTTCGCACGCGTCTTCGCCAATGCCTTCATCGCTCCCTCCATCCTTGAACGGCGCGGCGCCGCCACCTCACCAGCCCCACGGAGAGACATCGCAATACCAGGGCCATTCCGCGGCTGGTACTCCTCAGCTTGCGCTGCCGCGTCCCTTCTCTAGCTCTGTGCACCCAGGCAACGGTACTTCGCCCTATGGTCCCTCAACACCGCATAGCCATCCAACCAGCCGCCTAGATGGCCATTCACAATCTCCCACCAGGGATACCGAGTCGCCATACCACGTTAGAGGTAATGGAGCTGGATACGGACCGCCAATGCATCGGGAGTCTAGGCCAGCGTCCCCACCTCGGGAATCTGTACGTCCATACTTTCTTTGTTCCCACTGAATTAGCTTTCTCTAATCCTTGTTTCATCCTAGAAGCCTGCTCGAGCTGCCGATCCTATGTCCTTCGCCAGCATTCTATCCGGACCATCGGATGAACATCCTGCGAAAAAGACATCTCCTCCACCTTCATCGATAGCAACGCCTTCGGCACACACACCTTCGCACTTTGATCAACGGAGAGAGCCAGGGCCATTGCCGGGAACCTTCTATCCCAAATCGGAGAAGGGCCCGACTATAGACAATCATCACTTGGGACCTTCCAAGGGCCCATTCGCTCCCAATGGAACTTCACGACCAGGATCGGACCAGCCGGCTATCATTCCGCGTCCACCACTGCGAAAGCCTCTTCCGCCTGGCGTTGACGCTGAGCAGGTGCATCGTGCTTTGGTAGAGATTGACAATGCTGAGAAGAGTGACGTTGAAGGTCCCGGCTTCGATGGGGAGCTAGACCTTTATCGAGAGAAAGGCAGCAAGCGTTCTATCGAGAGTAGCCACGTTGAACAAGCTCGGCGAAAGCGACGTCGCAACGCCTTCCTGCTCGACCTCGCTCGGTCGTTCGAGAAGCAGGCCATTATTGGGACAGAGCGTTTCCGCTCGCTCAACGAGGGGTCCGTCATCGCTGAAGTTCAGCAGAAAGAAATTCAGGATGAAAAGGAACGCAAGAAGGACATGCAGCGAAAGCGTCGCCGTGAAAACACCGTGCGTTTAGAAATGCAGAAGAAAGTGGAGGCTGAGCGCAAGGCTGGCCAGACTGAGGACTCAATAGAGAGGGAGAAGTTCCTTCGCGAAGCCGAACGGGCTCACAAGAAGATCAAGTCCACCAAACGTGCTTTGGAAGGTGGAAACGCCCAGGAGGAGCTCGGCGAGGTCACTCCGTTGCCTCCGAACTACGAAGGCGGCACCACTAGCTCATTTCATATTGGTCGTTCGTCTCCCTCGCGCCGCAGATCTGGACGTGGCGGTCCTGTTACCCGACCCAAGAAGTCCAGGGAACAGAAGCAGGCCGAGAAGGATGCTGCTGAAGCGGCTTGGAACGCCGGATTGGATGACGAATATTATACACCTCTCGACGCCCGCTATTCCAAGGAGGGCACCCCCGTTCCACTGCACTACGATAGCAAGGGCTACAACCAAATCTACGAGCAAATTTGGCGTGATATTGCTCGCAAGGACATCCCCAAGGTCTATCGCATCAAGACCACATCGCTTTCCACCCGTCAAGAGAATTTGCGCAAGACAGCCCAGTTAGCCAGCAAGCAGTCTCGCAAGTGGCAGGAGCGGACCAACAAAAGCACTAAGGATACGCAGGCCCGTGCCAAGCGTACTATGCGTGAGATGATGTCCTTCTGGAAGCGCAACGAGCGCGAGGAGCGTGACTTGCGCCGCCTGGCAGAAAAGCAGGAACTCGAGTCGGCGAAGAAGGCTGAAGCAGAGCGCGAATCAAACCGACAGAAGCGCAAGCTTAATTTCCTTATCTCCCAAACTGAGTTGTACTCTCACTTCATCGGTCGGAAGGTCAAGACTGCTGAAGCTGAAGCTGGAGACGGCGTCACTGCTGCCGCTGGGGCTGAAGCCCACCACCCAAATATCCCCAATGCCGACCCGAATGTCAAGCCAACCAACTTCGAGGATCTCGATTTCGATGCCGACGACGAGACTGCTTTACAGCAGGCTGCTATGGCAAATGCACAGAACGCTGTACAGCAAGCCCAGGACCGTGCCCGTGCCTTCAACCAGGAGCAGGGTGGCGACAATATGGCAGCCTTTGATGAAGGCGAGATGAACTTCCAGAACCCAACCAGTCTTGGAGACATTGAAATCTCCCAGCCGAGCATGTTGACTGCCAAATTGAAGGAGTACCAGCTGAAGGGTCTCAACTGGCTTGTCAACCTATACGAGCAGGGCATCAACGGTATTTTGGCAGACGAGATGGGTCTTGGTAAGACCATCCAGTCTATCTCTGTCATGGCATATCTGGCCGAGTTCCACAACATCTGGGGTCCGTTCTTGGTCATCGCGCCGGCGTCTACTCTGCACAACTGGCAGCAGGAGGTTGCCAAATTTG